ACGCTTGACATCCTCTCCGACGTCAAAGTTTTCTTGAATAACGGCAATGAACATATTGATGAGAATGAAGTAAGCGAGAATGAACCAGCCGACGAGGAAAATGGCGCCAATCCAAGCAGTGTGCAGATGGTGGGTGGCGGCAGTGACGCTGTAAAGAATGTCGGTCCAGTTCTCACTGGATAGAACCTGATACATTCCGAGGAAACAGTTGTAAATGGTGTTAAACGGAATCCTGATCGGCTCCCCGTCATCATCATATCTCGGCAACTCTCCACGGAACAATTGCGCCGCGAAGATGGCCATCAAAAAAGTGATGAGAAAGACAAAAGACATCAGGTTACCGATACCAGTCACGTTTCCGAGAACAAGCCGAATCAATTTCCTTGTCATGGGAATGACCATGACCACGCGGTAGACTCGCAGGATCTGGAATGCGGTAAGCCAATTGTAGACTTGGCCAGAATTCCGGATAGGGGGGATGAGGATAATCGAGGTGGCCACAGCAAGCCCAAGGTCAACAAGGTTCCGTTTCCTACGGTGGAAGCCTCGGATGTCCGCAGCCAAGCGGATGATGATTTCGACGTCTAGCAGAAGGGTGACCACAGGCTCTGCTATATTGACGAAACGCTCTCGGCCTGACCTCATCCTGGCGCTGCGGAGAGACTGTGCCAGAAGTCCAAAAGCAACGATCAAAATCCACAAAGGCTTTGTCCTATTGTATATCCTTTGCAGCAATGTCGGTCTACGCATGGCATCGTCAACTCGAGATGCAACCATGCCAGGAGGTTCATCCGCAGTAAAAGCGCTAGCCTTGGACTCTTCTCGGATGACTTGAAACGACGACGTGATGACGGCAATTAGCAAATTGGTCATCCAAAGCATCATGATGATAATGCCAGCACCATAAAAGAGGGCGGACGGGAGGAAATCCGAGCTAATGGTGTAGTACATCAGGTCCGAAAAAGTGTTGGCGCTCATGATGACAAACACAAGCTCAAGAGAATGGCCGATGTCATCGAAGTTGACCGTTCCATTGAAGGGATTTTCTTGCCGGATACATATGGACCCTCTCGGACATATGAAGCCCTTGGCACGCAAAGTCCCGTTCTTCAAATCAGTTAACGACTCCTTTTCGTCGCTATAAACCCAAGGCATGGTTTCACCAGTGGCGTTGTCGATATGGCCTCCGCAGAAAGCAGAGTCGGGCGTATAGGCTGCTTGAAAGTCGGTAGGATGATCTGGATCTATCCAAAGACATTGACGACTCAGACTAGACTTAAAACTCTGAACGCCAATGATGGCGAAGAGAAGCCAGAAGAACCCCATCAAGAAGGACACTCGAACGAGCAAAGGCGCGGCCTTCTTTAAACTTCGCAAAATGATCAAATTGCCCTTCGTAAGAGCAAGTAATCGAATGATGCGCAAGCAGCTCAGCATGCGGAAGACGTACATATGGTGCTTGCTCTCAAGACCAGTGACGCCTAACACGAATGATATCCAGAAGGAGACAACGGCTACGAAGTCTAACCTGTTGAAGCCATGGCGTAGGAATGCACGGCGAGCCAGATGGCGACGCTGTTGATCTTCCAGCGTTTGGATTTGACTTTGGGCCATGGTAAAGGATCTTGTAAACGGAGCAGGCTCAAAATGTTCTGGTCGGGGTTGGGGTTGACGGACCGATCTTTGACGCTGAGGCCGGAAGATGACGCGATACTGTTCGGCCATCCTTTCGCGAAAGCGGCGTTTGTTCTTGGCTTCTTCATATTCAGGGGCGTTGATGATGAAGCCAGACACAATAATTCTTGCTATGAGTTCGATCGTGAAGATGACAAACAGGACAAATATGGCCCAGTCTATCCTGGTGCTACCCCAGCGCTCAGGGCGGCCGTTTCCATCAGAGAACACATCGGGTGCGGCCTCGACAGCAAGTAGGACGGCTTGAAGGACGATTAAGACAAGAATAAATGGCTCGGCCCATGGGTTGACCAACAGATCGCAGAGCCATAAGCGCAGTGGATTATCAGGTGGGAATATTCCCAGCGACTTGCCCTTGAGCGGATTGTTCCTAGGATCGCGTGACCGAGGCCTGAAGGCTGGGTGCTGCTCTGGATAAGCATGATGCGATTCGGGCCGCTTTTCGGTGGGAGTTTGTCCTGTTTGTGACGGATATGAGGTGTCAACCAGCATGGGGCCTGATGCGTGGCCCGGCCGTGGGCGTTCCATACTCGGCGAGCGTGAGCGGTCCCGTTGTGTTTGCTGGTCAATCAAGTCACCCTCTCCACTGATCATGACTACACGCTGAGACATGGCCCTCATAATGGAACCTGCCCTCGACAAAGCGCCGCTTGTTGATAGGGACCGAGATCGGCGTCTATCATCGGGAACCAAACTGTCTCCAAAGCTCCGGTGACGGTCCGCGGTGAAGTTGTTTTCCAGATCAAAACCAAGCATGGTATTGCGAGGTCGCGAGGAACCATTACCCAGATCAGAGACAGTCTGGAAACTATCCCTTGGTGCTGCATCTCCTTCCGGGGCGTCCAAGCGACCGATGGGCTGGGCTGCCGGCTTCAGAGGAACACTATCCGACTCTAAGGAATCCGTATCGGTACGCTCCTCATAATAGGGGTGAGGTACACTGTAAGGATCACTGGCACTAGGCATATAGGAAGCTGAAGGGGGCAGCTCATGACCATGGCCAGAAATATTCGGAGGTAGGGCGAACTGAAGTGCCATATGGTCGATTGGCGAATCAGCGGCGCTTCGGTCGTCGCGGCCGGACGGATAGGGGTGCTCCCAATATGTTGAGAGCCCAGGAAGGTTGGCGGACATGGGAGCAGTTGAAGGTGAGGGCATCTGAAGTCCGGCTTCCGAGTTGCGGACGTTATCGTTGGTTTCGCTAGTCCTTCCACCGCCGCCCTCTTGTCCCTCTGGAACCGGCCGTAGATCGCGTAATGGAATGGACTGCTGGTGGGAAGTAGAGGACACCGAACCCCGTCGGGGCGAAGTTGATTTATGGTCGCTCATTTTGACAGATCAGAGTTTCTGTATGATTTCTGGGCAGCCTCTGAGTAGAACACCCCCTTTTGTAAAGCTCAGCGCAACACGCCACGGCACTTGGAACATGTAATGTCAAGACTTTTGAGCCAGCATTATATGAGAACCGAGGGACCTTGAGCTGGCGTGGCAGCCATGGACCTGCGCGCTTGAAGTCGGACGAAGCTGACGGCTACGTAGCAATGGCAAGGCGCACTGGTCGGGGCGATATCGAATGTAGCAATGTTCCCGTCTCCCGACAACTGCCGTAGGTCTTGAAGGATCGGCTTAACGGTATGGGTTCCCTTGGGGAGGACGGCGGCCCGGGAAAACGAATGTAATAATTGCTCGACGGCTCGGTGGATATTCTCGATTGCTCGGTCGATCGTTCGGTTGCTCGTGGGCTAGTCAAAGGCGTAGTTCGACAAGATATGCGCAGAGGTCGAGGAATTGAGTATCGCGGAAAGCAGGGCAACGAGGGGCGCAGTCAGGGGGCACCAGCTGGATGTGGCAGTTGGAATCGCAGGAATCGCAGAAATAGTATGAAAGCGGAAGTGTAGACCACCAGGTATAGAGTAAATGTAACGAGCGACAAGTAGGATAAATAGGATGGTGAGCGCGGGGCTCTCTCTTTTTCCTCTCTATGTGTTATGCGACTAAGCTGGTTTGAGGGTCCGGGTTGTGACTGAACGTGGATATTGTTGGAGTGTGTTTAAACAAAAAAAGAACGGGCAAATAACAAGGCCAAAGCAATGCTTGCGACGACAGGGTCCGTAGTTGTGCGGCTGTTTGCGGGGATGATGTCCTGACGATGTTGATTGGGAGGGTGTGAGGTCAGCCTGGCTGAGGATACTTTTTAGATGTCGAGGGGAAGACGATGTTCATCGATTCTAGAAGTCCATGTTCAGCGTCGAAGTGGTGGAAGTGGAAGCTCCTCTGTCACGTTCTCGCCCCGGGGATTCCAAACAGTGGACGCTGCCTGGGGTTCCCGTCGGTGGGCCACTGTCCAGCCGCAGTCTCTGGGCAACCTTAGCACTCGTCAAGTCAAATTCCACTTTGACCCGCGTCCTGTTCCTGGCGGTCATTCTCAATCCATCCTAGCGTGCTGCGCGGCCACAGGCGCAGCCCAGGTACAGAGCCGGTGATAGGCAGGTTCGGCAGGTACCGTCGTGGAGTGCTTGTATCAGGGGATTTGCCGTCTTTTTTAACGGGCAGCAAAGTGGAATCAGCAGCGACCAGTTTACGAACTGCCAAGGTAATTTACAATACGCGTACAGCATGCGGTGCAAAAGTTCGAGAATCGCTAAAGTCAGTAAGGCCCCACCTGCCGAACGTGAAACATGAACGATGGTGGCATCCCTGAGAAATCATGGATGACATAAGCAAAGTGGAAGTGATCTCTCAGCCCTGCGCCTGGCAGGTTGAAATCCACCCTCTGCCTGCCGCAGCGGGTGGCCCAGCTATCAAATGCCGGCCCCGTTGCTTGATGTATGGTTACAAGAAAAGGTACGTACCTCCACTAGTGTACATAGGTACGCACTGCACGTCAAGCGCGCCCCTAGTTCCCGGTCCCGCGTAGTAGCAGGCCACGGCAGCGCAGCATACTACCCAGCACTTCAATTCTATTACGCAGTAGACGCGCCGCGACGGGAACTTGAACTTGGTCGTCAGTTCAACCGGTGCTTATCACCAAGCCCACCGCCACAAGAGTTTCCCGGCTCTCTTGTCAGGCGACCAATTCATCTCCATCATCAAGTCGACCGAACATTCAATTCCAATCACCCCGACTCCAGATTCATCTCCATAGCAAAAGCTCTGCAACTAGCTTCGACGCCGATCCGACTTCCCAACGAGTCGACGTTAACCTTCGACTTGGTCTTCGAGACCACGCCTCGCTTCCGTCTCCTCGACCACGAAACCAAATTATCGCCGTACCCATTGACGCACATTCGAGACCCATCTTCACGATGCCGATATCGCGGAAGCGGGCCCTCCAAGAGGCCGACACCAGCAACAATGCGCAACCTCCAAAGGAACCATCTGTACTCCATCGCATAAGGAACATGTGGCAGTTTGCCAATCTTTTCCAGTTCATTCTCTTATTCGGAAAGGCGCTCAAGCTGGACGACAGTCTTGATATCGAGGTATGGCAGGAGATCCAACATATTGGCAGGTGTTCCGAGCTGACATGTTCATTGCGACAGGACCTCGAGGCCGAATGTCTAAAGCCAGGCTCAATGGTCCTCCAGGACATTGGCCTCGGTACCCTCAAGTTCCTCTCGTCCCATCGAGGCCTCACGTACGTCGACGGAATCTCCACACTCCGATATCTGTCCCACCGAGTTTGCTTACAGACAAAATTAGCCACGACGTGTTCGAAGAATACACCCGAAGACAGTTTCTCGCCAAAGCTCCTGAAAAGAACCCTTTCGGAACTGAGGATCTGCCTACCAAGTTTGCCGACTTCGACGTCTTTACAAAGGTATGAAATAGTGTATAACGACAGCTCCCAAGATACCACTCTCCTCGCCGTTCAAGATGATACTAATGATGGGCTATCTCTAGATCCGTGTACTCCAGCAGATGAGCCAGCTTGTCATGTGTACCCCCGAGCGACTTCGCGAGAGGACAGAGGAGCAAAAAGATATGGACCAGACCAATTGGGTGCGCAGTCTTCCCTTTCTCGACAAGCGCTTTTTTGCTAACGAGATCTCTAGCGAATCGAACCATATGGATGGGACAGCGAAGATCGTACCTACTTCGTATTAGATGATAACCGCATCTATCGATTGACCGAGGCCCGGCCCCCGCTCCCAAACCCAAGAAGAATACCAAAAAAGGCCAAGGCCGTCTCCCGAAGCAGCAAAAGACGTCGCGTCTCGGCAGCGGTCAGTGAGGATGGCGATGCTGGCGACGAGGACTCTGTGACAGGGCAACCAGATAAGCCTGAAGACGACGGCCTTGGCGGAATGAAATGGGAATGCCTCGCGGTCTCCTTGGACGAGGTCCGTCAATTCCTTGCCACTATCCAGAGATCCAAGGATCCAAATGAGAAGATCCTGCGCGAACAAATCCAGGACCATCTCGTCCCCATCCTCGAGAAACAAGAAGAGTCCAAAAAGCGGAAACAGCTGCAACGAGAGAAGGAGCTCCAGGCACTGGAGAAGATGGCGCACGCCAAACGATCCAGCCGTATTGCCGGCAAGCTAGAGCAACAGAAGGCGGAAGAGCAGGCCCGGGAAGAGGAACGCAAGCGCCGAGAAGAGGAGGCTGCCAGGCGAAAAGAAGAGCAACGGCAAGCCAAGATGGAGAGGGAGAGAGAGCGCCGACTCATGTCAAGAGAACAACGACTGAAAGAGCGAGAAGTTCGCCGTCTTCAGGCCGAAGAAGAGCTGGCGCAATTGTCCGAGGACAGCAAATCCGTCGGCTCAGGGCCCGGTCGCATGTCGGAGCGGCACCGACAAGCAGCGATTGAAAAGAATCGGAGAGCTCTACAGGAGCTGCAAGATGAGGAAGATGATTGGATCTTCGATTGCATTTGCGGTGTATATGGGCAGGTCGACGACGGGACACATAGCGTTGCCTGTGAGAGGTGCAATGTCTGGCAGCACAGCAAATGCCTGGGTATTGCCAACAGGACGCCGAGCAAGAAGACTTCCATTTCATCTGCAGCTCTTGCCGCCGAAGTGAGGCAGAGAAATCCCAACAACCCCGGGTCATCAAGCTGAAGGTCAACCGCCATGCTTCATCGTCCCCTCCTCCTCACCAGGCGGCCAGTGACATCTCCCGGTCTCAAGCTGACCGGCCAGAGCTTGTTGTCGAGCTAAAAGCTCGGGCGGTGTCTGGATCGTCTACCGATCGTAGTAGCGAGGAGAAACCCCGCTCTGGGTCTCAGGATAGCCCATCGGAGCAACAAGAGGCAGGCACCGAACCCACCACTCTTCCCGGTGAGAAGAAGGGTACGGCCAGGCCGGTCACTGCGGCGAGGTCTGTTGGGAAATCGCCAGGGCGACGGGAGATGAACCCATTTTCATCGCCGCATCCCACTCTGTCTCCTCCTAACCAGTCACCCGGCAAGTTGAGAGCATATGACAGCATATTTGACCATTCTGCACCCTTTCCTGCTGTTGGTCGCGAAAACTCGGCGCATCTCAGAGAGGAGGGCTCACTGCCTGTGTTGCCGCCCCCTGCCGGAAACGGTCGTTGGACCTCTCCGTCAAAGCAACCGCAACGGCCATCTTCGCCTCTGGGAACAAAAAGCTCTCCTGCCGCTGGCGCCAGAATAGTGAGCACGCCATTGCCACAACTTACCCCTGTGCAACCCGATCCCCACGCCCGGAATGGAGCCATGGACCGGTCATCACCCTTACCGCCTTCCCGTGGAGGGCTATCGCCAACCAAACATTCGCCGCCTGTACCGCCGCGCCATCAGGTGAACGGCTCTGTCAGTGCTGGAGCTTCCCCGTCAGGGACTGGTCGCGCCACCCCAGTCTTCCCCCCTTCAGCAGCTTTTGCCCCTACCCCTCAACAGCAAAATCTGGCACCGCCGGTGAAGCCGGTGAAGCCCGATGAGCCGGCGAAAGCGCAGCCACAGCCGTAGAATGTGCTGGTGCGTTAAGTCGTATTCATCGTCAGCTAAAGGACGAATGACTGCCTTCGCGGCCACATGTTAAAAGAAAAAGTATCAGATGAACATAACACAAGCTAGTGGCTGGTTTTGCCCTGCCATTCGTGCCAAGTCATGGAAGCCATAAAATAGTAGCGTTCGACATTCGGCAATTGTTTTCCTTTGGAGGGACGCCCGATAACCACACAAAGAAGCGATCGAGGGCCCAGCAAAGCCTCCCGCAGACTGAGGGTCCGCGGTGACCTCTCGGGCCCTTGGGTCGGGACCGATAGAGGTCAGTCTTCTTTGACAGTGTTTGTCAGAGTCGAAATCGAGGGATTGGCCCATCAGGGTTGAAATCTTGCATAGTATTTGCATCTTGTATCTGAACAGGCAGTCATTCTCTGTAGATCACAGGTCAGCAGCATTAGTGTAGATGGATAGATACAAAAATGAATTGGACGTCATGAGAAGAGGATGATGGCAGTCCTTGGGATTACCAAACTACCTGTCATGTTGGGTCCCAGACACCGGAATTACCGGCAAGTGGAACTCATCAGGATGATGGTCTCGCTGAGGATGTAGAGTTCGTCGTGAGACCACGTATGAAAATTGCTGAAACTGTCGTGAAGAGGATGATGAGAAGTGATAGATTGTCCCCATAGCCGACAGCTCGCACGAGCAGCTGCCTTGGGCTGGGTGTGGATTTCAGGGGTCCTGGTCGGCTGGGATGATGAGATCTCCAAAGATATTTGTTTTGTCGATATTTCTCAAGGGCTTCACGATACCACTGCCGTCCCTAGTCCAGCGCCACTCCACCTGTAGCTGGGAGGTATGTGATAGACACTTGCCGTGATGTTTATCGTCCGACTTCACGATGCCGTGTATCTCAAACTTGGGTTCCTTTTGTTGAATCACTTATTTCCCGTTCCCCTTATTTTTCTTTTCTGGAATGCATCTAGAGTTAGACGAAAGGGACCGCCCTTGAAATCCTACGTGCTTCCACCTCCATTGAGTTTGTGCCAGGCCGGGCATCTTTCTGAGATGGAAAAGAGATGCTCACCTTACCCTATTCACATGTGCTTATGCTATTGGCTAGCTACCGTATAATCATCCCTTTTGGCTCCATTCAGAAACAGATTCATGATTAGTTTCCCTTTTATCTGTCGCGTGCTCCCCCTCCCTTTCCGCCTTTTCAGTTCCTCACTTAGGTTTCAAAGCCAAGTCTCTGGCTTCAAGGTTAGCCTTGCCCCAATGATGGACGTTCGCTCCAAACAGAAGCGAGTTAGAATCCGGTGCCTTAGACATGGGCAAGGGGGTTGGAAGGGAAATGCTAGTGATGCAGCTACCCGACGCCATCTTTGGAGTTTATCGACATCCCTCCAGTGAAATTGCCTACCAAGTTTTCCTTTGCTTGCTTCCGTGCCTCCCCTCGACAGGGGTCGGTAGCAGAGCGGCCCAGAGATATTTCAGATTCCGCACTGCCCAACATGCGCTGTTAGTTGAAGATTTATTTGTGCACGTTGGAAGGGAGGGTGGACTAGAATGCATATCCAACATGTTCCGTGCCTTCGCCACCAACCGCGGGAAAGCAGAGCAGCAGGTTCATCATCTATGCAGCCCGCCTACACACCAGGGCTACACACCTCATCTACACCGTAGTTTATGGCATGCATACTAACTACCCTGTATGCCAGATCTGGGATGCAAACTTGGCTTACATGGCTTGCCCGGCTTGCATACACAGCATAGCGGGAAGGATCAAAAAATAATTATAATACCACAAATTCTGGTATTCTTCTCAGCCTCCATCCCTGGGGTTCTAGGGCGTATAGAACCATCCCTCCCTTCCCTGATCTTGACCTTGGCAAAAAGAGCTGCAACTGATGACCGCGCCCAACGCCAGTCATGTGCCAACCACGGGACGTAGATTGGGGAGTCGACACTCAAGAAGAGAGATAGCAGCAACCTTGTTAGCCCGCTCCCCGGATCTGGATGTAACACTTTCTCCGATGAAAGAAAGCCGCAACGCCATGAAGGTCCCTTAGCGACAGGTCACTAAGTACCTGCTCATGCCGTTTCCGGGAGTTGCCGGCACATTCCAGTCGAAACACTTTTGGACCCTCAACCAAGCAAGCCCGCCCTCTCTTTTCGGTGAACACTCTCAGTTTTCCCACTTGCCGCACCTGCGAGCGTACTGTAGTTTGTAGAAGCCGCACCGTATTCAAGCCCCTCTTCCGACCACTGTATGCCACTTTAAAAATTGGGACACTCTCAGTTCCCTAGGACGGAAAAGCCCTGTAGATGGTTGCGGCGTTCGTTTCGTCGGCTGGGTGCTTGAACCCGTGGAGCAGAACCAAACAGTCGATGGCCAGGGACCCCAGAGAGACTGTAGGATCTAGAGCTTCACTGGCACGAAAAGGGTTCTCTCCCCAAATCTGCCATCACATCCCTCCCCTTGGAAGTTTTTGCTGCCGGCTCACTAACCCTACAGCTTGTCTGCTCCCCGGAATCCGGGACCGGCCAAGAACAGTTGGTCGAGGCTCTGCGATCCCTGTGACACAACGGCTCAGTGCCTCTGGAAATAGACATGACCATGGATCATTCCCAGGTAGCTACCGCTTCTTCTCATTCAGATCCCTTCCCTGGGCACGGGTACGTCAGGTTTGCCAGGTCTCCGTAAGAGCAACTCGCTCCCACACGGCAGCCGCACCCCCGTTAGCCCCCCATCCCCATGATGCTGCCCGTGGTTGCTCTCCCAGCAGAGTTCCCTGGACTTCGCCCAGGTGGCTCTTCCGAAAGCAGCGTTCTCCTGGATGCGGCAACAAGTACGATCGTAGACCAACCGCACCTCCAGCAACTAACAATGTCTAATAAAGAAGTCATGAATAAATACATGCTCTTGGTCTCCCCGCCTTTCTTCTTTCTCCTCGTGTGTGCCCCATCAAAAGAGTGCTGCTCTGTCCAAGCCAACAAAGGTAGTCTCTCCTTGCAACCCCTTTTTCCTCCCATATCATCCAGAGCGCGGGAGACCCAGATCACAGCCGGTCAACAAGCATCCGGCCACTTCTCTCCCATACGCACCGACCTGTGTCTGTCCTGCGGTCGAGCTCTCACAAACAAAGAAAGGAGGATAGGTACCGCAATCTCTTCCAGCACACAACGCGAACCACCCCAGAGACAACATCCCAGACAGCTTTTGCATCTGCATCGTCCTGCAAGACCGGGTAGGAGTTCCGGGAGTGGTTGGAAAACAGCGGTAAAGGTGTTCGAACAGACGGACGCACCACATCGACATCTCCTTCTCCATCGGCATCCAAGAAGCCCGACATTTCTTCCAACCTGAGAGAGAATTCCGATTGGGAAAAACAGGGCTTGTTTGTAAAGAGAACAGAGAAGAGACAGATAGGAAAGGCATCTCATCCTTGCCAGGAAACGAGCAGTTGCAACAACTCTTCGCTTTGCTCATGTCAAAAAAGCCCGAAACAGCTCGATTATATCACTCCTGTTCCGGTACCAAAGTAACGGGATCACTTCCTCTTTGGTCATCCACTCCACGAGTCATCCACTAGGACAACAACAACAACAACAACAACAACAACAACAACAACAACAACAACAACAACAACAACAACAACAACAACAACAACAACAACGACAACAAGCCTTGATATCAACAAGAGCAAGCTGGTCTCAGATAGTCCCTTGCTTCAGAAGAAGAAGAAGAAGACGGCGACGGCATAATCGACCCCGGAAACGAGACGTCCTCATGAACCAAGAGTACCAAACAACGACATCGACCCTCGCAATGGATAGGCGCACACCACCTTCCCCTGCCCCTTCGGGGATAAGTCTTCATCATGACTATGTTCAACAACATCACCCAATGACCTTTCCCTCACAATTGTTGGACAACATGGCGCCAACAGTGCCCTTCCAGACACACTCGCAACCAGGGACGAGATACGGAACACCAGTTCCCCATCCTTTATCACACTCTCAAAGCTTCGACACCGGGCTTCAACAACAGTACCAGCGTGCCATCAGTGTCCAGCCTGTAAGATAGACATCACATCTCCCCGCCCCTCGTGGCGGTCCTGTATCCATGATAAGCTGACATGATGTTGGGAAATCCAGCAATATCACAACCAGTTGTACGGGCAGGGCAACAGCCCATATGGCCCCATCCCCGAGGTAAACTCTTTCCCGATCTGGCTTGAACTGGGGTTGTGAGTGGACGCTAACGTGGTATCGTACCCCCTTTCAGCCCTACAGCACTCCGGCGACGTCCCCACCAACACCGGCACGACATGCCGAGCTTATGAACAGCAAAATCAGGAATTCCCCCCTCAGGAATCTGACCCGCAGCTCCAAGATCGAGAAGAAGGCGCCAAGGAAAAAGAAGTCGACAGCGGAATCGAAGAAGCTCGAAGGTAAAGTGGCAGCCCTGTTGCTCGACAAGCCCCTAAGCCAGCAAAAGGTTCCCGAAGACCTGGTGATCACCAATATGGAGGAATACGTGAACCGAGCGAAGGAGGCGCGACAACGGGAGGTGGAAAGCGGCAAGAACCCGGGCAAAGTCAAGCGGCCGATGAACGCATTCATGCTGTACCGCAAGACGTACCAGGGCGTGGCCAAGGGCTGGGCGGACGAGCACAATCACCAGGTGGTGTCTCGGGTGTGCGGCATGAGCTGGCCGATGGAGCCGGAGCAGGTGCGGGAGCAGTTCAAGGCGTGGGCGGAGAAGGAACGCGAGAACCACCAACTGGCCTTTCCCGACTACAAGTTCACGCCCACCAAGCCGTCCAAGGCGCCCAAGTACAAGGACGGCAACGAGAGCGAGTGTTCGGACCCCGAATGGGACCCAACAGGCAACATGCGGTCGCGAGCGCTCACGCGCGCTCGCTCGATGACCAGGGCGTCCAGCGATGACTTTGACGATCATCCGCAGTATGTCATGGGCCGCTTGACCTATCCGCCTTATGGGTACCCGGCGAGCAACTATAACACCATGGCCGCTTTCGCCGGGCACCGGTCCGCCTTTGAGTATTCCAACCCGGGCAAGGCCATGCCGGCGCCGTATGAGCCGCACACCGGGGCGCTGCGGGACGGGTCGTACTATGAGGCGCAGGTGCACACGCCGCCGAGACATCTCCATCATGGCATGTCGGTTGAGGATATTGTAATGCGTAGGACGCCATCGCCGACCATGGCCTACTCTGGAGGACACTCCCACGGGTTATCGATGTCCAAGGCCGAGGCGCACAGGCCTGAGCCAGTACAGCTACCAGCCCATGTTTACCGATCACTTCACGGCCAGTCCGCCGCAGTACGACCTCCCAGCGCAGCAATCACAGCTGTTGAAGCAGGAGCACTACGACCACCAGCATGAGCAGAAGTATGATGCGCATCTGGAGCAAAAGTACCACCATCATAGTCAAGACTCGCAACACGAGCAGAAGTACGATCCCTACCACCACGAGCACAAGTACCATATGCTCGACGAGCCGCGCATCGACCCATCGCTAGAGAATGTGTACACGACCTCGGCCGGAGCGGGCATTCACAGCATGATTGGCAATGACGGCGGCGGCGGCGGTGATAACAAAAAAAGCGTCATGACGCAGGTAACCACCTCATCGACACAGAGCGCATGGCAACCCAACGCATCGGGATCATCCGGGGGAGCCGGGCCCATGGCTTCGGGGGCTATAGCGACAATGGCAGCAGTAGCCAGTTTGTTGACAGCTTCAACATGTACGAGGACGACCCAAACCCATTGGATGGACTGAGCAAGGGCGACTGGCATGTGACAAGCGTAGACCCTCCGCTTCCGGACAGCAGCCACTTTGACATGAGCTGGATGACGGACCAGCCTGCTGTAGCTGACGCAATCACGGTGAAGACGGAGCTGGTCAGCCATACGCCGTGAAAGGATGGTCGCGGGTACAGTAACCTGGACGACCCATGTCAGTTAATGTTTTTAGACGATGATAATGCTATCTTGGGAAAAAGGGGCCATAGCCACAATGGCGTGGTTAAGGGAGGCCGAACAAGTCCTTTTTCACATCTCCCTCTCTCTCTCCCTCGTCAGGAGTAATGAACTGGAACGAGAACAGGACACGGGACAGGATCTAGGATGAATTTACAATCAATCATGGGTACAGGACACGGAACGGGCACAGGAAACGGGGTTTGGGGTTTGGGGTCTTGGGATTGGAATTTCTGAAATTTGGAATTGCGAATAGGCATTGGATGGATCATGGATTGGATAAAGATACCTTGGATACCACAACCACACACACCCTCTTGGATAGAGAACCCTTGTATGTTTACCACATGGCGGCGCAAACACACCATTGTATTTTGAGGCTTTTGAGGCTTGAGGCTTGTATGTGCTCGGGACCGAAGCATGCAAGCCAAGCATCTCTCGATCTGGGATTTCTTATTGTACTAGTAGACCCTATCATTTGATCTGAATGTAGACAAAACTCACCGACTTGGAGCCACGGCAGCAAACAGTCTATACCAAGTAAAGGTATGTGTACTGTATCTCGTGCGCCTTATCTTCAAACATGCTCATCTGTAGGGTTTCCCGTCCAGCTGCCGTCTAAGCCGCCCTACCGTCGTGGTGGTGGTGCCTTGCATTCAGAATCAATCTCCAGTCATGATTTGTCAATTGAATAGAAAGTAAATAAATAACATGATGCGGTGGAGGTGGCTGTGGTGTTGAGCGGGAGGCTCCGTGTTGAACGTCGGTGACGATGACGAGCACGGCGGCCGCGACGTTTCCGGCATGTGGTTGTAACGATCAAGGGTTGTGACTTGGAGAGTTGAAGTCATCTTCTCCCTGCGAATCCATGGAGCCGCAGTTGGCACCCTAGCACCGGCTGACGTGCGATACCACCCTACAGCCCCGCTTCGTCGGCTGAGCTCGATACTAGCATACCTTCAAGCTAGTACTGGATATCTGCAACTTCTTCCTACTTTTTGCAGACAGTTATGCGACCAAGCAAATAGCCCATCATGACCCTATTACCAGTTACACACGGTACCTTGTAGCTTTGGACGTCAACATCGAGCACTTGACATCGACAATCCATCATCTACATTCCAGACACCTCTACGGCCAAACCGCCTGCAACCGAATCTGCCCCATCCCATACGACCCAAATCCCGACACCTCTTACGCTACGATTGTATACTTGAAATATCGTCAATATGACGTGGATATCCAAAACCATCACCGTCTTTGGCGGCCTTCTCCTCGCCCATGCGTAAGCACTCCTCCCTTCGTTTCCCTAATCGCGTCGGACCCTGGTCTTCTAAATACCATGTTCTACGCTACTCTGACCGGTTGAAATCTGACAATCTGGCGCACAATACAGATGCTACTCGGCCCAAGAGCACGCAGCACTGCAATCCTTCAAGGCAGCGGCCACGAGCACACTCACCTCGTCCACCCCGGTCGCATCGTCGCTACCTGTGGACATTGCCATCGAGACCATCGTTGCGACCCTAGTTACCGTGCTTGGTCTGGTTCTGGGAACGCGCCCGCTTCGGCCGATTCAGTGGCGCGTCTGGGCCGGCAAGATTGAGCGGGAAGGCGAGGAAGGGTTCTTGGGCAACAACGGAGAGGTGGAAAAGGACTACATGGGCAACCCCTTCAGCTATCTGGAGAGTAGACCCAGCTTTGTCGACATTCGAAAGCAGCGCAAAGAGTTTGCCGATTTTGTTGTGAAGCAGTGAGGAAGGTGCCCGCGGATGGATGGGATGCCATCGGAGCCTCACTACCTACGCCAAGTTGGTGCTTTATATTATTACAGACCATGGGGTATTTACATTGTTGCGGTTTAATTGGAAGAGGATATTTTTATGACATTGATAGGGTACTTACCCGGAGGTATGTTCGTTATCTGGGCTCTGCGATGGTCACGTGGAGCAGATGCTTCAATAGAGGTATCTTGATCCACGGTTGTTCAAACTGCTCCTTCCCAAGTTGTCAGGCGTGCACCAGTATGATGGTAGGATGGCTGCTGCCTTGAGAGGAGGCTCCTGTCGGAACATGAAAAGTCATGCGCACCGAGGCGTCCACTCTCGTTTGCACAAAATGCTTTTCTGATGGAATGACGTGGAATCCAACTAAACTTGAACGCACGCACTTTCAAAATCCCTTCAAGTAGTGATTCTATTTACTTGGTGCTGACCGCCCCCATCCTCATCCAGCAGCTATCACCAGCATCTGGTATCCCGTCTATTATTTGTTTCCTTCCGCCGTCCCCCTAGCCCCATATCTTCACCCTCTCTCTCGTCGATACCACCAATGAGAGTGTGAGAGTGTCAACCTCTTGACCATGAGTTCCTCCATTCGGGTCAGTAGTGACCCTTCGGGCCGCTCTACTGCTTCACCAGCGCCACCCCTTCAAGCTTGGTAGCATCCACAACTGCTTCACGCCGTCCACCTTCGAGTTTGTCTCGGGCCTCTCTGCATCGGCGAAGTGTCACTTCGTCTTCACGTAGAGATGTTAGCGGCTCCTCTTTGGCCCGCCGCAGAGGAAGTGCTACTAGACCATATTCTACGCCATCTGGAACCCCACGGCCTCGGGCAGCATCATCCCGTCAAAGCCGGTATCAAATACAAAACACCTTTAGACATACTGCCTCCGTAGCCTCTGAGAGACCATCGACAATATCTTCGTCATCATTCCGGTCTACCCCGCCTGGCTTGAATTTTAGATCTCCCAGACCCGTGGAGCCTCTTTCTCATCTACCTCTTCACCGCGACGCGAACTCCAAAGCTCTCCAACATTGCCCACTTTACCAAGAGCACCGATGAGAGATCTTCATCCATCCTCTTCTGCTACGCCGACGACCGCGAGATCTTCGACTTCTCACCGTCCTACCTATACTGCCACTCTTTCTTGTCACGACGAGGCAGAAGAGGAGAGGTACAGAGAGCAGACCTCCGATGCTCTGAACGAAGTCATTATGGCTGTCGATATGAACAGAGATGGAAAGGTCGGATGCGCATACTATGTCGTCCTTGATGAGACTTTGGTCATCGAAGAAGACGTCTCTATGGGTGGGATCGAAACTGTGGCCACTTTGGTGCTCCAAGCGCAGCCAACGACTATCATGGTGCCAAACAGGGCTCCCCAAAAACTTACCGAGTTCCTTGAGAAGGATGCGCAAAAGCTTGACGAGGACGATGCCACCGAAATTCGAGGGCTCTATATCCTTCGCCATCTTGTCAGCGCAGAGTTTGACTATGACGCAAACAAAGAAGCGCTTTTGGGGCTTTACAACGATGCGTGTTCCGGAGATGGGATGTCGCCAGGGGCAGAAGACGAAGACGCCATGCATTGCATTGGTGGTTCAAGCCACAGGCGACTGATGCGCTTAGAGAAGACAGTCAATCTCGGTAGCCATCTTTCGATTGGTTGTGCTGGGGCCGTGTTGAGTGACCTTGAGCGTCGCCGCAGCACTGAATATCTCGCCCCTGGTGCCGAGGCACCAATCTCTTTCAGAGTCAAGGCAATCACCATGAGTTCACAGTCAGATGTGATGCTCATAAGTGCAGACGCCTTGTTGTCGCTACAGATAATGCGAACAGAGCTTCACCCAAACCCGCAACTCCAGTGCCTTGGAGGCTCCGAGAACAAAGTCAAGGAAAGCCTTTCCATTTCCGGGCTTCTCCAAGCTCTAGCAGGAACGGTCCAAGGAAAAGCAAGACTCCGTCAAATGCTCTTTCAACCGAGCCTTGATGCCGATGTTATCGAAGAGAGACAGACGAGCATTGCGGTCTTTCTCCGCCCCGAGAACAGTGATATTGTAGCAAGCATACGGAGACAGTTGAAGAAAGTCAAGAACATCAAGGCCGCATTGCACCATGTCAGAGGCGGTGTTGACAGAATCAGAGGGCAGTTGTCCCTTCGGATCAACGACTGGAGGGCGCTTTTGCGGTTCACAATGATCGCAACCCAACTACGGGAGGACATACGATCCCTTGCGGGAGGCCAAGATTTGAGCATCTACGCAAAGGTAAGTCAACATGCCACCAGTGGGGTTGGTTGGATAACCTGCTAACACACATGAATTCTACCAGCTCCAAGACGATATTGACACCCAGGCAATTCTCCAGGCTGGAGAAATGATAGTGAACACTATCGACTTCAAATTGTCACAAGACACGGGCCGAACGGAAATCTTACCAGGCGCCAGTGAAAGATTAGACGAGCTTAAGGACGACTACACGCAGGTGTTCCAAGAGCTTTCCGATATCAAACGAGAGGTATTGGCGCAAGTCCCAAGATGGGCTGTCCAATATGTCCAGGAATGTACTATAGTGCCCCGGCTTGGGTTTCTCATTGCAGTGACCCTAAACCCTGATACGGGAGAAGGTGCTTTCAACGGAAGGGGAGTTGCAGATGACGAGTGGCACCAGGTCGTGACGGACCATCAACGGGCCTACTACAAGAACAAGACAATGGTCGAGCTGGACGGCATATATGGCGATTTAACTGCAGAGATTGCCGGTGAGTTTCCACGAGAGCAAGCAGTTTAATCCAACTCCATTACTGACAGTCATCCAGATGAAGAAATTGAGGTTGTAATCAAGCTGGCAGCGGCTGTTTTTGAGCACGAAAATGCTCTGATTCGCGCCTCGGAAATCCTGGGGGAGCTTGACAGCCTGCTTGCGTTGGCTTTGGCTGCAGAGAAGTTCAATTGGGCGCGACCAAAGATGACAAGCGAGAACGTCCTTGACATTGAGGGCGGACGTCACCCTCTCCAAGAGCTTCTCGTCCCGTCTTTCATCCCCAACGACTGCTTTCTCAAAGGTGGTCGCGGATCGGAAGACAACGACGAGGTTGATATCGCAGGTGTCGAGTGCGAACCGAAAGAGTCGTCCGTCTTGATCTTGACTGGCCCAAACAGCTCGGGAAAGAGCATCTACATGAAACAGGTTGCCCTAATCGTCTATCTGGCACACATTGGGAGCTACGTGCCCGTCACACGTGCGACGATCGGAATAACGGATCGGATCTTCACACGGGTCGCTACCCGAGAAACTGCCATGGACGACGAAAGCGCATTCATGACCGATCTCAAACAAGCAGCCTTCTCCACCAACTTTGCAACCCGGCAAAGTCTCGTACTCGCAGACGAGTTCGGGAAAGGCACCAGTATGGACGCCGGTGCGGCCATCTTGGGAGCCTATATTTACCACTTCCTCGAGATGGGGGCAGATCGCCCTAGGGTGCTCGCGAGCACACACTTTCACGATGTGTTCAAGAAAGGATTCCTAAAGCCCGAGGAGGGCGTGGCGTATGCTCACATGGAAGTTCGACTGGACCCCGAGGCCAAAGATGTTGAAGATCGAATCACGTATTTGTACCGCCTTGTCCCCGGACGCTCTGAACACAGCCTGGGACTTATGTGTGCGGCGATCAACGGCATTGAGGATCGTGTGTTGAAGAGAGCCCAGGAGATTCTAGACATGCTTGAAGGAGACAAAGACATTGATGAGGTCTTTTCGAAACCCAGTGATGAGGATATCAAGGAATTGAAGAATGCGGAGATCGTTGCTAGGCGGTTTCTTGCCATGGAATTGCCAGAAGAAGGGAGTACTACCGTGAATGGTCGTTCGGTTCGGGACATGGTTCGGGACATCTTGGTGATCGAGGAGGATGAGGGAGAAGTAGGCGATGCTGGATCCGAGAAGTGAATAATCCGGTGTAAGGTAAGGTAAATGTGAATCTGTAATAATAGTGTAGTTGTGCATTTAGATGAACGAGTCACCTAATATAAAATATAATTTTTTTTTTAAGATTTTCAACTAATAAGCAACTCCACACAACTCGTGCAGAAAAATCTTGAACCGAGTTCTGGAAGTATCCCGATTCCTATCATTTTGAAGATACCTAGATTCTGCCACCATCCATCGTCTACTATACAACTATCAAGGCAATCGCATGCTCGCTACTCTTCTCACTCGGGTATCATAAATGCCACGCTAATGCTCCGTCCTCATCCCGCTCTCTAACATATCCACCATGTTTCCCCGTAACAAGCCATAGAAGCCCGCTTCTTGCTTGCTGTTCTTTCCTCATAAACACATAACTCATACATTATGTCCTGCCTGCCCGCCGCGCAGTGCAAAGCGTCCGCTTGCCTCTCTCTCCGCTCTATCTCTCCTCCCTTATATACACCGTCAAGACCTTCCTCCAAGCCAACATAGCGCATCAAATCACCTACGCAAATACCACCCCAGCGACAGCCAAACACACAAATGCCGATACCCAATGCAAAAAGGGTAACGATACCATCACGCTCTTCCCACCAGAACTGAGGATCGGCCCCGGGCCATACGGACTCGAATCCGGACGTGGTTTGTTGGAGGCCGGAGCGGAGGTAGCCGCCTCATCGGCTGGCTTGGTTGATGAGGACTGCGGCTGGAGCGTAGTGACGCTGCTTATGCTGGTGCTGCTGCTTTCTGGCGCGGAAGTGAACGCATCTGACGGGGAAGCAGTGGTGCTTGGCGCTGATGAAGACGATTCGAGCGTAGTTTGTATGCTCGTTGACTTTGTCGTAGATGCTGGTGGAGGAGGCACATCTGCGGTAGTCGCCGTCACCGGCGGCGGCTGTACCGTAACCAGCGTCGTAGGCAAAGGCTGGTGATGGACCGTGGTGGTCACAATAATAGTCGGCGAAGGCGGAGGAAGGTTCTTGACCAGCCTGCTAGCCCACGCCTCGGCGATCTCAATCTTCTCCTCGGGTATCGGCTGCCGAATGGATCTGCAACCGGCTTCCATGATGTTGATCAGAGTGTCGTCGGCGCGGCGGAGCTCGGCTTCGCAGTAGTAGGACATGCAGGTCAAGGCCAGCTCGAGGAAGATGCCCCTGCCTGAGAACTTGCACATGCATTGCGGGTTGTCGGTGCCGCAGCCGGACACGTTGACGCAGCTCTCGACGCAGGAGGGGAAGACGAATGCTGCTGGCGATGTTGAGGATGATGATGTGGGTGATGCTCGCCCTGGAGTTGTGTAAAGGAGTGACGAGCTGGCGCATAAGAGCGCAAAACGAATGATGCTGTTGTTTGAGATCATGGTTGTTGTTTGGTTTGGCTTCACGAACGGATGAAAGAGCGTGTGTTTGATGTGGTCGCGAGTGAGCTCCTCAGACGGGAGCGGATGAGAAGGAGTGAGGTTAAGTAATACCTCTCAAAGAACATGCATGGTGCCTGGAGGGCGCAGACAGACGAGAGACGACGAGGTTGGTGATAAACAGTGAAGGAGAGACAGACTCCGCAAGCGGAAGAGACAGATCAAGAGGAGGCTAGGAGAAGAAACCGCCAGGTGGTTGGAATCGGTTGGAATTCTCGGTGACATTCCAATGCCGCTGGCACTCTTCACGATGGCTTGGATAGGCGGGAAACATACTTGGCCGCCCGTTGGCATGGAAGACGGAAGACTTGTCTCACTTGGTCAAGCCCCCGAGGGTTCTTCCATCTGCGCGATCGCTTGCCGTGGAGGGGCGCGTTGCCCAAGATAGTGGTGCTGGTGATGGCGCTCCCATTCTGAAACATGAAAGAGCAGGGTCCGGATCTTGATGTTGCCGTTTCGAGAAAGGGCAGCCAATCATTCAGGTTTTCCAATGCAACGTCGTTAAGGTCGGCTAAGGACTTGAGAGCCTTGAGCGCGCTCATTTGAGTGAGACGTATTGGCGTCATAGTGTGTTATATGAGGTCGTCTTATGCACTTTTAAAAGGTAGGTCAGTCGCTCAGCATATTTGTCCAAATAGGGAACGAAACGAGGGTATTCAGAAGCCTTGGATGGTGATTTGAGAATCAAACATGGAGTACAGTCTTTCAAGTATGTAGTGTATTGATCTGTATCCGTGTAAGTGACCGTATTGGAGTTTGTACGCGGATGACATGCCCCGGATCCGCGTGGGGTGTGGGGAATTCCCTTCTAGTCTAGGCCTCGGACCCGGACACTGTGTACCGCGCTAGCCACAGTGCTGTGAACCTCGTTCCTGACGGTATCGTGGGGAATTTTTCTTATCGTGGGTTACGATAAGCCCAAAATTTCCCCGTTCCAAACACCACTGATCCCGTCATCTTGCTAGGACCGCAAGCTGGTAGGAAACAACAAACCGCCCATTTTCAACCTCCACCCACTCCTTCCTTACCTCGGACCGGCCTCAGATTTCCCGACGACATGGCGCCCACGAAGCCGAAGAATAAGTCTCAGAAAGACAAGGCGAAGGCTCGCGCCAGAGGCGCCGCTCAACCCTCGAACGTTAACGCCAGAGAATTGCTCAACAATGCGAGCGCGATGCTCGAGGTCGGCGACATTGAAAATGCGGCACAGACAGCAAAGAACGCATACAAGGCTATTGGTGAAGACGGAAAACTGGCTGGCGCCGCTCTCTCCCTCCTGGGCCATATCTACGTCGAGCTCGGCGAGATCGACGCTGCTCGCCAGTTCTTCCTTGCTGCAGTCAAGACAGATGAGGATGGAACGCTCCCCGAGGATGTTGCTGGCGGCCCCGAGAAGTTCCTATGGCTCGCGCAGCTCAGCGAAGAAGGCGGACAGGACAGTGTTTCCTGGTACGGCCGGGGTGCCTCTGCTTTGCGCCTCCAGATCCAGACTCTAAGCGACGAGCTCGAGAAGAGGCCCCACGGAAAGGAGCAACAAGAGGCGCTCATTACTGAGAAGAAGAGACGACTAGCGGCAATCCTCTGCGCCGTAGCGGAGGTATACATGACCGATCTGAGTTGGGAGGAGGACGCCGAGCAGCGATGCGAAGCTCTCATCACCGAGGCTATCATGCTAGCACCCGAGCTGGCCGATACCTGGCAAACCGTCGCCAACGTTCGCATTTCTCAAACAAGGGTGGATGAGGCCAAGGAGGCTTTGAGGAGGAGTATGGCGCTGTGGGAACACCTTGACCCCGAGGACCCCAACGTGCCACAGTTCCCTACCCGGGTGAGCTTGGTCCGACTACTGATTGAGGTTGGAATGGAGGAGAAGGCGATCGACGTCGCAGAGCGCTTGATCATTGAAGATGACCAGGCCGTGGAGGTCTGGTATCTAAGTGGTTACGGCAGATATCTTCTGGGCGAAAAGATCAAGAAGGGAGAACTGCGAGCCCCTGAAGGCGAGACGTGGCAAGATATCTGGCGCTATTCACGCAAGTACCTCGCCCAGTGCCTCCGGACATATGCGGCCATCGAGTACGAAGATGAGAGGCTCGGAGCACACGCCCAAGAATTGGTGGACTCTATCAGGGGTGAGCTTGGTGTCATTGGTGCTGAGGACGATGATGTTTGGGAGGATACAGATGTTGAGGAGGACGAAGATGAGGAGATGAACTAAAAGGGCTTTGTCTCGTTTGTTTTCCAACTATACCGCGTTTAAGTTGAGGCGTGTTTTTCCATGCGAATTGTTTACGGCATATCCTGGAGTCTGGGTAAAAGGGAAAAAGTAATGTTCGGGATTGGCTTTTGAATGGGTTAGGCAACGCGTATACTTGAAGCGAAATAGAGCGTATACCAGCCAACAAACAATTAGATAATTTGGCGAACAAGATGCTGGGCTTTGCGATTTGTCCAACTTTCCTAAACCGTAAGTTTCTGGACCTCCTCCACAGGCATGTCATCATCGCCTTCCAAGTCCTCATCACCACCCTTAGCCAAGCCCCTCTCCCAGAGTTGTTTTCCCGTGAGCTTGACGGGCTCCTTTATCCTCGCCTTCTTCATCTCGGCCGCCTTTTCATCCTCCTCCCTGATCCTCTGCTCTTCCAGCTCCTGCATAAAGTCGTTCCTCCACTTCAAAAAGGTTTCGCGATTGACAGGAGTGCCCTGAAACTTCTTGTTCTCTTCGCGCTCCGCAGCCTGCGCGGCCTCCTCTTGCGCCTTGATGGCAGCATCCCTCCGCTCTACTGCAAGTTGCTCCGCGGCATCCTTCAACGTCGACACAACGGTAAAGATCATGGCCATCCCCAGGTTCTCCTCAATTGTCTCTTGGACGCCTTCGAGCAGCTGGAGCCTATCTTCGGCAATGTTTATGAATTCGTGGGGCGGCGCATTTGGGGCAGGCGCAAGCTCGAGGGAAGGTGGCTTGTCGGGATAGTCTTCGGGGTACCGCACGGTAAGGACCATGCTTGGTGGTTCTTCGGCTTTGTCATCGGGGATATCCAGGGCGATAGTGATCCTGTACTCAGTATCTGAGATATCTAGACGAGTCGAGCTTGGATTAGAACAGACCCATGCCTGGACGGCAGCCGAAGTGGGCGAGCAATCGAACCTTGGATCTCATCTGGGAAGATGGAGTCGAGGACTTCCCTCTCCTCAATTTGTTCTTCGCGGCCCATTATGCGTAGTTCGGTATGGGGCTTCCAAATCTTGAATGTATGGAAGACAGAAAGCGTGAAAGGGCTCCTTCTAGAATGGATGCTGGCAATGTTGACTTTCAGGCGTTTAGCGACGAGGAGGGGCACTCAGACGGCAGTGACTGCAGCGTGCAGGCCAAACTCCAAAATGCGAGCGCGGCTCAATCCATGGTGGGGTCAGCTTGGGTTCCTTGTTATCAATGGACAGTTCCAGACAGTGTCAATCCAGCCGCCCCACCACAGGACCCCGGTAGAGCTCCTCACCGCCCGGCAGTTGCTAGGATGCGGATCCAGAAATTTTCAGCGGAAACATGCTGCAGAATTTCCAATTCAGAGGCTTCAGATACAGGGCCCTCCAAAGTTTTGGTTTCTGAATACCTGCACTTCCCTCCATCCATTCCTGCTCGACCATTACAACCTTCGAACCAGCACCCACCCGGAAACCAAATCAACACAACCCCCAAATCGAGAACAACCCTTCATACCCCGGAACAACACATACATCCCACATCAACAATGGCGACTAAGTCGTCTTCAGCTGCCGCTGCCAGCGGAAAGAGAAAGGCGTTCGGCAAGCACAAAGACGATGGCCGCACGAAGGCCGCAAAGACCAGCTCTGGCAAGAAGCACATCAAACCCGAAGTCGAAGACAACGAGTCCTCCGATGAGGGATCAGACCTCGAGTTCCACACCGGAGAGAACACAGAATCCACGCCCAAAGAGTCTGGCAATGACTCCAACCAGGCCAAGTCTGGTACGTCGCCTCTCTTTACCATATCTGGTCCATGACAACCGAACCTCACTCTGTTCATCGACTAACACAACGCAGGCACAAGCTCCAGAGAGGCGCACGCGAAGCAAAAACAAATCGCCCTCGAACGCAGAAACGCGAAGCCTCTGGCCGATGAGGTGCACCGTACCAAGAAGCTGTGGGAGAAGCTCCGTCGCAAGTCGCATGTACCCAAGGAGGAACGCACACAGCTCGTCGAGGAGTTGTTTACCATCATCACTGGCCGCGTCAAGGACTTTGTCCTGAAGCACGATGCTGTCCGTGCTGTCCAGACCGCCGTCAAGTACGCCACCCCGGCTCAGCGCAGGCAGATTGCGAAGGAGCTTCAAGGAACCTATGCCCAGCTCGCCGAGAGCAGGTACGCCAAGTTCCTGATCGGCAAGCTTCTGGTGCAGAACGACAAGGAGATTCGTGACCTTATCGTCCCCGAGTTTTACGGCAAAGTTCGCAAGCTCATCAATCATGCTGAGGGTTCGTGGATTCTGGATGATGTCTACCGCGGTGTTGCGACCAAGGAACAAAAGGCCAACCTCCTTCGCGAGTGGTACGGTCCCGAATATTCTCTGTTCAGGCAACCCAAGGGCACCGAGGTCATCGGCGATCTCTCCCAGATTTTGGCCGACGACCCCGCTAAGAGGACAACGGCGATGAAGTACCTTTTCGACATGGCCAACGGCCTTATTCAGAAGAAGATGACTGGTTTCACCATGCTCCACGACGCCTTGCTGCAGTACTTCCTCAACCTTAAGCCCGAGACCGACGAGTTCAAGGAGTTCTTCGAGACTATCAAGGAGGACGAGGGTGGCGATTTGCTCAAGAACATGGCTTTCACCAAGTCGGGTGCTCGTCTCGTGTGCTTGCTCCTTGCGCATGGAACCGCCAAGGACCGTAAGCAGCTGCTCAAGGCCTACAAGGATACCTACCAGCTCATGAGCGGTGACACCAACGCCCACACCATCATCCTCGCCGCCTACGACCTTCTCGACGACACAGTCCTTACATCCAAGACGATCTTCTCCGAAATTCTCGGTAAGAACGACGAGAACGAGCACATTGCTTTCCTCGCCAATGACCTTAACGCGCGCACGACGGTACTATATCTCCTTGAGGGCATGTCAAAAGCAGTGTTCCCCGCCAGCCACGCTACCGACCTCGAGATTCTGAAGGAGATTCACAAGATCCGCACCAAGACCAGTAAGAAGGACCCTGAGGTTAGGCGCAAGGAGTTGGTGACGGCCATGTCGCCTCAGCTGCTTTCGGCCGTCGCGAGCCATGCCGCTGATCTGGTATCCACCTCTTTTGGCTGCCAGTTTGTTACTGATGTTTTGCTGTCGGCGACGGGCGACAAGAAGGCCGCGTTGGAGGCTATTGCCTCTACTGCTGGTGGCGATCCCAACGCCGAGGCGGACGAGGATGCCTACCAGGCCCTCCCCCCTCACATCTCGACGACCATTCACGGTGGCCGCATGTTCAAGACTCTGATTGCTGGGGGCCGCTTCGACAAGGCCTCGGGTAGCATCCAGAAGTGCGACCCCCCGCTCAACTTCGCCGATCTTCTCTACCCCGTCATCAAGGAGCACATTGTACAATGGGCTACCGGCCCCAGCTCCTGGACGGTGCTGGCCATGCTCGAGGCTTCTGACTTCTCCTCGAAGAAGGAGCTTCTCAAGACCCTCAAGTCTAACAAGAAGGAACTTACCAAGGCCGCCACCGAGGCACCAGCGCCGAAGAAGGAGGAGACCGAGGAGAAGCCAAAGGCCAAGAAGGGCAAGAATGCCTCTGCCCCCAAGGGCAACCAGGGTTCCAAGCTTCTCTTGGAGAAGCTTGAGGCTTAGGTGTGGAGGAAATTGTAGGAGTCTCATGGTTATAGTGACAAAAGTGGACGGTGGGCCACAGGTTGACTAAATACCCCTTTTCATGTTATTTCCTTTGCCAAAATGCGACTTTGTTGGGCCCCGCGTAATTTGCGAATGATTGATAGCCCTGTTTACATATCTCGACATGATATTTCTGATTGTATAGAGAAAAGCTTGTTTTGGAACCTCCCTAATTGCTAAAATGTGACACATGATACAGCTCGAGAGGGTGTTGAAGCGTGATAAGTGCATTCAAGGCTCAACTAAGCCTCACGCCAAATTTTGAAACGCCATGCCGGATCTTGAAGGCCTTCTAAGCCTAAGGATCATCCTCTCAACTACTTATACCGAAAATTTCGAGTGTCCGCGACACCTCTCCATACCACAACACGGCGTTGCGAGAGGCAAAAGTGCTGTGCAACATTTTGACTGCGGTACCAGGACAAACATGTTGTCGAGTTCATCATCACTTGAGAGCCAAGTGGCGTTTGGAAATCGGAGTAGAGAAGGAAGCCGTCTGGTGGCTACACCCGTGCAAGGCCGCGTCCACCGTGGTGCGTCGGCCAGCTCATCGGCCAGCCATTGAGAAACGGCCTTGCGAAGTCTGGTGTTCTTGTAGGTTAGACGAGAGTTTCTGAACGGGCCACCAGCGGTTGGGTGTCCTCGGTTTGCGTTTCGCCAAATTCCAAAACCTCTCTTCCTTCTCTCTAAAGATCAGACGAGACGGAAGACTTGAAGCCGGCATCAACTCTCGCTGACCAGGTTCAACTTGACGGAGGTATGAAATTACCACCTAGTGTCCGTAACGCCTTTCATCCCAACAGTCGGACCATGGGGGGGTACCTGCGCTCCCTGAACGTCTCCCGATTTCCCGGGCACCAGTGGGGAGACCACGGCCGAGGCTACACGCGAGTGTCCCGTCGCTCCTTCCCAGGTTGGCCTCAGGTTGCCTTCACTTGCTCTTTCCACTTTGGCAGCTCGTCCCCCCCCCCCATTGCTGGCCGTCCACGGGTGCCACTTCATCTTGCTGTTTGCTCTCCGCTCGTCCTTTCCTTCCACGTTTCCTTTCCATTTCCTCCTCATCCTCCAGGGAACACTTTTCAGGTCGCAACAGACTTCAGCTTGACTGTAGCTGTCGCTGGTTCCAACGTGGCTTCGACTCTAGCTTCGCCCTGGACCTCGACCTCGGACTATCTTGTACCCCAACGCCTTCCTCACCAAACATCAACGACAATTTTCAGGCACGACCAGCCTCTCGCAACCGACCGAGTAGCAAGAAGCCATGGACTCGAACCTGTCCAGAAAGCCTCCTCCCTTGCGCCTCTCAGAACAAGCAGTCCCAATGGTCGCTCAAAGGGGCATCAGTGGCGGAGACTGCCCGAGGGGATACCAGTGGTACACTTGCAATGCGATCGACGGCCCTCCCTATGCGGGCTGCTGCGCGATGGATCCCTGCCGTCCGGAGATGGCCTACGAGTGCCCAGATCAGTACCAACCTGGTGGTGGTGCTATCACGTCCTCAACCATCGTCATTACCAGTACGGCAGATCATGGCACTAGCACAGTGACTCAAATCACCACCATCAGGTCCTCTGCCGACTCGGACCCCGCCCCAACTCTGACTTCCCAAGCGTCATCAACAAGCACCGCTGTGAGAGCTTCATCAACCGCCAGCGCAACAGCCACTGTTACCCCTGATGCGCCGCCCACTGTAATCCACAAAGACCTTTCAGTCGGCGCGATAGTGGGAATCGCAGTAGGATGCTCCCTCGCCTTCATTTTCTTCGCTATTTCCGTTTGTATATGGTGGGGTCGTCGTCGCACAAAGAAAGATGAGAAGAAGGACAGCGCGGACACTGCGAACGTTTCGTCGTTTCTCGGACCAACCGACCTGAATAACCCAGCCGGGAGGGGACAAGATAAGAACATGTCCCAGTCTGGCTCCCGTTTCCCAGGTGGGAGCTACCAACCGGTTCCCACAGGTACTCCTTACGAGTACAGAGGTCAAGGTGAGTGAGCCCTATCCTCCAAACCGCCAACCCAGCCCAGTGAGCCAGTAGGAGTTTCCTATACTAACCATAAATCCTTAGACCTGCCGAGCTCGGGATCCACGACCAACACGAACTGGCCAGGCTCGCCGATGGACTACGAGAGTCATCGTTTCAGCGGAGCGACCACAGCGAGCCACAACAGCGGAAGCTCTCCGGCCAGCCCAACTTCCCATCGCGAGGTGCGTCGGAGCTCGACATCAACCAGGGGCACCAGCAGGGTGGATGGGCGAGGTTCGAGCCCATGCACGAAATCCCCGAGCTGGACGGCAACGGTATACCACCGCAACACTCCTAAGGCCCGAACAACTAGCGAGGACTCGCTCTATTGAAGTGAGCAGGGAGACACTATAATTTGGCCTTGAAGTCGGTAAAGGGACGGGTTTCTCTCGTCTCCCCAAGGATGAAAGTAAGATGCAGAGGATGAAGGCCCTAATGGGCCTGGCTGGGTTGGCAAGCATTTGCATTTCGGTTGCGGCGTGCTCGGGAGTCATGCCATATGCATGATATGCAGTCAGGTCAATTCAGACCCAGTTCTTCGTATCCCCTCACCGCGCGCGATTCAGGATCATCAGCACAAGGGTGCCTCTTGAAGCCGATGCCTCTGTTTTCGTATCCACGAATAACAAGCAAGGGCGCGAATCTAGGGAACCGGTTGCAGGCCATGGCTCGTGGTGGAGTTTCTCAGGGGCCCATTGTGTGCTGCCACACAGGAAACGGTCAAGAATGCGAGACTTCCACGAGAGAAGAACGAGACGATATTGAAGGAAAGGGCTATGGCTGAGCATCGGGGGTGAATTGGGCTGTCAGTCCAGGCGTATTAATGGCGCAGGTGAGGGTAGGTACACTTACTCCGACTCATCAGGATAGTGCCCTGGCCCTAACCTCGCCTGGAATGCAAACCAACCGTTTCAAGGGAATCACCCGAAGGACTGGAAGAATGTAGTGAACAAAAAATAAAAATCATAGACGGTCTATTGATGAAAACTCGGCCCTTGGACGCCGAACCATGCATTTTTCCCCCTTCCGTGACGAGTCCTGACAACGATGATGATCCATTCAGCTAGTGGCCCGCAAGTCTTTTTCAAAACAAATAACCGGTTTCCCACACACACGCTGTTCGATCATCTTCCCGAGAGGACAGTCATGTAATAGTATCGTAAAAGTCGTTTTAGCAGAAATAGAAACAGTGAGGACAAGAACAACAAAGAAAGCAAAAAGCCTAACCCACATTACCAAAATTGCCGTGACTACAAAAGCACTCTTTCAGGTGTGCCCTCCTAGGTGCTCATGAGTTTGGCCATCTCGTCCAGCAATTCTTGTAGGTTCTCGTCATCAATCTTGTCCGCCAGCGAGGGGATCAGCGTCTTGCACTCGTCGGCACTATCGCAACAGAGTGATCCTATATTATATCCACAAATGTCAGTCAGTCATATCGTTTCGTTCACTCAACAAACAAATCCAACCCGCTCGCTTCCCCCCCTCAAAAGGAGCAGAAAGAAAAAGAAAGGACATACCAATCTGCGCCCTCTCAAACTTGGTCAGCTCCTTACGCGCGCTCAACAAGCGCTCCACAGCCTCGACGTTCTCCTTCTGCTTGAACCGAGCAAACGCGTCCAGGTAGTCGAGCGTCTTGTTGAGCACGTCCGTCTCGTTGCGGTCCTTGCGGTCCTTGCGACGCTTAGTCATGAGCGCGTTGATGACGAGCGAGGCCTCCGACAACGTGAGCGTGTCCACGTCGTTGAACTCGCCCAGCTTGAGCACCGCCGAAGCCTCCTCCTCGCCGGGCGGGGGAGGCTTGGAACGCGAGGTGGGGGCGTGGTGTTGGTCCGACATCGTCCTGGTTCTGAGGGTGTTCGTTCACTTGTAGGTGTGTGTGTGTTTGTTTGATTTGTCGTCTGGGGACGGGAGTGCGCGCGCCGCTCTGGCTGGTTGGCTGGCTGGCTGGCTGATCTGGCGTTCCGGAGAGAGAGACGGTATTGCGGATTGATGATTGCTACCTGAATGGAATCTGCTCCAAGTTGCCGGTACGTTTTGGCCGGCAGTGATCCCCCTTGTGTTTCTTCTCTTGCTCGTCACGCCTTCGACGTTGGGGTTGCGGTGTCTTGTCCTACTGAATCTTCTAATTCCAACTTCCACGCTATAGTTCTCGCGGTCGGGCGCTGCTGCTGGTACCGGATGCGCTGTTCGAAAATCGATGATTTGATGGTATTGCAAGGCGACTGATATAATCTCTTTCGGGCGCTGAAGTGGTTGTCGGTTCGTCCTTCTGGCTGTTTTTACAGATATGATCTGGTGTTAAATGGTAGAGGTTGTTGCGGACATGGCATTGTCACTGGGAGGTTCCAGGTTGGGGTCGTAGTTTGCCGGCCTGTGCGGCCACCGCATTCTTTATGCAAATGGAACCGACAGTCACAGAACAGCGACATGTTAATACACACGGTGTAAGATACCGAGATGCATATTTCACAATTTACCGGTATCATTACCACTAACGGCCTATACATATAAAGCACAGCGAAAAAGGTGTTTACAACTATTCTCGTTTGTAAATCAACCCAGCTCGCATCAGTATTGATCTAAAACTTGCACTTAGCCATGATTTCGTATTTATATCTTTTGTCATCTACGTTGTGTGCGGAATATCTGGGACCTCGTGGGTATTCCATGCCGAGCCAAGCGTTTACACCTCATCCCATCATGACATAACACTCGGCGCTCTGTCCTGCAGACGGAATGAGAAGGACATGATGGTTGTTCAACATACGAGTTACTCTCCCCTCTTTTGCCCAAGGCTGCCCTGTTTCACTTCCGCTTTGTCCCGCCGCCCGGACTGTCTTCTTCATGAGGTCTTGGACAAGTCGATGTGCCGAACCGGGCGTAGCTTTTTATAGCTGCTACTCTCCCCGCAAAACTGCCTCCCAATGCATCCACGACCTATACGTGCCGTCCTCTTTCAACCCGACTATCCGCCTCGCTCTTCCTAAAGACGCCACCATGCCCCAAGCCCGGACAGATCGAGGGTGAACAACCCAGAATCGCGAACGCTCCCAGCCAGACTGTGGAACCAGAGGCATAATAGCCTCGGCAGTTGTGTGAAGGGAATCCCAATCTCATCCATCCTCTCGCCTTCGTCATCCTGCCTACAACGCGGAAAAGACAAAAAGCTATGCAAAAAATGGTTAGCAATCAGCCGGGCCCAAGTGAGGATGAGATCAACAACTGGCGGGGCAAGAACTTAGGGGCAAGAACTTACGTTGTTGGTTGCTGCGATGGCGATGCTGTCCTCGAACGGATGCCAGCTCATATGGAGAATCTTCTTATTGAAGTCGATTTGGTCGGCGTCTGTCTCCTTACGCATCCTTTGACCCTGGCCTGCCGCTGCCGGGCTTCCAGCCCGTGAATTTCCCTTCTTACCACCGTTAGCTGTAGGACTTGTCGATGAGTTAATGGGTGTCGGCACCCCAACTTTCTTGGCTTTGAACGCCGACTTATCCGCTTGCAGAACAACCTCCACCTCCTTGTCGGGATCCGATGGGTAGATCATGAAGTTGTTGTTGTAGCTTCCCGTCATTACGTTCTTGGCGTCTCCGGAGAACACAACCTCGAATTTGTCAAAGATGCTGTCGTTTTCGTAAGTGTCGCAGAGTCTCGGCCTAAGGTGTTCGTGAATGGGGATCGTCTTGACTGGCTGTCGCTCCATGTTGACGTCCCAAATCTTGACTGTCAAGTAGTCGCGAGAAAGGATATACCGGCCGTCGTGGGAGAATCGAACGTCGGAGATGGAAGAAATGATTTCAGAGAAGAAAGACCGGGACGATGGGTCCTCTTCTTGCTCGAACACTGTATTTGAAAAACGAGTTGTAAGCGATGGTCAGCGGCAGTTAGAGGAGAAAACTTTCTCCAGATACGGTTCACCAAAGTTCAACGTACTCTTTGCATGCTGGTCGCACAACGCCCTTTCGCGCATGTCTGCCAGCTTGATTGTGCCCTTGGAGCTGGCATACATGAACCAGTTGCAGCTCAGAGGGTGGAATTCTGCGGCCGTAATGACCTCTGTCAATTCCTCCATGTTCGCCGGCTTGATGTCCACTATGTTGAAGCTCTGGTCCTGGATGTTCAGGTTCCATAGGTTGATCCGCAAATCATCGCTGCTGATGAACGTCTCACCATCGCTGTTGACGGAAATGCTGTTGATGTGGTACGCATGGGCATTGGCATATGTTCTCCTGGGGACGGCGGCAACGACTGTGTCGTGGTGGGTAAGTCTGGGGAGCTTGAGATCGGCGGGACTGCGAAAATGGGTATGAGGTAAGGCACGGGGTGCGCCTCCACCGCCAGCTGCGTTGGCAGGCGTCAAATCGTGGGATAGGTTGTTCTCGGCGACCACCTTAAGCGACTTCTCGAACACCTTCCATAGCTTGATCGTCTTGTCGTTTGTCGAGAGAAGGTAGTGGGAGGCATTTTGTCTCCTGCACCACTTGATTTTGTTGATCTTTTCCTCGATTTCAAGAGACTTGAGGTAGTCGAACTCGGGCTCGTGGGACTGGAATTCGGTATGGAACTTGTATTCGCAGGTTTTTTTCTGCCGACAGGTAAGCAAGATGTAGACGAGTGACGGGCCAGCAGGTAGGCCGAAGGGGAAAGGGGGGGTTCTGCGACTCCACTAACCGTCTCGTTCCGTTCGAATAGCACGACTCGTCCACCCTTATCACCAGTCGCCAAGTAGTTTCCAGTGTGGTCAAATTCTACCGTGGAGATGATATCGGCTGGAGAAGGCGGGTCAGCATGGCTGAGTATATTGATGACGTGAGGAGGGGCATTGACGGGCTCCTGGTCGAGGGACCCGTCGTGGGATGAGGGGTGGGTCGTACCTTCGGTGATATCTTCAACATCTCCCTTGTCGCCGAAGCATCTGTAACAAAATCTCAGCACGGTGAAGTGGGGCAAGCACAGGAAGACGAGGCGATGTCTCGTGCAAAGAAAACCGATGACGGGGGAAGGCGTAGGCAAACGTGCAGCGGAGATCGGACCCAGACGCGGGCGCGGGTGCGGGCACAGGAACAGGCACGAGCGCAATCGCACAAAGACGGACGCTCGCGAGGCGGAAATCGACGGGGATGGAAAACAAGAGGGGAGGATTCAGGGAGGAGTTGGACTTACTGGGTGAACTTCCATGTCGGAGAATTGGTATCTGTTTCCACCATCTTCAACGATTCCCGGGGCCGTGGGCGATTAGATCCCCACCTCTACCAGATATTGGACAAGGGCGACGAGCGGACGGAGGGACGGACGGGCGACGATGGCAAGGGACTGCGTTGCCAATGGCGACGATGGACAAGAAGAGATTTCGCGAGCTCGAGGCGCGAAATCAAGGGATGGCGGAGAGACGGGAGTTGGAGATCTGAACTGGAGAAGAGGTGCCCAACAGAGCCCCGGGTCAATACAAGTAGGTACGCTGGGTAGGTATGGATGTTGTTGCAGGGAGCGTATGTATGGATGAAGGTAGGTAAGGGTCGGGCAGGGAAGGACGAGGAGGGTAATAAGCAGGCAGTTGTTTGTTTGGTGGGTGGGTAGGTAGGCACGGTAGGTAGGAGTAGAAGTTAAGGTATGTATGTACCTGGCTAGGTGGTGGCCGATCGGGTGTGGTGGAAGCAGAGCCCGACCCGAGTGGTAGTAAGACGTAGGGCGACGGGAGCAAGGCGACGGGAGGTAGAACGAAGGTACGGTAGCGCAGCGAGGGCAGCTGGGCGGAGGAGGACCTGGAGGGACCGGGATGATGGAGGGTGTGAGGCTCAAGGGCCAGACGTATAACAAGGTAGAGGTACTGAAGCGATTGAGGTGCAAACCCAACTGAACTGAAGGACGTGTTTTGTCGCAGCGATGGGGCACCGACCGAGCGATAATCTGACGTTGCTTCCTGGGGGAGCTGACTACTAGTAGACGTGGGCCAGCTTCGTGCTGCAGGTGCGCAAAGCCAAGTGAAGATGCGGGGTATGTCAGGTCGAGAGCTGTATGCGTAAAATGTTGTTGTTGAAGGTCAGGTTGTTGCCTTTGCGAGATTGAGCAAAAGATGGTGGATGGAGATGGAGATGGATGGGCCGAGACGTGGGAAGGAGCAGCGAGAACGACGGACGACCTCTTCCTGCCGGGCAGTCAAGAGCTTTGATTGAAGGGAATGACGAGCTAGTTAGCGAGGTACAAAGTGGGCACTAGGTAGGTAGGCGGGCGTTGAGGTACCTTTTACTGTGGTGGTGGTCAGGCTGGCCCCTCCCTCCCGTCTTCAACATGGGGTCAGCCCATGCCCTGGGCTCAGTTTCACGGTCATCCAGCCAGGCCTGCTGCCCGGTGGAGGGTCCCGTTCAACAGGGCAGCTTCCGCCAGTGAGCAATTGCGGGGTCCATTCCATCCCGGCGACGGTAGGTATCTACAACTACAACACATGTTACCTTTGCACTATCTGAGGGTATTACACACATATCAATTACTGGAGAGGCGTCCTTTCTCTGAACCAGCTGGCTATTTACTAATCGTGCACGAGGTAAGGTATGGATCAATATATCCCAGCTCACAGCGATGGTCGATGGTCTCTCAACGGCATCATGGGGTTATCGTGTCCATGGCCTGTGTTGGTGTTGCCCTGTATGGTAGTGCCGTCGTTTGTTTGTTCAATTGCCTTTGGAGCCTTTGTTATCATCCAATCGAATGACAGCTTCCGTCATTTTGTTCACAACTGCCAACTTATCTCGGGACCGGGCTTGACGGGGTGAGACGGGTACTTAATCCACTAAGAGATATCCGGCTGTTTGATTTCGCAACTGGACACCAAAACGTGTCGGATTTGATTGATATATCTATCTCCGAGATGTCGTCTGAATATAAAAAGCCTGAAATCTCCAACCGCTGCTGTAGCCGCACGGCCAATGCCGAAAGACACATGTTGCATGAATCATCGGAAAAAAGCACGTGTAATGAACCGGGCCTGCCTTGAAACTTCGGGCCTAGGTATCTTGGACGTTGCGGATCCTCCCCGGGAGCCGGGACTATATAAGTTGCTTGATACCCACCCTCCCCCCGTCCGCATCATGGCTCCGGACCGGGCCAGGACATCCTTCGTCTTCTTGGACTTTCGACAGGTGACAAGGGCCTCCACATATTGCAGTGGTGTTGGGCAGCACGTTGCTGCTTCTTGGTTTCCTTTCTTTTCTTCCTTATTGCTATCTCATTGATACACATCTTTCTTTCTCAACTCTCCCGCTTGCACCTACATCTATCTCAAAACTTGGTACCGGATACATACAGCCACCGGCCATCACGCTTTACGGTCAAAGATGGAAAGCAAAGGGGCCATGCCTGAAAAGGCCAAGGGCAAAGGAAAGGATGTTGGGACGTCGGAGGAAACAGGCGTTGCGAGTGATGCTGGGGGCGGGGACAATCTGCTTTCTCGCATCGGCAAGTCAGCAGCATCACTACCTTCAGCTTTGTTTTCAAAAGAGAACATGGCCGGCGCAGTTTCAGGGCTAGGCAATGGTGAGAAGGGAGAAGGCTCACGAACGGCGGCAGCAGCAGCAGCGGCAAGGGCCACGGAAAGTCTTGAACGCGTCGGTGAGAGTTCTGCCCAGCTTCACTCTGCCTCTCATGGTGCCGAGGCCATCAGGTCAGCCCAAACACAAGAACATATTGCCACGCAAGAAGCTTCTTTCGCCGCCTTTCTCAACACCACCGAGCCACTTACGGCACCCGAAGGATCAGTTGGATTGGAAGGGGGTTGGCATATGAGAAGCAGTGATCCGAGCTCAACAGTACCAACCATGAACGACCAATGGACTCATTCTCTTCCGGCATCCACTGTCGCCGAACAGGAAGCTCGCGATGGCATGGAGGTCGTAGCATTGCTCTCGGGCGATCTGAATCTGGATGCGGAGCTCGCAGGGCCGGAAGAGGATACGATATCACCGGAAGACATGGCTAGCTTGCGCAAGGCTTTATTCGGGAACGATCTCGACAGCAGCACATCACCCATAGCGTGGGATCATGCGCTCAACTTCATCCCGCCCTCCTTGCTAGGGTTTGATGGTGTTCCAACGGCGCCAGATACGAGGGATTTGATGGGCACGGAAGACATGGGCGAAGGCTGGGAAGCATGGATCAATCAGTGGTCTCGTGTGTTGACCGGCTATCACGACGAGGTTTGGGGAGATCTGGGCGCTCTGGTGGAGGAAGCAAAGAAGGAAGTGAAACAGCTAGAGGAAGTTAAGCCGGGCGAAAGGCCGCCGGAGCCAACAGCTCTCTTGCGGCTCCGCGCCATTCTCGGACATTTGCGGGGAGCATAGGAACCTCGTGTGCCCTCCATCTCGGTTGCCGGGAGTTGAGGTACAAGTAGTCGGCGTGCCATCGAGCCCCACGAAGAACAACAAGCATGATAAATTCATATGAGAATGCCGGCGGTGGGGTTCCAGCTGAAAAAAAGAAACAAGGATCATGGGCAAGGGGATCTTGGACTCTTGTGGTCTCTGCTGCAAACCTTTCGAACGAAACCCTTTTGCTCATTAGTATGGGCGACAGGCAGCCTGGCAGGATATGGAGCGTATGGATCGTAAGGATCGTATGTATTTTACATACCCGCGGGGCGACCCCGTACTGTGTGTGTGGTGGTTGCTGTGGCAGCGGTGTTGAGTGCTTCACTGATTCGGCCAACAAATGACATCACTGAATGTTACACAAGTGGTGGAGATATAGGAGCTGTGAAGCTATCGTCTAGTTCAACCATTCCAGGTACCCTTACACGAACCAGACAAATGCCTTTTTGAAGGCTTTTGTTACTACATTTCAACACCCGATCGGCTTTCAAGGACTGACAACGTACACTGAAAATTATGCTCACACCTTTCAATTACTCACTTCACGCGATCCTTGCTGGCTCCATTCAATGCAGAGAACATTCAGCTCTGTTAGCTTACACACAAATATAGCCTGTATTAAAGACACATCATTGGTCAATACGGGCTTTTCTCAGAAGCTCTTGTCCTACAAGTTTTCAGTGACAGTACGGGAATACCGACCGGTCTCGCGGGCACCAACAAGCGCTTGCTCGTAGCTGAGAAGATGTGCCAGCGCAACCAGCACCCAGTCAGCCCGCCCGCGATGGTGGGCTCGCCAAGTCCTATCACGCCGTACCAACCACGATTTCCAGCCTCCCGGGTTCTAAAATGCGCAGGGTTGCATCTCAGCTTTGCATATAGGCTTCCCACCTGGATGCTCTGGAACTCGTTCGCACTCCTCCTCAGAACTTTCATCTGTGGCTGATCTGAGCTGCTGCTGCTGCTGCTGCTGACCGACTTCATCCGGAAAGCCTCATAAAAAAAAGATCGGACGACGGGGGCTGGTACCAGACTCATCCCAGGCTCAGCTCTTATCAAACCATTTCTAACCGCATCCTTCTTACCGACTTTTACAGTTTGGTTCACCTTCCAAGCAATACAGATTTGCCGTCATGGATAATCAGCAGTCGCATTCCCGTTTTGAGACATGGCAAGCCTTTGTGCTTTCCTTCCTGGTCTTGTCCGTCCACGCTCAACAACCGTTCCTGCCCGTTGAAACAGCGAGGGCAATTAGCATCAACGACGGCAGCAGCAACGTACTCGAAAAGCGGCAGGGATGCATCTCCAACTTCTTCAGCTGCTCAGGAGTGGGAGCTGCCTTCAGCGACGTATGTTGCCAGTACGGCTACACCTGCGCCCTTGATCAGAGCAACCAGCCGGCCTGCTGTCCTGTAAAGTATGTAAACAACAATATTATAGTCATACCGAACTCACTTCAAGGTTGAGTGATGAACACCTCATGTCGAAGTCCTCACTAACACCTCCCGCCCAGTGCCGTCTGCACCGGCACCGCCCCCGCCGGCTTCGCCGCCCCAAGCCCGACTGCACCTGTCTCCTTCGTCGTCAACCCCTACTTTTCCTTCCCCTACGTCGCCACGTACTTCCCGGACGCCGAGCAGTGCTCTTCGGCCGTCAGCCAATGCAGCGCCAACTACGTTGCCTGCAGCGACAAGCTGGACGGTCTGGGCGGTCAGTACGGCGTCACGATTGTGGTACCCGGCGGCGAGGGAACGACCGTGGGTGCTAATGTCGGGACTACGGTCGGGCCTGAGAGTGCTTCTAGGATTTGTAAGTCTCACCTGGCTCTCACCTCCCCTGCTGGTCTTCGGACAAAAAAACTTTTAATTCATTTTCTTCGTGATCTGGAGCCGGACGTGTCGCTGACTGTTTCTTTTTTTTCAACGTCAAAGGCAGCAGCTTGTCAAGCGTAGCTTGCCACGGTCTAGAGAACAACATGTGCTCAATGACGGCCACAACCGCCAGCGGCTTCTACTTTGGCACGGGTGCGCCTAACCGCGCGTCCTCGAAGAGAGGCTTTACCGGTCTTCTGGTTGCTGCTGTTGTGGTAGCGACGGTGTCAGGTCTTCTCTGATTCTGCACTCTCGGGAAGGCGCTTCCCCCTATCGGTATTGAGATGATCGGTGATGGACACTTGAGAGGGAAAGTAACGAACGAATGGAGTGATGATGAGGAAGTGCGAAAGAGGTGCCTTCAACGAGGCCAGTACCTTTCTTTTCTCATTTTGTGGGTTACGATATCAACGAAGTCATGAATAAATCCAAGGAGTCATGAGATCAGATACTTTACTACCTTCATCTGTACGTATGCAATCATGATTAGCAAGATTTCAAAGTTTGTACAAAAAACGATCACAAAATGCGAAGGTGATGGAGACGTTAAGTGAATGCCAAGTCAAAGCGCAAGTTCACGTAAAGATGAAGAGTGAGTGACCAAAACTGGATGGGCGAAAAGACATATATATATCGCAAGGCACAAAATCAAAGCCAGCAAGGAAAAGAGGGACATTATGAAATCTCCAAAACATAGCAGATTTTTGTAGCCGCTTGTGTACGCCATCGCTAAAACTCTCAGAACCCCAAGTAAGCTATATAACCGTTTTCCGATATCCATCTAGACTGACAACGAAAAGGGCAACAAAAACCAAAAAAAAAAAAAAAAAAAGGTAAACAAAAGGGAACTTGTTATACCCGAGCTAGCTCCCCATTACTTCTTTTCCTTTTCATTTCACATCCCTGAGTACCTGGAGGTGTTTCCCGTTTGACTGCTGCCTCGGGAATTGTCACGACCAATTAGTCCAACCTCCGCCACGCTTCCTAACAAATCAGGCTCGTGGCCCTGCTCAACCCTATTTACGTTCCCCTGGTTCACGAACCCGTAACTTTCGTTCAACCCCGATCCCGTCCTGGATCCCGTATAGGCGTCGCCGGAACTCAGATCTTCGCTTACACCAATTGAGGAGCTAGAGAGTCTCTTTTGCGAATTAGTGCGTTCGAAGGGGAGGCGTGCAGACACGGCCAGTGATGAGGCGGGCCTGGTCTGGTGCTGTTGTTGTTGTTGTTGTTGCGGGCCCCCGGATTCTAGGACTGGCAGACCCGGCGGTGGTGTGTTACTAATAGGGCCGGAGCCGCTGCGTGTGTGATGGTAAGAATTGCGCTTGGAACTTCTCCGCGGCGGCGAAAGAAGAGGGGACGGATCGTTGTCGGCCTCATTCGAAGTCCGGTTACCGCGGCGGGTCACTGTCTGAGCCCTACTTGACTGGCTAACTGTTGCGAGGCCCGGTTCAGCAGGCAAATTTTCCGAATCGTGGTATGCTTCCGTTTCGTCTCGTGCGTCATCGTTGGTACCCTCTGCTGCCCTAAGAGGCACCGCTTCTGCTGCTGCACGATCTGCTGTGTCCCGGTCTGCATTGGTCTGTCGCACATTATCCTCTTCGTCGGATTCAATCGGCCCATTACGGATCACGCCCATCGCCACTGGTATCCCTTCTGGCGGCGACTCATCCTCATAGTCGACCGCTCCGGTACGCATGGCTGGTGGCATACGCGCACTCCTCACCACCTCGAAGCCCTTGCCCTTCTCCTTGCTACTTCTGCCGAGAATGTTTCGAAGCCATCCAGCTGCCGAAGCCATTGGCCCGGTTGGGTCAGCCGGTCCAGTTCCGAGCTTGCGGCTAGGCGCGTCCGAGTTGAGTCTTTCTCCCCTGAGACCGTAATAATAATCAACTTCACGTGTGGTGTAATCGGTCCTTGGAGGATAGGCAATCATGTAAGGACCAGGGGTGGCACTTCTCGACATTTGAGGATCAAACTCCGCGGCGTCGTTGAGCGGGGCTCCTGACTGGCTAAGGCGTTTCTGTGACCAGTCGGCGCTAGTCCATGAACCACCTGGTTTGGCACCGGGAGAATACGCGCTTTCAATGGTTGTGCGTCTTCGAGGTGGCCTGAAGTAAGGGTCGACAGTCGGCATGCCAAATGCGCTAGGAGACCGCCCTTGGGCTTGGGCAGAAGCCGCAAACGAGAACGTGCTGGCCTCTCCAGGCGTAGTCGGCGTAAACGACCCATTGTCGAGATTTCGAACGGCCGTGTTAAGGCTGACATCCTCAAGCCCAGACGAGCTATGGCGATGATGCTTCGTCATAAGCCCTATGCTCCCCGCCGACTCGCTCCGTATGCGGCCTGGGTTCATAACATAACCGGTCTTGAAGGTCTCATCCGTGTCGAGCATCGCCGCACTAGAGAGTTGACTATGTCTGATGGGGCCACCAGCAGGCCTGGCCATACGGCGTGACAACTGGCGCATTCCAAAGATCTTTGAGAGCCCGCCCCTAGACTGCCCTCGAACGTCATCTCCACCAGCTCCCAGCAGCCGTGCTACAACTTCGACGATGGTTTGGACTGCGTTCAAGAAGAATCCTAGAACGAGAACGCCGGCGTGGATAACAAGTATCGCGTAGCCGACCCAGCCCTTTGGCCCTTCCTGAACCTCCAGCGACGGCACAAAGGCCACCATCATGAGTATACTGACAAGACGAAGCCCAGAGAAGAGGGTATGATATGCGTTCATCGAGGTTGGTGAATGGAAAGGGCGGAAGGCATGCAAGGTCAGTATCTGAATAATCTCGCAGATGGCAAGGAGGACCACCTGTGCTACACCAGCAGGCTGGACAGCTCCGATGGCAATGCCTCGAAGAAAACTCAGGAAAACCGGTATAAGCGCGAACGCCGCCGCCTCATCAGAGTAAGTGTTGTAAAGGGGCCCATAGAGAAGCACCGTAGGGAGGTCATCGAAGAGAAACGCTCTTGGCCTCGAGGTAGCAATGAGGTGAAGCAACCATGCGGCAAAGCCAATGATGAGAACCAAAGTGACAACTGCCAGTGCGACTGTGTAAGCTGGAGAGTGGGTTGCCACCACTAGTTGAAAGGTAGATAGAGCAACGATGGGTAGCAGGAAGTAATTCAAAACAAGTCTGACGATGTTGCCCAGGGTAAAGGGGAGGTTCTTGTGTCGGAGATCTTCCTCGGGAACGTGCCTAAGGGAACGATACAGCCACTTGACCAAGAAGGCACCCTGGGTAAGGACAAAAACGGCTCCGATGATGGCCATGAGCCACACCATCATGCCGGCCCAAATGTCTTCGACCTCACCCACTCCCACCAAGTGAGCAAGCCGCTGAAGTCCGTACTTGCCCTCGGTAAAATAGATGCCATCTCGGAGGCCTATCCACCCAGGACTGTCGCTCACAAAGCTTTGATTAAACATTAGTGCTGACCATGAGCCCTGGCTGACGATCGGTTGGTAAAAACCCGGATAATTGAGGGTCAGGCCGCCGGTGAGCACGACGAACTGTATGTACTGGAGGCAATCTCCAAAACCTGGCGTGACCAGGCGCAGCAGGTCGGGGTCACGGCCGTAGTTGGATGTCCAGTGGAAAACATCGCTGGTGCCCCATGGACTGAAGATGGCAGCGAAGATGGTGGCGACTCCGACGAAGATGAGGACTATTAGAGGCAGGAACTTGAGCATCCAGGCCAGATTGCCTAGGTCAGGCGTCACGGTGGCCGATACACAGCCGATCTGTGTACTTCCAGAATCTCCGTAGACGATGGAGAACTCGGAGGCAAATGAGCTGAAGGCATAGGATGAATAGAAGTCTTTGATGTACGTCACATAGGGAAGATCATCCCGATTCGTTCCATTCGTGCTGAGAGCATAGTCAGCTAATGAAGTCACAAAGGGGACAAGGACAAACAAGGCCAAGTAACGGGGTCCTTTGGCCATTGAAGGACGAGCGAGGTTGAACCTACCTGTTAAAGTCCCACACAGGACCTAAAGGACAAACTCCGTGCTTCAACGATTGGTTGCAAAAGTCGGTGCGTTCCGTGGCCTCATTATACGTGAGAACATTGATGTTTGTGAAAAGAGTGGTGACCTTTGGGTTGCTCGACTCCGGTTCTGGCACGGCGACAATCTTGCCATCGTGTTTGGATGTGTCGTTCCAGTCCGGACTGCCGGGGGCGGGGAGCATGATGTTTCCAGAACTAGCCACGCCGGTTACGTTCCCCCACATGGTCAGCTTCAGTGTGTGTCTGTCGTCGTGGTCATCGAACGAGGCATCGACAAAGAGGGGCACCCATTGTAGACGTGTCGGCTTGTCCATCTGGTAGGACTTATCCAGGCAATTGTCAAACGGGATCAGAACCGCCGTAGCGGACTGTACCCAGAGCAACTGCAAAGCCAAGAGAAACAGGCATCTCAACCTGCCTGATAGCCGCAGCAGGAGGCGGCTAGAGGTATGTGAGCCAGGGGTTATGCGTGCACTTGGCCTTGGGCCGTCCTCGTCCGTGCGTCCCGTCCTCCATGACGTTTGGGACCGTCAACAATGGTCCCGACGGCCGTTCGCAACGGACATCGGAACGGCTTGAGGCAGGATTGGATGAGGCGCCTGAGGACGTCATTTTCTGAGATGTCATGTCGGCGCAGACGACGCAGCAGCCGGCCGGCATGTGAGCATCGCAGACAGCGGAACCTGGACAAAGACTATCCAGAACCTGAACACTTCCATCATCCAGTTCCAATTTTCGATTTGGCGCAAGAGCTGCGGATGGCGCAAACCAAAGGTCGAAGGGAGAAGCCACCGGCATGGTTGACGATGACAGACAGCAGTACGGCGGCAATTGTCTACATGCTGTACATATTGAGGAATATTGGAGTCCTTGGGAATCGCGGCAGTCGTCGTCGTGTTTCGCTTTTCTTTCCCGCCTTGGTCCTCGTCCTCGCCCTGGTCCTTGTTCTTCCCGTCCCCGCCGTCCCCGCCGCCGATGTTGATCGTGAGGCTGGTGCTGCTGCCGTGGTTGCGATTGCCGTTGTTGGAGTTGCGATCGAATGTATTGGCTCTTTCTTTGACGTCGTCGCAAAGGCGGTAGCCGGAGACTATGTCGTTGTAATTGATCTGGTGTTTGTCGCGATTGCCGTTGTGGTGGTAGCGATTGCTCTAGTAGGAGCACCTCAGTGCTGGAAATGTGCCCAAACGATGCGCCACCGTGGGGCGCTGAGCTGGAATCCAATGGAAATCGCTCTGGTCGGGTGCAGGAAGACGGTGAGGCCCAGATTTGGTCCATCAGATGCCCGCTGATAGAAAGGATAGATACGAAAGAAGCTTCAAATCTCGATGTTGGAACGAAGTAAAATGGGTCTGGAAAGTAGGTAAGGAACAGGCATACGCAGTTGGCAACCTAGGTCGAAGGAACCTAACTGAAGAAACCCAAGCGGTATCGATTATCGGTAGAGGTATCCATTCAACAAGTTCCAACCCCGGCACACCACTCCACGGCTCCAGCGGCAGCGGACGGTCAGCCGCTTATAGGTAGCACTGCTACATAATGTAGGTGTTGAGGTTCCATGAGAAGCTTCCGGCCTGCCACTCAGTCAGTGCCTGCGTACCTTGGCCAACTTCCACTTCACTGTTCAATGCGTCTTATCGTCGCTGATACTGTGTACATTGGCAGAGCGAAAGTGGAACACCGAGGTGGGCAGCCACGCAGAGGATCACCACACCATGGCCGAAAGAGGCAGTGCCCCCAGGGGCCGCAGCAGCTACTGTACTAGCCAGCCAGCACAGCGGGGCCTGTCCGCCATCATCTCGATGTTTGGCCGTCAGGGACCATGCTTTAAACATCTCTTCCTTCAGGAAAAACAAAAAAGTATGCTGGCATCAATGGACACCAAAATGAGGGATCTAAGTCTTTACTACCTTGGGAGCCATATTTCAGGCTCACAGTCACTTTTCTCGACGCCGATATTCGAGCTCCTTAAGGTATTAGGACAAAGAGAAATGAGCACAAGAAGAGGAACTTGACGCCCAGATAACCCGCCGGGCCAGAGGCTGACGAAGGACACCATGTACCCGCTAAATAAACTCGGAAAATCATTCGCACGGTATGCATCACACTGGGTCCGTCTCGTACCCTAATGACGTTCTTTTCCGATTGGAAGAACAGCGAACACCATCTTGACTCTTTAAAAACAATGTCTACGTCTTTCGAGACATTCTGCCATCTGGATTGTGCTGTGAGTACATATATCCGTTATTAAAGATTCTAACCACCTTCTTGATGAGTTGAACCAACTGCATGGTGTAAGCAGCCACTCAAATCTCAAGCTTATGCACACTACTAAATTGTGGAGGTGGAGTTTCAACCAGTTGGTGCGCGCTTCCAAGCTCGCCAAGGTACTTACGTACCGTACCTATCATCACTCCCGCCTGCAAAATTCACGACCTTCAAAAGTGAAGCTTTTTGAATACGAACTTGCAGCTTGACAATCATCTTCACTATGTCGTGCCGCTGAACTGTCATGTCAGTCATTCAGTCATATTCACACTCAATGGGGCACCCTCAACCGTGTGACACATACAAGGGAGTCTCATGCGAAACGTTACAGTCTATGTCGAGATGACCTCAACTACGTCCCGTTACACTATGCTTTCGTCCAGCCATGTTCAACCTTCTCCCAAACACACTTCCCAACACGGCAGTATATGTCCATCATTAAGCCTATTCCTTCCTCGAAATATCAACCATCCCCCTGCTGGGATACACCTTCATGGCGACATTTGACAAGGACCTGGCCAAGCATTCCCTTACTGTTCGTTTCACCATCTTCCTCAAATGTCACCTAGGTTTTCGGCACCTCTCCGAACCAATATCCGACCGCATCCTTCTCTCCTTAAGCCCTCAGGTAGTTAACTTCCTTCTTCCTCTTTCGTTCCCATACGGACGTCCTAACAGTTGAGATATTACACAATGATACTGACTAGCCTATATACATATGCGGGTCTGTCGTGTGCTAGATATTACTGCTTTCCCCACTATCGACGAGGACGGGTTACGACTGCTGTCTCGTTTGTGACAAAAGAAGCTTAATTCGCCTTTCCAGTGAAGTTACTTCCTCGGGACTGATACCACCGTCTTCCAACTGGTCCTCCAGCGCGCCTTCGACTACGTAGTTGTCGAGCAAAGATGCCTTTCCCATCCTTCTGGCTAGTGTCTGCGGGTTAACGTGAAGCTTCAGCGTCAGCCTATGAGTTTCGCAGCCCAGAGGCGTACTTTCCAGTGGTAAGAGGTTCGTCTTGAGGCGTTGGATCTTTCTCCTCTGAGGCTTATCCGCAAGTGACCGTTGTCTCCGTATTAAGTAACCTTTAGGATCATTCTTCGGCAAAGCTGCCTCAGTGCCCTTCTCATCGTCCATAATAGATGATAAGTCGTCATCAGTCCTCGGGTTGACAGGCTTTCCGCCGCTCAGCATATCAGTCAGACTATCTGCTCTGGGTTGAGCTATAGTTCTCCGCAGTGCGTCGTCGTTGTTGGCTCTTCTGGCGGTATGCTGGCTGGGTAACCCTATGAGTGGCTGGTTGGGCCTGGAAAAACCACCGTAAGCATTCAGGCCCGTGCTTTCGGGTTGTTCAAGCTCGTGGATATCATTCGTCTGTCTTTTTCGTTGCCGTTTAGAGCTGCCTCCGCCAAAAGAAAGTTTGGACTGTACCATCCCAGGGCCTCGCCCAGCATGAGTTGGATATGAGCGCCTACCCACTGGTCGTCTACTATGGCCTTGTGTTGTATACGAATATTGTTCCACCGCCATTGTTGGGGTGTTGTTGGGTTGATTGGTAGGTTTGGAAGGTGATTGCCCGACATTCAGCAGCGGATTGCGGAATGGGGTCCTTGTGGCCGTGTAGTTGTTCTCAATCGCCGGCAGGGTACTTCGGGGAGGTTGATATTGTGTGTTGCCTTGCCATCCTGACACTTCCACTGGCGGTCCTTCTGAAGGCGGTTCTTCATCTGGGATAGCATACCCAGTTCTCCGAGTAGGGCTGCCTAGGTTTTGCTGTGTCTGCCGCCGAGGGGCCACCAATTTAGCAATCGTCCACGGATTAAGGCCCTCTTTTGAGTGATCAACAAGTTCGTCATCAGTTGGGGGTGTTGTGAGAGCCGTTCCTCTACCAGGCTGTGTTTGGACGTCGAAATCATCGTCTCCATCGCTAAGGGCACCATCACCCGCAGGCATGTCGACAGACCATGTCTGCACTAAGGGCGCAGTACTGGCAGTGGATGGTCTCCTGTTGTTGCTCGATGGGGTAACTGGATGGTTGCTTTGGGATCCGGCCTCAGGCCCCTTTGCTCGTGTAGTCTCAACCTAATATCTTGTTAGTACATTAGCAGTTTTGTATGTGTCATGTAGTGTTCACCTGGGGGGTTGAAACGTGCTGATCAGCCATCCTGTTATTGCATACATCTACACCCGCTTCCCTTGTTCTGTCCCCGCAAGAACGGCCGGTCTCACTGTGGTTGGTGGGATAGATTGACGATAAGAATTCCTCAAACTCTCGAAGAACTAAGTCTTCGTCATAGAAGAGAACGTCGTATTTGGATGGTTCCACATTGGGATCATAGGACCCAAGAGGGCATCTGATATTTAGTCGTATGAACGGGCTTCCAGAAAGCTTTGATAGGTCTTCAGAGGTCAAGGATCCTTTGAAAAGCTTCTCGAAGACGGCCTTCAACCTCTTGGCGGTCCCTTGAGTGAATGAAAGAGGTCGAGAATCTACCGAGATGAAAGAACCCTTGCAAATCTTTCGGGTATCAGCCGCGGAGGAGGGGATATAGGCTTCAAATACAAATTTGGATGGCTGCTCAGTCGGGGGAAGACTACCGTCCTGTGTGTTTCTCGTCTCATTGTCGGATACAGGGAACGATGAAGTCCGAAGCATGCATTGAGCTGCCAGTTCCCGGCCCATTACCTGAACAATAGCGTCTTTGAGGGTGGCACCAGAGGATGGAACATAGGACCACCATTGCTTTCCTCCAAGGACCTTGAAAGACAACTTGACCTGCGGTCTTGCTAGAGCGTAGCACTCCAAGAGGCCTTTGATCTTGAAGATGGTCGCAGTCGCTTCACTGATGTCTCTCTTGTGCCTCACTGGAAACCCACGGAACACATTGGTGACGCAAACAGAAGTGCCGACAGGAGCAGATTTATGTCCACGAGCAGCTGCGACACCTTCTCTCGAGAGTTGTAAGATGGTTGCCACGGGCTCAGCAGATGTTCTGGTGCAGATTGCAATTTCTGCCAGAGCAGCGGCGCTGGCCAAGGCTACGCCGCGAAACCCAAGGCTCTTGCAACCGACAGTCTCAAGGTCTTGGAGTGATATGAGCTTGCTGGTATGTCCTGATCGTCCAACAAGGTCGAAATCGCTTGGACTGATGCCAGCGCCGTTGTCTCTGACTTCAACCTTGTCCAAGGTGTTTGGAGAAATCAAGATATCGACAGCTGTTGCTCCGGCGTCGATTGCGTTATCCAGCAACTCCTTGACGAGAAATATGGGCGAGGTTATGACCAGACTCGAGCCGAGTAAGCGACTGGTGTCTTCGGGAAGGCGGGATATGGGCATCGCGGAAACTCCAGGGACAATTCTAAGGATGGATCTAAGGATAAGGGGTGGAACTGACCACCTGAGTGCCACAAAACAAATAATACGGCATGAAGGAATGGAGGGGTTACGGGAAAATCACGAGGTAAGTAGTCAATAGCATCAGCCAGTTCAGTCGGGGGAGTGGTGCTCCCTATCTTCCTACTAGCAGTGTTGTACTGAGGAAAAGGTGGTCGCAGACAGATGATGATGATGCTAGTGAAACCGACTCGAATGTAAAGGAACTTTGAAAGGACAGCAAAATTTGCAAGCAGCGTAACGTGGAAATTTCATAGGATTTGACCCAAAACAGAAGGAGCGACTGCTCAAATATCTGAAAAGGGAAGTTACGAGACGGGATGTGAATTAGTATTAGGTAGTAGGTAGTGACACATAAGCTCCATGCAAAGGTTGCTCCTTCCTCACAAACTCTAGCACACACAGGAAATTCGTCTTCTGCCTCCTTCCACTCCTCGCTTGAGGTTCATGATCCCCACTGGGAGTGATGCGTACATCCATGACATCTTTACCTAGTGTTGACCCCTCAGGTATGCACCATGGACATGCATTTAGCAGTCATCCTTGCGGACGACAACGTTCCAGTTGCCCTCGACGAAGACCTGGCCCTTGACGCCGTCGTCAACGGGGGTTTCGCCCCAAATATCCTTGCAGGCTTTGTCCTTGGAGTCCAGAGTAAACTGAGCAGCCCAACCGATGGAGCTGTACGAGTCGAGTGACTTGACCTCCGGGTTCTATAAGGCGATGAGAAAGGTCAGCAACCGTGTCGAAGATTGGAGAGTCATCTCCATCACCGTGAAGACAAAGATACCACCTACATCGTTGCACCAATAGATAGCGCTGTCATACGAGCAGCTAACGCGACCGCAGTTGCCGGGGCCGGGTCCGTTGGCAGGCGCACCAGGGACACTGTTGAGGTGTTTGATGCCATCCTGGGTAGCATCCTTCCGGGCATAATCAAACCCAGTGCAGACGACCTTCTCGACCTCGTAAGAGCTGGAGGACTCAGCGGTCGCAGGGAGCACAGACTTGTTGGCGATGCCAAAGTCATGGCGGAAGTTGGGGTTGGCCTTGTCGAGAGCATCGAAAACCTGCTGAATGGTGCCGGTAACGTTCATGGTAGGGCCATCTGGACGGGCCTTGACTTGCCAGGTGATATCCTCGATGCGGTAGCCGGGAATGGGGCCCTGGGCCGATTTGGCATCAGCAGCCGGCAGGGCGCTCGAAGGAATAGCCTAACATCCGAGTATCAGTATGGCTGTGTGCGAAAGGAGCCACAAGCCTGCCAACGGGAGCTCGTACCTGAAGAATGGCCAGAATGGCTCCGGAGATGAAAACCGAGGATCGCATTGTGACGATATTGACAGTAGGGCTGTGTTGGAGGTGGGAGTAAGGAAGCAAGATGGTAGTGGATGGCTAGTACAGGAGCAGGGAAGATGATGAGGAAAGAAATTCCAGTGCCTCGAAAACCAGGGCAGGCCCTATCTTTTATACCTGAATGGCGACGAGTCTGTGGATGATCCTCAGCACTTCCACTCACTTGTATTTGGTTCAGACGACCCTTCCGTCATGGAATTACCGTCCCAACAAAGTTCTAGATCCATCATACTCGGCAGGACGAGCAAACAAATCACGTCCATCTATCCCGCTGTTTTTCTATTTCATCCACTCAGTTTCCACTTTTGAATGACCGAACGCATTCATCTTGCGTTCTGGCCCAGGGCCATCACTTTGAAATGGGATAACATTGGTTCTAGGGCCGTCTTCCTCGGCTTGTTGGGGCCTAGATGCAAATTTCATCTGGTCTCGGGGAGATGGACGTAGGCAAACCAGTCTTCGTCAGCCCGTAGGTGTAAAGCGAGCACCGGCCAGGATCCAAAACGTAGAATTAATCCCCAACTGGCAGTGACCAACAGATATTACTCCAATCCTCGACGACGCAAGGGCAGCAATCATTCTGGAATTCATCTCCATCTTCAGCGGCTCAGTGTACTCAGCAGTATGATGGTAAACCGTGGAAGGCCCGGGAACTCCACTGGACGAGATATATGTGATGAAAGCCAGAGCCGCCTCTCATTCCTTCTGATACTTCTGATTCTTTGCCGTGTATTTCCGCCCTGTGGTCTCTTGAAGCTTAATTCATCCTTCCCCAGGGTTCGTGACGGATCGGATTGCAACACCTGACTTGACTGGTTAGCACACCGTCTCTCAAGATAGATGAATGCGCATACCTCTAGTCCACGGCATACCCGTCTTCCCAATGGCAAGGTGGACCACAAATGGTCGGCATATGAATACTTTACTCAGAATGGTGTTTGTACTTTGTTTGGGTCGTCGTTGGCTGTTGTCTGCTTCTAGTACTATGATTTACACTAACATTACTGTGTAGCCAAGACATAGGCCAGGCACCTTTGTCCGCTGGTTACGCTAACGCAATGTTACGGAGATCATGAGTTCCTGTGTTGGACATGGATGTGACTGACACTAACGCACTAACACCACCCCTAAGGAAGCTGACCTGCTATCGCATTTACGGTACCACGTGCCTACATGTACACTAGTTACATAGTAGGGTTGAACGAGACTGTCTTGACTCTTGAGCCTCATTAACGACCTCAAGACTAGAGTATGCAGGATGACGGGGACAACATGAGAATACGACCTGAAGGTGAAAGGAGGTTGTTCATCCTCGCTTACAAACTCTCAGAGACAGTAAGTAGAGTTCATCCTTACCTAAGTTGATACATACCTACGCGGCTCATTGGAAGTGTCATCGGGAGGAAGACCTGTTCTCGTCATCCGTCCTGTCACGGCAAGCGTTGGCATAGAAGAGCCACAGATAAGATATGTAGATAATATCCGGGAAGTCTTCGTATAGGTTCGGTTACCGCAAGGCGTTGAGAACGGTACCACGATAGATAGGTGTCGCCATTCGTGAAAGGTAAGCCCTGCCTTGCCTTCCACGGGAAACTAACCGCTCCGCATTGGGGTGGGACCAGCCGCTGACTCTCTTCCAACGTTATGCTTATTCAGATGTGAGACCCCCATGTTTACCGCGGCGTGAATGCCGCTCCTCTGTACCGGGCAATGTGAAAGTTGTGAACCATCTAGCAAATACATCCCTGCTAGAGGTGTACATGTACGGTTGGGAGCTATGGTATGTACACTGCGGTGCTGTAAATGCCCCGTACCTGACTCCGTAGCGTCCGTACCAAGCAGGGCAGCCAGCCCACTTGAGTTCATGCTCCAGGTTCCCCTCCTCCCCGGATATCACAAGCTCTAGACAAAACACCAACTCCCAAGCTCGTCATTAAAGGAAAGCTCCGAAGCGCAACTCATCGCAAGAACCGCCGATCCCCTCGTATATACCAGACCAGATTTTCGAGCACAAAACCAAACACACATACACACAATGGTACATACCAAGGGACCCGCCCCGCAGCACCACGACGGCAGTGGCCTGCGCATCGGTATCATCCACGCCCGCTGGAACGACACCATCATTGAGCCTCTTCTCGCCGGAACCAAGGCCAAGTTGCTCGAGTGCGGCGTCAAGGAGTCCAACATCGTGGTCCAGTCGGTTCCTGGTTCATGGGAGCTTCCAATTGCTGTCCAAAGGTGCGTCACAGTCCAGCTCTCCTTCCCTTCACCCCGCCCCCGCATTGCTTGCTGCTTGCCAGCTACCTCTTCTTCTCTCCCTCCTTCCTTCCCTCTACACCACCCCTTGCGCCCGCGACTTGGCGGAGAAAGGCGCTGCCACACGTACAGCTTTTATGAAGAGCGGCTAACGGGAACCCACTTCACGACAACAACAGACTCTACTCCGCCTCACAAGTCCAATCTTCCTCGTCCGGCAGCGGCACATCCGCCGGCGACCTCCTCGGCAGCTCCACGGCGGACCTCGCCTCGCTCTCCAACACCGCGTCGTCCGCCGTGTCGACACAGCCCTTCGACGCCCTGATTGCCATTGGCGTGCTGATCAAGGGCGAGACGATGCACTTCGAGTACATTGCCGACACGGTGTCGCAGGGCCTGATGCGCGTGTCGCTCGACACGGGCGTGCCCGTCATCTTTGGTGTCCTGACCGTGCTCACCGAGGAGCAGGCGCAGGCGAGGGCCGGTCTCATCCCGGGGAGCCATAACCACGGCGAGGACTGGGGTCTCGCTGCTGTCGAGATGGCTGTCAAGCGCAAGGATTGGGCTAATGGCAAGATTGAGTAACGGTCGATCATGCATGCGGGTCCCGAAAAGGGATTTAAAAAGATATATATATACAAACAAACGATACAGAGACAGCTATACCGGTCATATAAGCTTCATATAAAGGAAGAGATATCACATCGAGCATATATGGGGGAAACTAGCACTGATACCTACTGGACGCGGGGAAAGGGAACCGACCAAGAGAACTTTTGTGACACGATCTTTGTGACACGATCGATGCTTCCCGTAACTTTTTACTTTGCAATATCGGAAGACAGATCTGGTCTCGTCCCAATGGGAGGATACGGCGCTTCCACAAAGGGTGGAACATCAAGCCTGTTCAAGGTACGCTCAATGACAACGAAGACGAGCGATAATGTATTTGACCATACGTGACATTTGGAATTACTAGATTACTGATGGGCTGTATATGTCTATCGTGAATCGTCCCCCAAGCAGTTCGAATGAATAAAAGTAGCAAAGACAATTGAACTCCCATCTCGCCCGGTTATACAAAATCTCCCCTTTTTAAAGTGATGCTGCATATACAAATATGTTCGAACCTACAACTTACATCCCCCCGTCCGTCCTTCCTTTGTCTTGTCACGCGGAGCCCGAGTATCCAAGAAACAAACTGCCCAATCACCCACTATCCAACTTCGGTCCCAGAAACCTTAACCAAACGGTCCATGGCAGACGGCATATCACTTTTACATGATTAGTGTGCCGGCATCACCGCTCACTGACTTCTTCCTCTTCCACAGGGACCTCTTCTTCTCACGCTTGGCCTTCATGGCTTCCCATCCCTGCTCATCGTCGTCGTCATCCGAGGCACTGCCAGACTGCTTCACGGTAACAGTAGGCTGGTTGGCCCCCGACATGGTCGAGGACTTGCGCATATGGCTCGCCCCCAACGGCTGCACGACCGGCATCGGTGGTAGAGCTGGAGCTGCCATTTGGGATACGGGTCGGTAGCGGCCAGGAAGGCCAACGTTGCTGCGTTCCGACGGCGCAATTGACGGCGCGTAGCCTCCTGTGACCCGGATGGATGGGGCAAAGCCAGCAGGCTGTTGAGGATGGATCCAAGATGCCGAGCTGGGCTGAACCATGCTCATGGTACGCATCTGGGCATCACCCCGGGGGGGAGGCACATCAAGCATCGACTCGTTGCCCATGAAAGAGTGACGCATATCAGGTCCGCCCAGTCCTAGGCCACCAGGAACACCAGACATTCCAGGCATTTGCGGCAATCCGGCGAACCCAGGCATGCCGGCGGCGGAGCCTATGCTTCCGATGGAACCTGTGGCCATATGCCCTTCTGGGCGCGGTGCTCCAGTGCCGTTCTGACCCGCCATCATCTGCATGAATTGCATCTGCATTTGCATGAACTGCTGCATCTGCTGGGTCATTTGAATCTGGGCTTGGTCCCCAGGCGTCATCAGGTTGGGCTTGTTGGGGTACATCATGTGCGGAGGAATGCCGGCAATCGGGTCAAAGGTGGCAGCACCAGAAATGGGCCGTTGATCTGGTATATGAGGGCTGCCCCGTCTCATCGCCCTCGCTCTTTCTTCGCTTGCAATGACACCAATTAGACCACCAGGAGGACCACCCGGGTTCATATTAATAGGAGCAGGGCTTCCTCCTCCCAGGCCAAAATTCTCCCGCGGATTGTTGCGAGCGAGACCGGCACCGATGAAGGGGTCTTGAGGCAAGTTCCTGGCAAAAGCTGGGAGGTGGCCGCCTGCCGCCATTGCTCCGCCAGCTGCAGACCCTGGCCGTTGATAGCTAGGTTCCTGGGCGGCGCGGAGGTTAGGGTTCGACATCATGGTGCTCAGACGGGTCGGAGGTCGGTTCTTGCCCGGAAAGCCATGGGCGGCGAGAATGGCCAATGGAACTTCCTCGTCTTCATCCGAGTTATCAGACGTGGCTGGCCCAGTCGCAGGGTTCTGCAGATTTGGAGTGCTGAAAGACATCTGGAGGTTAGGCCGTGGCATGGGTGCGTTTGCCGACTCTCCAGTTACTTTCATCATCTGCTGTCGGTAAACGGCCATGTGGGCTTCCTGCTTCTTCCTTTGCTTTGCTTGCTGCTTTGCCTTTTCCAAATCATCCTCCTCATCATCATAGTTGTCCTCTTCGTCTTCCTCGCCCGCAGCGCTCTGGTCTTGGTTTCTGGCAGACTCCATTTGTCGCTCCCTGTCCTGACGTTCCTTGTCCTTGCGATACTTTTCGAACTCGGCCGGAGTCATGACCTTGTTGGCCCCTTGCGACTGCGAGTTTTGGGCACGATTGCGGCTCACTGTTGTTTCGTATGCGTAGCTGTGGTTGGTATCGAAAAGGCTGTCGTCGTCACCCAGAGCGGTGTCCTTGAACCCAGAGGGCAGACCGTTTCCACCCCTGCGGTACCGTGAACCAGAAGAAGGGCCAGATGTAGATCCCGCAGCCCTTTCAGGGGCATCCATATACTTGCTCACAGTAGATAACGAATCCATCAAAAGCCTTGCCTCCTCATCTTCACCCTCACCCAGTTCTGCGTCCGAGTTCCGATGTGCGAGCAACGGCTTTCTTGGGTTTGATTCCGGGGATGCGCTTGGTCGGATTGCCTCGCGAGCCAAGGGCGACATGTGACGAGACAGAGGAGAGGCCACCTCTTTGTTTCGGGGCGAATGGGGAGGGCTGGTCGGTGAGAGGAGCTGGTCGTTGGAGTGCTGGCTAGTCCACGACGGTTGCGCGGGCTCAACCTTTGCGGTTCTGTCAACCTGAATAGGCGACGGCTGGCTGAGACGGTTTCCAGTCAAGGATCTCGGTCCCAAGCCGGGTTGTGTAGCATGGCTGTTCTGGTAGTTCTGGCTGTTCTGGTTGTCCTGATTGTTCTGGTTGCCCACCATGGAGGCCCTTTTTTCGTTTCCAAGCACCATCTTCCCAAAGTCACCCCCCAAGTCCATACCAAGGTCGTCGTCCACTCTGGGTGGTGTCACGGTCGTCGAGGTTGAAGTAGTTGTAGCCCTTGGTCTAGTAGGCGCCAAGACGTGATTATAGTCCTGGGCTTCGGAACTCAGGTGCGGAACTGGCTCTTGTTGGGCCGGTACGATGGGTAGAGGCTTCTTTCCTCCCCCGAAAGAAAATGTTCGGCCGGCAGCCTTCAAGAATCCACCCGATGAAGACTTGGGAATAGGCGGGACCGGTACATCACCAGAATCAGCGGATGATGGGGCAGTGGAAGAGTTGCTATGGCGCGAGGAGTTGTCAGTCGAGGTGGCCTTGGTGGTGCTCGAGGATGCGCTTCCCCTTTAGGCAGTTAGCCGGTTGACTCGGTAGGTAACAGGAAGGGACGTGAGGGTGTAGAGCAGGGCAACGAGGGAAAGGACCAAGGTTGCGCGGGTGTCAGCGGGAGGAAAGCAATGACTCTGCTCTTACCTGTTGATGCCGGCGAACAAGTTGTCGTGATGTATGTCGCTGCCACTCGTTTTGGGCCTGGAAGGGGTCTTGCCTCCCAACCTTATGGTCCCATCGAAAGACTTGCCAGCCTCGTGGAACTTGTTCCCGGCGTCGGGGCGCTCCAGGACACGAAAGGACGACTCAGCCGGAGCATTGTCAGCGTTTTCAGCGGTCGACTTCCGCCTTCCGAACGCGACCGAAAACCTAGGCATATAGATGTCCGGGGGCGGTTTTCTGAACCGGCTATACAACAAACAAACGCCCTTTTAAATCCGCCCAGTCAAGGTCCGTTAAAGAGGGGTATAGCCTCTTTTTTGTTGTTCCGGCGTGCGAACTGCGATTTGGCAGTGGGGCTTGACGGGCTGTGGGTATCGTAGAAGGCGCCGGTGACGAACGCTGCTGGCCTGGGAAAGCGATATCTTTCTCTATAGGTCACAATTCGGGTTTCTCCTCCTCGATGGCGGAGCGCACTAGGGATGAAAGATATCGGCAACCTGCAGGATAAAGAGGGCCCAAGGTTAGCAGCGGACGACAAAAGGTGAGTGCATCAATGCGAGTGCCCGAACTGTCGCATGAAAGCTTGACTGTCGTGGTAGAGTCTTGTGTGTCCAGTAGGGGAAACCGACGAGCGGTGCTGGAGTCTATGGAGGTCGGGAAGGAGGACAATTCCGTCAATTTCTATCGCCAATCGCTAATCCCCCCAATCCCGGGGCTGGCTTGGACTCTTCAGGTGATAGGGTGACATCCGTTGGCACTGGCGCAACCCAAATCAAGGAGGGAGCGCAGCAGGTACGAGCAGACATGGTGGCGCGTCCTTGTACCTGAGGTAGGCTGGCTGCCCTGCCGGCCTGTCCTGATCCCAGGCGCATTCAAAGGGGGCATGGGGTGGGAAAATCCCAGGTAGTCCAGGCACTCCAGGCACTCCAGGCACTCCAGGTGCATAATTGGTGGGATGTTAAGTAATGCGTACCGGCAGCAAACTACAGCCGCCGTCAGACCCAACGAGAGACAAAAAGTTTGCACTTACGAAAACTAGGGGAAATGCCACCGATTAAGACAGATTTGTGGCATATGTCTCGTGCTCTGTCGGTATTTTCTTTGAACTCGACAATTCTTTTCTGTATGTGTCGGTATGGCAGTCGTCGGTGGTTTTGCTGCTTGGATCTGCACTTCTGACAGCACCCAAAGGCGAGCAGTGTTGGCGAAGGGGGTTCTCCGGAAATCGAAAAAATTGTTTGGGTGATGCTGGGCGAGCCGAGCCGGCGTCAACGAGAGTCTCGAATCGGGGGGAGGCGTCGATCAAAGTGGAGAGAGGTCGGGGCGAGTGAAGAGGTCTGGTGATGCACGGCGAAAAGGGAAGACGGATTCCCAAAAGTGAAAGAAAAAGTCAAAATCCCAAAAAGGAGGTCCAAAGAATGAGGAAGGGGAAAACAGAACTAAAGAGACAGGATGGGATGGATCAGGTACAGAGTGAGTTCGGGTGACGGAGTGCTATGTACAAAATAGGGGAGATTGGCCGATTGACACGATTGGTGGGGCGGCGTGGTGCGTAAACGCAGTTGGTAATTTGGGGCAGTGTTCTCTGTTATTGTCCTCCGTCCAGGTCGTGTTGTTTTGCTGGTGGGCTGTCAGGTTCTGGTCGTTGCCGTTGCTGTGGAAGTTGGTGAAGCACTCTTCACAACTGATGTGTGCGACACGGTAGAGCAGTTTTAGAGAAGAGGAAAAAAGAGGCAGAGACAGAGGTTGAAGTTTTCACAAGGAGAATGAAACCGAGAGAGCAGAAACAATGGGCTGGATGACTGGATGGAACGATGGAAATGGAGATCAAAGCACAAACTGAAGAGTAACCCCAGTAGCGAAAAGAGTGGAACGGCCCGAGTTAGCATAGCAGGCAGAAGCTGGAAAAGCAACTGGAGACTTTTTTTCTCTCTCATTTTTTTTTACCTTTCTATTTTACCCGTTTTCCTTCTACACCATCTACAGCATACCCGCTCATGTGTAGGGAAGCACACACTACACGCGTCCCGGCAACCTCTACCTAGTGTACATTACCTTACACTACAATTTCAACACCAAAAATCAATGGTCATGGGTTGGGATGGATGCCGTGACATGGGTTAATGGATCTTGGACAATTACGAAGTGGGGAGTCGGAGGACTTTCACAGGCACTAAACTGGCGATGGCGAGGTGACGGCGAGGATAGCGCCCTTCTGTTGGCGACTCGCCTGACAGCGCTTCTCACCTACTTGTTACCACTCACCCCCTTGTTGACCTGATCATCTATTTTTTCTTCCTTCTCTTTTACTCTCTCTCCCTTCAAGATCCCTTTCAGCTTTTTCTGTGTTTCTGCTTTTGGCATGCTGGCCCAATTTGTTTGGAACTGGCGGTCATCCATTAGGGTCATCACCTCAGCAGAGCGGGCTCAGCTGCTCATCAGCGGCTTTGTCCCCTTTGGTGGAATCGGGTTCCAGGTCGCTATACTTGGCAGTCGTCCGTCCATCACCACTCACCAGTCCGGTCCCGCCCTCTCCCTTGTCGAGCTGTCAGGCCCAATGGGTCTGGTTATGGATCTGGATGGATCTGGATGGGTCCCATCCCACCCGCATCCACAGAGGAAACCTCGTTCCCTTTCAGTGTGTTCCCTCGGAACATCTTGGCGAGCATCAAATAGTGTTTTTGGAGGTCCTGCTGTGAACTCGGAACACGCAGAAGTTGGGAGGGAACCATTAAACGACAAAACGCAAGCACATGGCCTGCTTCACGGCAGTCAACACTCGAGAGGCACCGCAAGAAGCCGGCGACGATCTTTACCAAGCAACACGTGCATGACGTCCACGAGAATGTGTGGATGCATGAGCGGCATGGGCCTGCTGGGCCACCTTAGCAAATTGGTGGGTATCCAAAATTGGGTAGCCCCGTTGTGGTGACTGCTCCGTTGTTGAATTCTTCGTTTTCAGCGGGCGCGCTGCTAGCTGCCATGTGCCTGGACTGGGGATGCGGAGAGGATCTCCCAAGGCCTACGTATCGCACTCACATCCTTTGCTCTTTTGGGTATTTAACAAGACTGCTTTGCAGCCATTAGTTAGTGGCTCTGGAGGATGCTGTTTCTATCAGGCCGGCATTTGTTTACACGTGATGCATCGTGTAAACCAGTCTCGTCAGTGCACATGTTAATGGTCCATCATTTCTATTCGCTGGACTTGACGCACGTCCATAAGAAAGGTGTGTAGTGTCTGTTACCTGGCCTTGGAACATGGAGGGGTGAGTCCAAGTACCGGTAGGTATTAAATTATTACGTCTCGATATATTAGCATCATATTCGTTCTTCACCGCGACTGTCCATGGCGAGATCCCAGCCGAGCTGTGTAATTCAACACGCCAAGTAAAGGGAGCACTGGTCAAAAGGCTTATTTGTAAGGGACAAGGAGGGAGTTCAGTTCACGTGCGCATAGTCCTATCGGAGTAAATGGGAATTGTCCTTCGCTTGTGAGATTTCGCTCGACATGATGTCTTCTGTTGTCTCCCAACGACAGGGGCTGTTGTCTCACTCTTTCGTCGTTGCCCGCTCATGGATGATGGGCCGAACCACCAGCTGTTTCCCCACGGCCGTCCCACAGACAGAATCTTTATACGGGTTTTGAGCCCGAGCGCCTCGTATATACACCACTTGATTCCGCAGGAACACGTTTTCTTGTGTTGTGGATGTGTGTTGTGACTGGTAACACTATATGGCTGCGACCTCCTTCCTCTTGGCTTTTAAGCCTTAAAACTCTCCTGCCACGGAGGATGAAAACGGTGAACAAGCTGGCCCACCAGCTGGCTAGGTAATCTTCCAAAGTATGGAGCATATACCTATATATTCCTTGCACATGCGAACATGGTCTTGCGGTAACGACACCTTTTTTCCCTGGAATTCGGCCGTGCTGCCAGCCAAATGCCCCTAAGACAGCCTCCCTCCCCGGCATCCGGGACAATTTGCAGGAACATGACCCCAGACATGTGTGGTACGGTGTGGTGCAGTGCAGTACAGTGCAGCGCGTGGATGTACAGTACCTACCTGTGTTGGAGAGACTGTCAGCAGCAGCGCGGAAGGCTCGTCGACGGACATCTAACCTCTAGCATTATCCTCGCAACGCCGACCAGATTGATGTCATGAATATTGAAGGTCGCCTTGGAATGGCGAACACCCGTTTGGAAATATGAAATATGAAATTCACTACCCTCATTAGGGGCAGAACGAAGGCGCATCTGTCAACCCAGGAGACTTCCATGATGGGACGAACTTGCGGGAGCGGGAAGCCAGGAACGATGGCTCTAATGTAGGTAGTATGGTACTGTGTAGCTGCGTATAAGCCGCCGAAGAGGGCTCCTCGTCCGGCCTGGCCCCACCCGTTCCGGCGTGCAGTGATTCAGCAATGCTGATTCACCGGGACGGGAGCACAATACGATGGCAGAGAGAAATAGTACTATTTCCACTCGGCAGGCACTAATGTACAATACAGAACCTAGGCAGTGTACATACTCTCATTGCCTGACGCTGACGTCGGCGGTTTCCCAAAAGGCGGCAAGGAGTGTAGTGTAGGTTGGTGCACAGTGTGTATAGTAGCGTGACGGTGCAGTGCCTGGCGCGAGCTGCAGATCGGGAGTTTTAAATTCCATTCCGATTATGGACATGGCTGTACTTGGCGGTTAAAGGAAAAGTGAGACTTTTTACCAACCCCCTCTTATAAAAGAAGGGGAAATTTTCAATAGGACAGCGAAATATTATAGAACATTGCTAATTGATTGCATATTAAATCACCTATTAACTGTAAGCAAAATCTCTTATTGGTGTTGTAATTTTAGATCTTTTAATGTAATATAATATAGTACTTTCTATTGTAAATCTATAGAAAAAAATTAAGTAATCTGTATATGTATGAATTATTTAATAGGTAGTTAATTTATTGTATAATACAGATCAATTTCAATAAATATTTTAAAACCCAAAAGAAGTATTTGATAGGTATAGAAGTACCCGTATATATTTCGCTACTCATAATCAATTTAATACCTTTTGTAATAAAAGTACGAAGCTACTATTTATTAGAAATACTACTACTACTACGGGAGAGTTGCGTATATTAATAAATTATTATATAAAGTTCTTACGCGAGTTTGAAAAATTTATTATATTAAAGCGCTCGTCGAAAAGGTTATATTTATTAACTAGCGCTGAAGAAATCGCTACTATTACTTACGTAATGTTTCATTTCTAAAGTAAATTCCTCGTATTATATAAAATAATTATAGCGGCAGTAAATCAATTGTATTCGTTATAGGGCGTTCCAACTACTTATAATTCATAATAACTAATATAATTCTTTAAAGACTATTTACAATTCAAAATAATAATTTACTATATTATTAATATTAAGTAATAGTTTCAGAAATTTATTAACGTGTGGCTAGTACTGTGCCTTGTAACTGCCTTATACTATCTTGTAGTATAAAAGGCTGATTGAACTATTCCTTTTATAGAATCAGTCAACTCAGCCCTCACAGAACGTACTAGAATACAGAGATTTTGCTACTGTATTCTGGGATTCTCTAACATAAAAGTAGCTGACTCTTTATTAATAATACTAACGATTTTAAGTTATAGCCAAATTAATTAGCTACTTTTCTTATATAAATTACTTATAACTAATTTACTATTTACTTCGTTATTCTTTTAATACAATTACTTTTATATAATAATCCGCTATATACTTTGATTGTATTTTCATTTTATTATAATTTTAAATACTGCTTTTATCAATATTATACTTTTTAATCATAATTTCTTATTAATTAAACTATTCGTTAACAGACTTTTTATTTAATTCTGTTTGCTACCATGCCCTAACTAGCCTATAATAATAGCACTAGTATAGAGATATTACAGAGGACTATGTACTTGTAGTACAGCGGAGCAGAAGCGGTAGGAAGTACGACAGCAGTACTGAAGAAAGCAGCGTAGTTGCAAATACAATAGAGGAATGTTGTAAAAGAGGTCTTAGAAAGAACTCTGCTCTCAAGACAGAAGAGTACAATAGACCCTGCACTGTGAGAAACAACTATTATAGTGAACTCTGCACTATAAGAGTAGACTGTATTATATTGCTTGGACTGTGCTTGCTTGCTTAAGAAGTGACTAACTAAAGGAGAGAAGAGGCTTTTATATACACGAACGTTAAGTATCTAGAAGCTTTTGGAGTGTGAAGCTTCTGTAAGTTAATAAATATGACAAGGGCTGTATTCAGGGCTTGGAACAGTAGTTCAAATCAGCTAATAAACTACTTTAGTCTCAAAGGCCTTGTTGATTCTCTCAACCTCTAGGAGAAGGCTGGGCTTCGAGGCCTTCTTATGTCAAAGGAAAATGGTACGTACTGGGGTACGTACCAGTCCTTATCACCTAAGGCTCCAAAGCATTTATCTAGCGACCTGTATACATGTGGATCTTTCTGAATGCCTTTATCCATTTTCCTTCTTCCTTCTGGCGTCAGCCTCTGCCCGGGCGTCCTGCTTCTGCTTATTTAGCGTGATTGCTCCTGTGATGATGGGGTAGCTTTGTGATGATGTTTAGCGCCGTCAGCAGTTCTGAGGTTGGCTCGTTTAGCCTAGTAGCGTTGCGAGGGTTTGAATAAGCCGTGCCTGTTGGCTGAATAGTCTGGCCGAGGCAAGGCTGGCAATGTATAGCGAGGCTGGGTTGATGCCAAGCATTGAGGCTCTATTGAACTTCAAACCCCAGAGTGTAGGCAATGTCCGTGTGACAATAGAAGTGCTTGTAGGAGTACTATATTATGAAAGAAATGAACTGAATCTATGAGCTTCTGGTGCATTCCATGATGACAAATTAGTCTAGAAGGAATGCTAAACAAGTTAGAGAATTCTAGAATACAATGGCAAAACTTCTGTATTCTAGCACGTTCTGTGGGAGCTGAGTTAACTAATTCCATAGAAGGAATAGTTCAATCAGCTTTCTATAGTATAAGATAGTATAAGGTAGTTACAAGGCACAGTACTAGCTATATATTAACAAATACATAAGTTATTGCTTCTATAAATAAACTTATTCTTAAATTTACTACTTCCATTCTTTGCTATTTTAGTATGCAAATAGTTACATTATTATTCAAAAACGAAAGTACGCTTATTGATAATAACGATAACGAAAATAATAATGTTATTATTAAAATAAAATATAATAAGAAAAATAACAGGGAAGAGAAAAAAAAAGAGAAAGAAGAAAGTAATTAAATATTACTACTACTCTTATATATTAGCCGCCGCTTATTCAACTCGCTTACCATTCTTAAACCTACTACTAAACTATCAAAACTACCACTATCTATTATATTAGCAACTACTCTATTTATACCATTTCACGCAACCCTCACTTTCGCATTTATTATATCACAGTTGAAAGTTCTAAATAAAATACTATTTTAAGATATTATAAAATTCGTAAAAAAAAAGGCTATAAAACTGTACATAGAGTAAGAAAAGCAGTTATAAATACTTTAGTAAAAAAAGAAAAGGTATTCATACTCACACTTATACCTATACTAAAGAAGGCATTAAAATAGGTACTTATACTAAATTAATAATGCGATTCGTCAGTGTATTTACTTTTTACTTAATTGAATAATACTCTAAACTCTACGATTGCATTATAGGAATAAATATCGCTATATAGTATAATAATTATTATGGCGCTGGCGGACCGCTACATCACTAGGCTATGTTCCAAAAGGATACAAGTAACTGAAGCTGGCAATTCAGTCGCTCAAGTGGTCTTATATAGTTCTAATAGCAGTCAAGAGGCATAACTGCAAGGCTGCCATCACAATAATGTAAATACGTATTGGTCAATTTAGTAATATAATACTATAGAATCTATCCTATAATATTTCACTATCCTATTAAACAATTTCCTCATCTTTTATAAGAGGGGATTGGCAAAAAGTCCCACTTTTCCCTTGACCGCCAAGTACACTACAGAACTCTCGAACGCATCGCGACTCAAACACCCTTCTCCAAGAACGGTACAGATGACCTTTTCTGCAGCACGGAAAGGCGTTTTTCGCGGGGTGCAAGGAGGCAAGGGGGTTGCTTCTAGCTACTCGGGTATCATGGAAGGAGCACTTTAATAATGTTACCAGTTGGTGAACCCCCATGCCTTGTTTATACCCAAAGTGTTTCACCCTCCGACCGTGCAGAGTGCCATGGATCCACGCACTTGATCTGGGACAACCACTCCTCTCAGGGCTTCGAGCTCGTTGTTGATGAAAGTCAACATACCTCCCTCTATCTGCTACCGTACCTGCCGAGCCTTGCTTATTGTTCCATACCCATGTTCGGCATGCTACCATATTCGGAGCACCAATCCCTTCTTCTGTTCCCTGCTTCTTTAAGGTACCTCGGGGTGCTCCGGGCCATGACGGCATGAGACTGCCAATCTGAGAACATCGACATTGCCGTCAGAAGCCACCACGCCGGCGTCCAACATTTCGGGCTGTAGGCCGTCCGGAAAAGATGGAGGGTGTGTATCAGACAGGTCACCCCATCTTCAAGGACAAAGAATAGGCCCGACCGGGGCCCGGAGCGCGGCCGAGAATCCGATGCACCGTCACCGGTCGCTGACTCGATAACGACCTCCAGTTCGCCGCAATGGACCTGGATAACACGGATCCATCTGAGGCGCCATGGGGACAACCACAACAAAATCCAGCCAACAAAAAAAAAAAAAGGTAACATGAGTGAAAAAGTGAATACCCTCAACTGCTCGAGTGCGCAGAGTTTTTGATTCGCCAACAAATATCGATTTTTTCATCCACCTTGCCCATTGATCGACCCCAAGCGGGTTTGTTTACTTTGGCTTGGGATCCATTGTTGTTTCATCTTCTCTTCAAGGACCCTTGTCTCTCAGCCTTATCTCTCTCCGATTCTGATTTTATGTTTTGACTCGGAGCTCCTTCCTTCGGTCTTTTTTTTTTTTTTTTTTCCCTCCACCATTGGACTCTTCAACCTTCAACGACGACTCCGGTGGAAATGGCATCTCCAAACTACACACATCCACACCCAAGCAGTCGCAGCGGCCCGTTTCTCTGTCTGCAAGAGCCACAACCACCGGCACCTAAAGGACATAGCGCGCTAGCATTGCTCATCAGAAACCGGCCTGTCGTATCACTACCAAACCCTCTGAACCCTTTCCGTGACGATGAAGAGGCTCTTGTAGGTCTTGGGGTGGAACGGAGATTAACGGACGATGAACCTCCACGCCGGGATGAGCGGCGCATGAGCGCTGTTCTTAACGCGCCTCATATGCGCAGTATGCGCCTGATCGGAAACAGCAATCCTCGATATCGATGGGAAAGATATTGGAAAACCGAAGATGAGCTGGCGATTATGAAAAAGCCCATGTTAGTGTTGCCCGCAAAAATCCTTGCTCAAGCCGGTAGACGCTGACGCCCTGTTGTAGCCGTGAATATTATGAGCGTTGCAACTACCTTGTTCAGCAGTATCTATACATTGATAAACTTCTGGATTCATCCTTGCCTCATGACCTACTCAATGAGTACAACGACCTCCCGCCATGGGCTTTCCGCGGAGGTCTTGAGGCTCCTGCTACCACGCCGCCGACCAACGGTGTCACTGCAGAGCCCGCCCCAACTGTCTCCAAGACTCGCAAGATCAAGCGAACGCCCAAGGACATCTACCGACCGACCGAGACCACTCCCCTATTCAGTGACGATAGCAACGCCGTCGACGACGAGGATGGTGATCAAGTCGCTAGCCAGGGTACACGACCTGAGATCCCATGGCTTGAGGATGACGATGTTGACAGCTCCGCCTCCATCGTGACTTTGGCTATTTACATCAACTTTGCAGCCAACGCTATCCTTCTGGCTGGCAAGCTTGCGGTGGTCCTGTCCGTCCCGTCTGTCTCAGTGTTGGCAAGTTTGGTGGACGCGATCCTGGACTTTTTGTCGACTGCCATTGTATGGATCACTACATGGTTAATCAGCCGGCAAGATCAGTATCGGTATCCCATCGGGCGAAGAAGGCTGGAGCCTATTGGCGTGCTTGTCTTCTCCGTCATCATGATCACGTCGTTTGCCCAGGTTGCTCTTGAGGCCATTCAACGTCTTATGTCAAATGACCGAGAGGTTATTCAACTGTATGCATCCTCAGCCCCTATCCACCTACCTATTCAAGATTGTTTTCGTTATGATGCTAACACGCGTTTTCGAAAAGTGGCGTACCGGCCATCGCCATCATGTTGAGCACCGTCGTCATCAAGGGTATGTGCTGGCTTTGGTGCCGTCTCATCAAAAACTCCAGTGTCCAGGCCTTGTAAGTACCGCCCCCCTTCCAAGATGAAAGACACCAAGCTTACACGTGATTCCAGGGCCGCGGATGCAAGCACCGATGTTATCTTCAACGCCGGCTCCATCGCTTTCCCATTAAGTCAGTCTTTCTCCTCTTGCCCCATATCCCCGTTATTTTATACTTGCAGACCTCTAATCCGGTTCATATAGTTGGCTTCTACTGTCACATCTGGTGGCTCGATGCGCTCGGCGGTTTGCTGCTCTCCCTCGTGGTTATCTTTAACTGGTCTCAAACATCCGGAGAGCACATCAGACACTTGACGGGCTTTTCCGCCACTGCTGATCAACGCAATATCTGTAAGTGCCTTGGTTCCTATCAGCGAGGAGTCATCTTCCTTACTAACAGCTTAAAACAGTGCTCTACTTGACCATGCGCTTCGCAAAGACGATCAAGCAGATCCAGGGCTTGCAAGCCTACCACTCAGGCGACAAGCTGAACGTTGAGGTTGACATCGTTTTGGATGCCAGCACGTCACTCAAGGACAGTCATGATTTGGCGTGAGTACACACTTTTCGAAATCCCCTTTCCTTCCCCATTGTTGGGAATGTTTCTGATGACTGACGATTCGAATTACCTGGACACAGTGAAAGTCTCCAATACGTCATAGAATCTGTCCCCATCGTTGATAGGGCGTTTGTCCACGTCGACTATGCCAGCTACAACCTCCCCACTCACATGGAGCAGCAACACAATTAGCTAAGCTCAACGCAGTGAGCATGATAGGCTCACTGGAGTTGCCGAGGTGTGCCTTGTGTCCTCATAATCTACACTCAGGCGGGCCCGGTTCATTGTTCAGGTTTGAGAAGCCATCACTTGAAGGTTGAGCGGACTTCCGGCATGTCCGAGTCTTATGCTCGCCTCAGTTCTCAGTGAGTCCGGCTGTTGGCTCGAGGGCGTTAGCACGTCTCTGGAGTTTGGGAGAACGGCGACCGTCTGTCCTAAAGCTGCTAGAAACTCACCTGTGGGTTTAGCAGGCGATCATGTTGCCAGGTGGTTCCCTGAATGATCAAGTGGCAAAGCCGCTCAAAAGAGAGGAAATCACCAACTTGCTTAGGTTGCAAGGCAATGACCACACATCAGGCACGTTGATGGTCAAGAAGCAACACAACCATGGCTCAATTATGGTGGGCAGAATTGCATTGGTACTCAGTCAAGTTGAGACCAAACTGTGACTGAAGCCAGATGATGACGAAAGAATGAATAACTGTATATTACGAGAAAATCCTGTGGGTATTTTGAACCCCGAAGCGTATTACATAAAAATTGCATTACATAGCTTGAAAAGAATACCCCAATCAACCTTAATCTCCAAAACCTTAGTACGGGATACCGTTCGTCAGAAGCTGGAACTGGTCGTAAAATCCCGTCGAATAACTGGCGTAACTCTTCTTGATAAGATCCTTCATGAAATCGGCCGCCTCGCGCTCGCTCTTCTCCAGCACAAAACGCTCCTTGAAGTGCTTCACACTCTCAGGCTTGAAGCATGGCAGGCCGCTGTCCATCATCAACAGAACAATCTGTGACAACTTCTCCGTATATTGACGAGAAGCAAGGAAGGCTTTGATGCACAGCTCTTCAAACCACTTGAACGACTGGTGATCCGGACTGCCGCCCATCACAGCAAGCATCTCCGATGTCAGCTTGAACGGGGCACGCTCGAACTTGATACCGCCAGGAGCAATATCGAAACAGAAACCAAAATCAATGTGAAGAATGTGGCCGGCATCGTCAATCATGATGTTACCGTTATGTCTGTCCTTGAACTGCAGGAGGAACGAAATGACCGAGTATGCCGCCATACTCTTGACAAAGTTGTTCCGGGCTTGCTGGAAGCGGAGGGAATCCTCGTTGCCATACTTGGAAACGAAGTAGTCATAGAGCCCGTTGACAGCCTCTCGTCCCAGCATGTCTCGGGAGATGGAGTTGGGAAGCACGTCAATGACACCGCAGCCGGGGGCTGTGGCCGTTACGCGGTAGGGGAAGACGAAGACATCAAGGCCAACGGTCTGGAAGATTCCTCGGAAGGCGGCAATCATCTGAAGGGCCAACACATCTTGACGACAATCATCACCGACCTTGAAGATGGCCGATTGCCATACCTCGATGGTGTTGGCCTTCGCCGCATCGTTATTGCCCGCTTCCGATTCTTCGATCATCTCCTCGGTCTCTTCCACCCCTCCCTTGGATTTTTGGATACGGAAAGTTGCCATGAAGGGAGCCTTTGCGTGACTCTGCAATGGCTTGCCTGACTTTCGATCGATGCCGATGACCACGCCATCTGGGTTGCTGGGCAGGTAGACGCCCACCTCAACCTTAATGTTGCGCAATTCCTCCTCGATCTTTTGCTTCTTCTCCGGCTTCGACTTCTTGATGAAAGGCTTGAGCTTGCCCGAAATGCTTGTCACCTCATCGAAGAAGGCAAATTCGCGTTCGTAAAATTCACGGTCGACGGTAGAGAAACTATCTATCATGTGGCCCATGACTTTGTCAAGGGTTGGTTTGATCGCATCGGGCTATGTCACATTAGTACACCAATCCTTTTGCCGACTAAACCAAGAATAAGGTAACTTACGATAGTAGCATCTTCGTCTTTATAGGCATTTGCCTTCATGTTCCAGATGATCTGATGCGCGAACAGTTGCGAGAACTGGGCCGTCTCGAGGATATAGCGCTCAACGTAACCCAGAGCATCATAACGAAGGGTCTGCACAATCTGTGGGACATAGAAGAACGTCACGTCAACAGAGTGACTCTCCAGTGCCCTCATAGCGTACTGGATCAGATACGGATGATTCCGGTATGCAGGCAGGAAGTATGTAATCGAAGTGATAGGGTTAACCGGGGCCCAGAAGAGAAGGTACTGAAATGGAGAGGTTAGCAACGAGTACAAAAACACAGTCTTACTGGCACTTGCAGCAAACAGGTGCACATACCTTGAGTTGAAAGCTGACATCTTCGGGCAATGAGCCGTCAACAAGTGTCGCCACCGCTTCGGGCTCCTTGATTGCCTTGGAAGGGAAATTAAGGAGAAGCCATCGGACTTCTTGCTTGACTCGCGGATATGGGAATCTGCTAGCGAGATGCACAGCCAACGAAGGAGATTCGAGCCACGCAATCCGAATAAGGGGGAAGATGGCGGCCTATGCAACGGTTAGTTATTACAGTGCCCTTACAGCTAAGATTCACAATACGTACCTCTACAAGATTCTTATTCGTATTGGTATGATGGATTAGATGGTGTGGCGTCTTGAGCGGCTCACCCAGCGGCTGCACCCAAACAATCAATCGCGACTGCTCATTCTCTAGAAGCAACTGCAGCAGTCTTTCCTTGGAAGCCAAAGACTTCTTGCCCACAGTCTGTGCTCCAACTGTTGTAGTCATCTTCAAAGCCATGAGAACGTCTGATATCAGCGTGATTTCTGTCTTCAGCTGCAGTACGTTGCTACCGAAAGACCAGCATGGGGCGGCGCAAAACCAGCTCAGGCCCGCAGAAAGGACCAGGTCCTTCAGCCTCCATTGTGCTGTGGTTGCCATGGTCGTGCTCGTGGCGAGAACTCGTAATCCAAAGAGTACAGTCTGGAACCGAATCTCTCTGGCCATCGGGTGAGGATGAGAGAGCTTCATCGCAGTCAAGGTCACTTCCAGGAGACGGAGGAAGATCTGCTGGGTATCCAGATTTCCAAGCCGCGTAGCATTGTAATGGCTTGCAAAGAACTGTAGAAGTCGGGTGTGAGGTGCGAGAACGTTATGCACCAGTTGCTTACGCTTTGCAACGGACGCCGCGTCAGTGGGAGCAAATTCTTCCTTCAAAAAGAACGGATCGGGGTTGCAGATGGTAGGACTGAAAAGACCGAGTCGCTTTTGGATGCTGAATTCCCACTGCTGGGCTATTTCGGCCAGGATTCGGGGTTCCATCCGCGGGTTCTCGTTGATCACACCCAGCCAGAGAGACACTCCCAGTTTAATAGACTGCTTCGTGAAGATTCCGAACGGGATGCTGACCAAATAATGGACGATGGAGCATTCATCATTCGTACTGCGACAGAGCAAAGCAGCAGCACGACGTAAGATATCTCTAACATCTGTAAGCGGAGTGGCTTTGCGACTGAGCACGCACTTCTCAATATGAGCAAGGGCTGTTATGGCGTCGGTGCTGTCGCTGGTCGTCGATGGGAGAGAAGAAGCTGCCATGTCAGGGCGCATGAAACCCTGCCATTCCAAGCTCCGGTCTGGAAGTGCCTCCGAGTATCGATATTCCTGGCGCTTGGTGTACTGGGCCATGAAATCAGATGCAGTGTTGATGCGGTAATCTCCCAGCACATCAAGCAAGGCCAACCTCTGATCTGTCGAAGGGATTGCTGAGCCAATGTCAACAGCAAAAGACCGGCCAAGTGACATGTGCCCATAAGAAGCATCATCATCAAAGTCAGAAAGATAGGTTTGCAAAAGGCCCTTGACATCGGCAGGGGCTATGTTAATAGCGCCAGTGAGCCACTCCTTTGCCTTTCGATGTAGTCTTTCGAGTGTGAGGTGTCTGAATTGGTAGTCATGAGAGAGCTCAACGGTAACGTTACCCCTGGACGACTTGAAAATAGTTCTTGGCTCATACCGATCTGTCTCGGCCTCAAGACAGCTTGTCCACATGAGGGAAAGAAGTTCAAGAAGCGCGAACAGAGATGACCTCTGGCAAAGTGCCGACGGGATAGCCTTGATGATGCGGTCTGCACAGCCGAAAGCTGCCTGTTGGACTCGGTCTATGCGGTGACAGCAAGCGCAGAAGATTCTCGCAAGCTGGCCAGCCGCATACTGGGCCGAGAATGTCGGGTTGGAGCCACCGAGGGCCCTATTCAGGTATCGGGTCATCACGGCGTCCATGATACCGTCCATCGTACGACTAACTTCTCCGCGGCGCATGCTCGGCTCATTGAAGTATGAAAGAGCCTTGGTGCAATCACCAGCATCCGCTCGCAAGCTCTCGACGAGGTAAGCGGCATTAAGGAATATCACTTTGCGATAACTGAGCCCCTTGATCTCAGCTGCCCGGGACGGTATCAGCCCTGAGAGAGATTTCTTCTGCAACGACTCCCGATCAGAGCTCTCGCCTCTGCGCAAGATAGGGTTGAGCTCAATATCACTTTCATCTTGTTCTCCGCGGCTGTCCAATACCAGGGGTGGCGAGTAGATAGCCATGACGCGAAGCTCATCCGCATAGCGTTTGCCACGGTCTGTCGAGGGCGTAAAGCCGTGAACGACTATGTTGAACCACGAGTCGCGAAGCAGAGCATATGTGTCATCATCTGCATCGCCCCCAAAGCCAATGTCATTGGCATTGGTAGACATGAACAAGGCAAGAGGTTGGAGCAGTTGTGCGATCTCACGAGCGGCAAGCTCCATGTCGGACTCCTTGGCGCTTTGAGACGGAAGACCGTGGGCGTCCCCCTTGGAGATGATACCATCCAACAAGTGCTCCAGGTAGATGCTGTAAAGGGGCGAGTCACGATTGATGTTGCAAGCAAGGTAGTTGCGAGCTCGCGTAATCTATCCAGATAGTCAGCCTGCGTGCGTGTGACGCGTAAAAGCGGTCTTGACTTACGGCATGCAATATTCCCTCCCTGTTTTCCACCACCGCATTGTGAGCGAGGGCGGCGTAGTGCTTGAGCAGGTTGCGGAATTCGGACTGACTGCCACTAATAGCGAGAGTGGCAGCACCGGTAATGATACGGGCATCAAGAGGGCTACTTAACCTGACGATTTTCTGGGCGAGCATGGATTGAGCAAGGTCGGTGATCTTGACATCTTTACAAATACCAGCAATTTCGCAGATTGCCTGAACAACATTGCCCTGAACGGCAGAGGATTCTTCCTCGCCTGAAAGTTGAAGGGAGATGGCGCTTCCGGCCGATTGCCTGTTCCCGTATACTTCGAGAGTGTCGTTTCTGGTTTCACCGCCGTTTCCATTGGTCGTGGACCGCTCACCACTAGGGCTAAGAACATTGCCAAGGGTGTATAAAGTCGTAATGACGGCATCCTTTGAGAGCATTTGCAAAACAAAAGCGAGGCACTTGGAAGCGACCGTCACTGTCTGGCTTCTGTATCCGCCCTGGACAATAAAGCGTGGGAGGAGGCGGCTGACGTTGGCGGCATAGCTGGGAATGATCCTGCACAGCAGTGCCATTGACTTGAGCACTATGGAAGCCAGATCCTCGTCTACCATGCTTGAGGGATCGCCAAGGGTGTCTTCGAGCCAGGGCATGAGTACATCGCCGTCGGCCACCTCTTCGTTCAGGGTAGCCACATTGAGGTAACTGATTAGTGCGGCGCCCTTGACAGCAAAGGCGAGCCTCTGCTTGGCGGGCGAAAGGCTGTCGAAATCGGCACTCGATTCCAGATCAGTCATCTGGTCCATGGCAACCGTGGCGTATATTTCCACGGAACGGGAGTCGGCATCTCCAGTTTTATCAGACAGCGGTTGACGCAGGCCATCACCCGACATGAGGATGTCCAGTACGTGGGTAGACCGTAGCGCCTCGGGCTCTGCAACCAAGAGAGAGGTGGCAGCAACAAGCAATCTCATAAAGCTGCGTTGCAACAGCAAGGCCCCCAAGGGCCGGCCAACCTCGTCGTAATGGCGTAGCGACCGCCTCCAATCTTTGGCATAACGGTCGTGGGAATGAGAGTTGCGAATGACGGAAAAGGCAGTCTCTACCGCCACCAAAAAGGGCGGGGACAACAGATCACGCAACCGCTCGATCAGGCTCAAGCGGCCCCCAGACTTCCAAAAATCTGCCTGCGCGCAAGCAGCGTCCAAAAAGCCCAACAGGGCAACGGTAATGGTAGCGGTCCGGATGGCATCGTCAAGTGCAGCCGGGCCCTCGTAGTTGGCCTCGGTAAGAGCCTGGGTGACATGGGCACAGGCGTTGAGGAAGGCCCAGATACTGTCAGACACCTCTTGCTGGACGTGAGTTGCGTGTCTTATACCAAGAGCCAACAAAGCAGCGGTGACGTGATGGCTGAGGGATTCGGTTGGAGACGGCTCAACTTCTCGGAAAAAGGGCGAGAGGGCAAAGGCTTGAGAGTGCGAATCCATAAGATAGGGGACCAAATGTCTAGTAAGCTTCTGTGCGCTCTGGGCAGTCGTCAAGCTAGGAGCGGCCTTGCAGAGAGCGAGAAGAACTTCGTATTCCTTGATAGTCTAGACGCCAAGTCAGCGAGCTGTTCCACATGGCTGGGCGGGAGGCAGATGGGCGTTGCCGTTTTACCATGGGGATGCGCCCAACATCGGGCCCAGCAGAGGGCATCGAAGACGGAGATGATGGTCCACGGCCATTGACGGCGCCTGAGGTAGAGTGGCCTTGCTTGACCGAGACTCGGCATAGCTTGTCAAGGTCAGACTGGTCGAAGGACGCGGCCGGGTTGGAGGCTGACAAGGCGGCGATTTGTTGCAGAGCTTTGGTCCGGATATTGCGGGCCATGGCGAGCGGCTGAGAGTCGGGACCGGAAAACAAAGAAAGAGAGCAGTAATCGCTCAGACCGAGACGGGCAGGGTGGTCGGAGTCGTTCAAAATCTGAATAGGGGAAGAGGAGGATTAATGCGATTACAGTATTAGATTTCCGTGCCTCCGGAAAAAGCACCGGCAGATGGACAGATAGCCACTAGAGGGGCCTAACAGCAATGTGCAAGTGAAAAATCTGCGAGATAAAATACACTTTAGCAGAGTTTCAACAAGTCGGAGGGTAAGGGTGGATGTTATTGTAGAGGTGATGGCGGTGATGGTGATGGTGATATAGGAGACATCAAGGTGCATTTGTGAGGCACCTCTACACTCGAGAGATACCGTCATGGAGAGCCTACCTTGAAACTTTCCCCAATCTTCTTCCATGCAGCCAGAAATTGGAAGACGAATAAAACGAACCCTTATTCTGGTCGGGTCTGAAAAGGGTCACTGGACTGGCGACGGGGAAGATGGGATGTTTGAGCCAAGCAGAAATACATGGACCAGTCGTCGTTAAAGGGGACGATGGCGCGTTGACGTTGAGTCGCAACTGCCCAAACAGTACGCGGCCATGCAATTCCAGGAGTCCAGCTGGGATATTACACTCCAAATTAGGGGTACGGTACGTACCGTATTGTCAGAGAACCGTGATGGCAGCGGTCACGACGGAGTCCAGGCTTCAGGGCTGTCAGGGGCAGCCAAAGCCCCACTAAATTTACAAGATGCGGCTTCCCTTCCAAGCTGGCACCGCACAAAAGCGCCCCACTTTCCACCCTTCGTCCCGTTGTTGCCCCAGGCTCCCAGCAGGGAAAGAGCGGCCCTACGAGCAAAGCTGTATTTACGATACCGTACAGGTTCTGTTTGCTTGAACATTTCCAAAATCCGAAGCTGATTCTAGAGAATCTACCACGAGGTCTCTATCCAAACTACCAGTAAGTGAGCCGCAACCTGGAAATTTTGATTTGCATCCGACTCTCCTTCCGAGCAATTGGATTGTAGTACAATGTGTGAGATTCAGAAGAAAATCATCGAACATGTCCCACCATCAAATGCAAACATGACTTACGTTGACTCGCTAGAGATCCTCATATCACATAGGTATTGTAAAAACATACCGGCACCTGCTACTACTGTGTAGGTAGTTAGCCTGAGCTGCCCTGGTCCATACCCGTCAGTGCTGTCCCCGCCATTGCCATCAGGCGGCTGCACGTTGACGCGTGCAAGCTATCAGAGGTCGGGGCTAGGCGAGAGCTTCAGGTGCTTGCCAGTTGCAACCTCCATCATCAAACATCAACATCACCACCCACCTCATCATCGTCCACGATTCCCCGACAGACACCCTATCTTTCGCAAAATACGCCAAGCTCCTCCGACTTCATTTCTTCCGAAATCCATCAACTAATAGCATCCCACAACTGCAACCACAAAAGGATTCCATCATGGCTGCCATGTTCAGTCAGAACCCCCTCATGAACGGGCCCAACTATTCCTTCAACGATGCGCCCAGGGCAGCAGCTCCCGAGGGAGCGCGGCAGCATCGTTTTGACCCGTAAGTGTGCATCGCTGCTTGATGTTGCGTCATGGCCCTTATAGTGTGAGTCGCGCAGCTGACGGGCAGCTTTACAGATACACGGACAACGGCGGTTCGACGCTTGCCATCGCTGGCGCCGATTTCACGATCATGGCCGGCGACACCCGTTTGACATCAGGCTACAGCATCAACTCGCGATACCACCCCAAGCTTTTCAAGATCGGAGGCACCACAGCAGATCAGAAGGACGCCACCATCGTCTTGTCCGTTGTTGGCTTTGCAGCGGACGGGGAGCCTTGAAAGAACGTCTCGAACGCAATTTGCAAGATGTACCGCTACCGCCACGGCAAGCCTATGAGCGTCAAGGCATGCGCCCAGCGCCTCTCGACCATTCTGTACCAGAAACGTTTCTTCCCCTACTACGTCTATGCCATTCTCGGTGGTCTGGATGAGGAGGGCAAGGGCGCTGTCTATTCCTACGATCCCGTTGGAAGTTACGAGAGGGAACAGTGCCGTGCTGGCGGCGCGGCGGCCAGCTTGATCATGCCGTTCTTGGACAACCAGGTCAACTTCAAGAACCAGTATGAGCCTGGCAGCGGTGTTGGCCATGCTCTCCAGGAGCGCGAGCGCAAGCCTCTAACACGGTCCGAGGGCGAGATTCTGGTTAAGGATGCTTTTGACGGAGCTGTTGAGCGCCACATTGAGGTTGGTGACGGCTTGCAGATGATGGTCATCACCAGGGACGGAATCGAGGAGGTTCTGCTCCCATTGAAGAAGGACTAAACGGTTCAGACCGGTCGCCAGGCTGGTGAATCTGCTTTTGGGGGCACCTCCGCATCCGGCACTTTACTGGGAATATATCCGTGGGCCTTGGCACCGCATGGCAGCTTGCCGGCCTCGTTCGAGCTACAAAGCAGAGGAGCTGAAAGCTGGAACGGATGAGGTTTTCCGGGCAGGTTGCTTGGCCGGAGCGAGCGAAGGGAATCGAATGGCGTAGACCAATCGGCATGGACGGATAATAGGGCTCACGGTCCAAATCCAGGTAGAAGGAAGCCCGATCCGCGCACATTATCTTTGCTCCTGCATGAACGGTTTATCAGCGGCCAGGTGGATGTTTCTGGCGTTGCGGGAGTAGATAAGTATTGCATTGGTCCCCAGGTAGTTATGAGATTATGATATTCGTTTCTGTCCCTCTTAAGGGCTCTGCTAGGTGTTTTGATGGTGTCACCTATCTTGTGTGCCTCCGCTAGACAACCGGCCTACAACTTATATGGGCTGTACGGGTCAGATTTCCCAGCTGCTTTCCCAAAACAAACTCCACGTTCAAAGTTTATTGAGCTTTGTTGATGCCGTGACCATCCGATGTCTGAGTGTCTTACCCCTCACGGCCGGTCTGTGACTTGGTCAAAGACCAAACTCGAGAGTACCGTATAACTCACCAAATCTCATTTCAGGTCAGGCATATTCATGCGGATTCGGGCCTGTGGTGTTAAACATCGACCAGGTGCGTTTGGTCCCCCTTCCAGCGCCGCGCGGCCTTCGAATGTGTGCAAGTTAACGTGGATGACAGTGTCCTTCAGTTTTTACTAAGTGGACAGATGCCGTAGAAATTTGGGGCGTTCGTTTTCAACTTCCAAGGATATCAGGCGTAATCTGTGCACTTGAGGCACCTTTGGCAATGCATATGCTCGAATTCTCTGCTAAACCCAAAACCCCCAAGGTGCTTAACACGTAGGTATATTCTGTCGGTGAGGCCTTGGGGGTTGGAAACGAACGCCCCGAGTTTCTACGATACAATTGCTGGTGTATGCTAGCTGACTGGGCCTCTTCCTGGCAGATTTCTGCCACACCGTATAAACTGGAGAAAGTCGTAAACCCTTGCCAGCCAGATACACCTGAAAGGGTGTCAGATACTGCCCGCTGTAGGTACTCTGCAATGTCCGCTCTCTGCCGTGCGAATGCCACGCAAAAGGATAGGGAGAGCAATGATTCCAAGCGGAGGTCTGTCTGTACACACAGCCTTTCAGCTGGGTGCTAAGTTGCAGCGGACCCTCAAGATCCCCCTGGAGGGTGAGAAGACCAGAAATCAGTCTTGCATAGAGATTACGGAGCACATGAAATGTATGATACAGATCCCCCAAATAACCCCAAATCACATCCGGCAAGGGTTTACGGATTTCGCGAGTCTACACGGTATGAGTTGTGTGAGCTTATGTGGAACCGATGCTACCGGTAGGTAAAGGCATAGCTGGTTGTGAGCCAAAACATCCCATGATACCTAAGTCGTTCGAATTGGTCATCATCGTGAACCGGAGCCTTGGGTGATTTGGTTGATGAAGGTGCCCATGCCGCAACATATCTGAACACGAGCGATATCCAGTCGCAGCCGGCTTAGCATCTGCGTCGAATAATGCTCCTTTCCCGACTTGAATGATCCCTCTCGATCTTCTTTTTGGTGTTTGCCTTCCATACTAGGTACACTAAATTCTGTTGGCTTGTTTCGACACCGAACATGCAAGCGATGACGAAGGAAGAAGGCAAGGCCCTCATTGCACGAGAACATAACCGTTGGTCAAGCTGGCATGCAACACTACACAAAGATTGATTCAAGGGGCGACCGATGACTGTAGAAATCCGCTGCTGACTCGACGATTTTTGTCACTCCACAGAAAGCAACGGTGTGTTGATTATCATGATGTGATGGCGGTTACAAAGGCGAAGGACGTCGGGCGAGGTCCTTACATATGATCGCTAGTGCATAGCCACAGCTGATCTGCTGAAAGTGGTAAAACGTGGCTGGGCAGCTCCAAAATCGACTCTCAGCTGAGCAGTTCGGTTACTTGGGGGTTGTGGTGCAGCTTAGGACTTGTTCTTAACCCCCTTTTTATAAAGAGGGGAAATTTTTCAATGGGACAGCGAAATATTATGGAACATCTGGAATATTAGGATGTGCTATAGAAAATTGACAGTAAGAAGATACAACGCCTGTTTAATACTACTACTAATTTTTTTTTAAAAAAATTGAAGAAAATTTAAAAAGAATAGAGAGGCTCTAATAGAGTGATTTCGAAAGTTGCATCAATTTTAGCTAAATCGTTAGTGAGATATTTTAGAGTTGTTTATTTCTTAGTCATTAAAGCGCAACTTCGTTTGGCAGGTTTGTGATACTGTGACAAGGGCAGTGTTCTGGGCTTGGAACAGTAGTTCAATTTCGCTGATAAACTACTTTGGTCTCGAAGGCCTTATTGGTTCTTTCAACCTCTAGAGGAAGGTTGGGCTTCAAGGCCTTCTTATGCCAAAGGGAAACGGTACCTATCTAGTATGTACGGGTCTTTTGTCACCTAAGGCTCCAAGGTATCTAGCAATCTGCATACATGTAGGTCTTTCTCGTATGACACCAGGAGTGTGGTGTATGCCCGTTTAACAGTGTGGCATATGCTCGTTTGACAGTGTGGCATATGCTCGTTTGACAGTGTGGCATATGTCCGTGTGACACTTGGACTGTGGGCAATGTCCGTGTGACAGATACTAAAATAATAATCTTTAATATTAATGTAAAAGTCCAGAAGCTATCATTCGCCTAATTAGGGAAAAGTTTTTTTTAAAACTTTAAGAGAAATATCTTTATAACTTTTTCTTACTTTGCAATTTTTAATATAATTTTTGAAAAATAATAAACGTAGTTACAGATATTAGACCTTATCTATTAACATCTTTCTATATATAGTATACGCTAACATTTCAGATTATCCTATAATATTCCGCTGTCCTATTGAAGATTTCCTCCTCTTTTATAAAAAGAGGGCTGAGAAAAGTTCCAGGCCGCACCACAACCCCTAAGTTGGTTCGTTGGTCGTCCAGACTCCACGCGCATCGCGAGTGGCTTGAACTAGTGTACAGTAAGTACATGTCGCGCGGTGCAGTACCTACGCAGGTAGTACACTAGTGTACACTACGCCGCGGTGGCAAAGACGCCTCGGCCAACGTGTTATTTTGGGTCTTTCGACGTCATCCACACCGTTCTTCTGAGGCCCAATGAGCAATGACAAAGTACATGGCCCTCCGATCAATATGAGAGACGATACATACAGTAGTGTATGTGGCTTCTCCTCAATTGCCATTGACTGATTCCGAGACGAGGGAAGAGAAGAGTTTTGAGGAACTATCGAAATGCTTAAGAGGGTCCTCTGCGCAACCGTCCGGAAGAAAGCGTCCAGAAATTCTTCATTCGCTTAGAGACACATTGTTCCTTTGATACATATCTACACTATGGTCCTTATCTTATCAGCTTGATGCAACAGGGGTCCTCCTTCTACTATGCTCCTAAGCTGTGTACTGTACCGGCAACGTGGGACCGCTACGCCTGTAGAGAGAGTATGACACAATCCAAGCTCCTGCCTTGGATCCCTCCTGTACACTACACTAAATGCAGCCGGACCTTGGCCCGCTGTGGCTTTGCCCCAACCGTCATTCTACATAGCTCGGAGCATGCTGCGATTCTCACGATGGAGTTTGGGAGACACAAAGGTCGCGACAGGCGTATCATAGCTGTCATGGGTACCCGCGAGCCTCGATGACGTCGGAGCCAGCCTTTTATGGTAACACTCCAACCCCTTGACAGGTCATCACCAGGTACGTAACCATCCACTCTGGGCAAAAAGAGACCTCAAGCTTGTGAAAGGGCAAGTAGGATGTTAGGGGTAGAGGGAGTTGTGCACTTGCCCTGTTACTCGATGCACTTGCCTAGTATGCGAAGACTTACAAATCATCTACCTTAGTCCCAAACATGATCCAGTTTACCACCACAACCTTCCAAGGTGACTAACTGCATATAATAATGCACCACGCCAACCGAGCTCATGGAGAAATCCAAAATGCATAGCCAAAGCAAGCATGTGGTCGTGCTCTTTTGTTGATGGGCAAGCTGCGGCTCTGTCTGACCATGGTTACAAGTACGTGTGCCTAGCTCGCCGGCTGCCGGGTATTCCTCTCTGTGAGCATGAATCCTGCCATGAACCCTGTGGTCTAGACCAAGACTGCGCAACATGGAGATTGCCTGATTAGGAAACCTCACATCCAACCGACTTACACTGGCAGAACGGGGAACTGACGATCCCAAGATTCCGGACTTCGCGAAACGACACCACACTGGAGCTATCCCGCCATGTCGGAATATCAAGGCCGGCAGGAGCACACCAAGAGTCGAGTGGCAAAAACGGTTTGCTCCGTTGGTTTATCGAACGCCAGGGCTCAAAGGACCCCCGCCTGTCGATGCATGAGAAAGCATGTGTACACTACACTAGTGTAGCATGCCACATTCCCGGTCCAGAGATTCCCATAGAGCTTAAAATCGGATTCTCAAGCCCCATTGCCCCCAGCCCCGGCACTCTCTCATTAGCAGAAAGTTTTTCTTGCGTATCGGCAGGACGTTGTCAAGGATGTTTTACGCCCCAACCCATCTTGCCCTTGCCCACATGGCCTGTCCATCTCGCTCATCGTGTTCATCTTGCCCTCTTTCCCTACACGTTCCCACTCATCAAGCTCCATATCTTCGAGCCCGGTGTGTCGACTGAGGGTCTCGTGTGTCCGTGTCTGGCCCAGATCGTCATCCGGATTTCCAACATCTCCGTTGGACAAAGGGGGCGCCTGCCATGTAACCCGTCTCACTCACTGGTTACCAGTCCACCTTTGCGAACACCCCCGAGCCGCCACGGTACCCTTCAATGCCTCCTCAGCCTCCCGTAAACACCCCATACCCACTATCCTGAACATGATTTTCATCCCCACCGCATCTGGCATGCTCTTCCACCGTCCTGTCGCTGCATATGCGCCTTGCCCCTGGCCTGTCCGGCATACACAAGCCCTACACTACATGCCGAACAGTTGCGACATCCGAGACTTTGGCCACTTTCTGCTTCATATTGTGCAGATCTCATGTCCCCTCCTCTCTCCCAGTTGGGTCGTGTACCTAAGCTCAGCTAAGGATGCCAGTCGGTCGGCATCGCCTGCCTCTCCAAGCTTGCTTATTGGTCCTTTCGGAGCTGGCCTAGCTCCGAGAAGGAGATAAACCGCCGAGGCACCGTCTTTTGTAGGCCAATATGAGCACCAGCCACAAGGGGAGGAGTAGGGACTCTGAGAATAAACCCCCATATGTAATCTTGTGCCTCACGCCACTCTTTTCTTCGGCACTTCGCCCGTTCATCGTCACGTTATAACATGTACTTGGCCCCAGGAGCCTTGTCAAATTGTGGTACCTCGGGCAGAGAACCTGGAAAAGCGTCGTGAACCTTTCAAGTGAATGCCCTGTGTTGGCTATCATCCCTTTTGCCTCGTCGATATACCCTGGCCTTCACTCCTCCCCCGCCTCATCCTCGCCGGTAAACCTTTGCTAGTTATAGCCTAGCCCGCTACACGGACAACCGAAAAGTCCATCTGCCTCGGAGGCTTGCTGGCCTATACCTTCCGTCGTTCCAAATTACCGGCTTAGGCAGGAAGAACCCAGAGGAACAGGTACAGGCATTCAAGGACAAGCTTGACAGATGGGGAAGGCAAGACGAGCAGGCTGCTAACGACACCCCCTGCTTCCGACGATCCGCTCCGAGCAAAGGTTTTGAAGGGCAAGGGCTCTGGAGCCCTCGCAACCCACCCCCACGGCCCGTCGTGTGTCTTAAATTCCTTCCCCTACCTCCCTCGATACAACGTCTTGGACGTTGCTGAACCTAGCAGCTCGGCATCTTTCCTGATTGGACTTGCCAAATCTCTCCCATCGTGGCGTATTTCGGGGAACTCTAAGCCTCCCGTGCACGGCAACGTCGTTTCGCACTTGGCTATTGCCAGAGTAACGACCGAGCTACCCAAGTCGGTCCTGGCACTTCTTCTAGGGACCCCTCCAAGCCACGACACGCTTCGGAGCCACTTGCCCTGAGCGTTGTCCTGAGAGCTAGTTGACTCGCGTCCGTTCGAGAAGCTCTTACGTATCATCGAACACGACAAGTGGTTTTTTGCTTCGTGTTCTAGCTTATCGAGCTGACCAGGAGCTCGGTGTTTTGAGAAATCAACAAGAACCCAGTTACACCCGATTCGTTGGGTACCCATAACCATCCTTATGGGCGATATACGAGATCAACCCACTCCCTCAGAGTCCCCAGAGCCCGCAGAGCCCACGGATTCTACAACAGCTACAGCCGGCTCGCCGCCAGCCATCACCAGCCAATATTTAGGCCAAACAGTTTCCGAGAGCGCAACCATGTATCGTCCGGTGGGTGTTCAACAGCAGCAGCAGCAGCAACAACAACATCATCAGCAGTATCAACAGCAGCAGCAGCATTACAGCAACGGGCCTCATGGCTTCTCTGCACAGTTGGATACACCGTCACAACATGGACTCAGTCGGGCAGGGCTGTTCAATATGGGAACCATGGCCAGTGCTCTTCCTCATGTGTCGTATCGACCGCCACCGTACAGCCCGGGCCAACAACCGAGTTACAACTCCCTCGCTGGCCCATCTTCAAATATGGCCAACCAGATGGGGATGGCACCCTACGGCTCCCAAGGAAACACATCCGGGTGGATTGGAGCCCAACAGCAGTGGTATTTGTCGCAGAATATAGGACAGTATTTTGGCCACCCAATTTCGCCGTCTCCGCAGGTCAGCCTGCCTCAAAGACCCGAGTATGGTTACCATTCCAGTGGTGTTATCGTTGGACAGCAACCACACCCGAATGCGCATTACTATTACCCGCCGGGGGCTTCTTTTGCCGGACAGGCGTCGCAGGCTCATGGGCAGACGATACCGGGACATTATGCGACACGAGGTACCCAGCTGGATGCCACACGCTCGGTGCAGCCGCAGTATGGAGCGCACGTGGCTCCCGACGCTGGCTCCGTTGAGCCAAGCAATGGTAAGTTGATGATGTTTGTTCATGTATTTTTTGAGAGGTCAATTCTGATTGTGCAATAGGGTCCGTGGAAGGCCGCCATAATCTGGTACGTGGGCCACCGAGGAAGCCTAGGCAAAGCGGTAAGTTCCCCCCATGGCCATTTCTTGAAGCATTTGGCTCCGGAGTGGTCGAAATCTGTAAGGATGCGGCGGCTAACGTGGTCCATGCTATCTCTCAGGACACGCGATTTGGATAGGAAATCTCCCTCCACAAACCAACTTGATGGAACTCGTCCATCACGTCGTCAAGGAAGCGCCGGGCCTCGAATCCCTCTTTCTCATTTCGAAAAGTAACTGTGCCTTTGCCAACTTTCAAGACGAAGAAACATGCGCTGGCGCGCAACAGAAACTCCATGACTCCAAGTTTCAGTCGGTACGACTCGTGAGCCGGCTGAGGAAGAGTATGGTGGAGGGAGCCTCGGGTGTTACTGCACCCACCGGTCCGGCAGCATCAACACCTCCCGGATGCTCGACACAGAATGTCGGTGGCTCTCGGGAAGGCGCGGGTGGTACAGCGCTGAACGGCAGCACGGAGCCAGCGGCGGCGGCGCCGACCAAAGGCTCAGATGCATCGGAGCAGAAGAGTAACGGCGGACCAGCGCCCAACGGCATGCAAGGACTGAAGGACCGGTACTTTGTCCTCAAAAGTCTGACAGTGGAGGACCTCGAGCTGAGCGTGCGGACCAAGGTGTGGGCCACACAATCGCACAACGAGGAGGTCCTGAACAATGCTTTCAAGGTAAGAAGCTGCATTCAATGTTCAGCGTGAAGATCCCAAACATAAGCTATTGGATTATGACAGCTTGAACGCAGCTGACACGACGGACAGAACGCAGATAATATTTATCTGATCTTCTCGGCCAACAAATCCGGAGAATACTTTGGTTATGCGCGCATGACCTCACCCATTGACGACGATCCGGCGGCTGCTATCGAGTTTGCGCCCAAGGCTCAGCCATCAAGCGAGGTTGACTTGCCCAAGGCAATTCCTACCGAGGCGACTGAGTTCGCGCCCAAGGGACGTATTATTGATGACTCGGCACGCGGTACCATTTTCTGGGAAGTGGTGAGGGAGGAGGAAGATGCGGGCCAGACCAGTCAGGAACAGGACGGTACTGCCACGGACGCCGGATTGCAGAAAGCCTTAGATGAAGACGCGGCGAGTGTCAATGGTACGGAGGCTGTCGGCGGGGAGTCCAAGGCCTGGGGAAAGCCGTTCAGTCTTGAATGGCTGTCGACAACGAGGCTGCCATTTTATCGGACCAGGGGTTTGCGGAATCCATGGAACTCAAACCGTGAGGTCAAGATTGCGCGGGACGGAACCGAGTTGCAACCGGGCGTGGGCAAGAAGCTCATCAGTCTGTTCAACCGGAGCCATATTCCGGCCCCGAGCCTGATACCTGCTGTACCCCGCCTCCATCCTTTCAACCCCATGGTGCCAACGACACTTCCTGGCGTATCCCCACTTCCAATGTCCACGCCGGCCCCATGATGGCTGGTTACCCTCCGCCGTTACGTTCCCCCGTCTACCAACCTTAAGACACGCCGAGTACGGTCCCACATCGCCGTCGGCCATGGGACGGGTGAGGCCGGCTCGTGTGTACCTGGGATATCGTTTGCTGCACCAAGTACACTAGACTTAGGTAGCTTTAACACATTGTTATTACTTGGTCCTGTTTTGCTAGGTATAGTGCAGCGATTGTATTGGTGGAGGTTGTCATCCGCATGCTTACAAAGGAGGAAACGCTCGAAAGCTCAGGGCAAATATTGGAAGAGACATCGATAATACGGCCAGTTTATCGTCGGTCCTCACTCCTCAGTTTCCGGGATTGAGGTGGTCTGCACCCATGCAGATAACCCATTTCGAAGACGGCAGACTGACGCCAGATTGGCAGAAAAAGGGGGAAGAACATTTGCTCGGAAGCCACACTACCTTTGTGGCCGATTCAACCTGAATCTAGTTGCCCAGGGCCAACGCCAGCGCAGCATTTGGTAGCAGAACTTTTAGTGTGAGGATGGTCTCATGTTGTTGTGTATGGAATGGGTAAGAGAGAGCAAGGGACCTGGTCATGGTCGTGGTGGATACTCGGTATGCAATTAACCAACTGGTTGGAATTGCATTGGTAGCCGAGCAGCCCACGGCTGGCAACAACGCATGTACCTAGCCTTTGTAGCGATTGTTTCGTGGTGTAATGTTCCAAGTGTTACGAAAGCAATGTTACCTTGGCGTTGAAATTCCGAGACCGAAGATTGCGGCTATCTCTGGCCCGTGCACAGGCACGCAGCTGGTTGACCAAAGCAGGTTGCGGTGCAGTGTGGAACTTTCTAGGTTGCTCCCGAAGGCGTGCGATTGGCCTCGCACCATCTAGTACACACTTGGGAATAGCTTCATTTGTCAAGCAGATTGTTTACCTGCATTGCACCTTCGTTGACGATCGTCATCCCATGGAAGCGCAGCTTCTCCAACAGAGAACTTCAGTGAATTCCAGTGAATCACAGTGGGTTTTCTAGAATGACCTGGTATGTGTTCCAAATGCTCCTCCCACCTTCTTCGTGATGCCCGAAGCTAGGAGAATGAGAGCATCACAATGTAAGATGGGAAGCAAACAACGCTCTCGCTCAAGTATAAATCTGGGCGGTGTTTCTCTCTTTTTGTGTCGTCGTTCTCTGTTCAGCAGATCAAGATCATCAAGCAAGCTAAACAATCATTCTTAACGCTCTCAACACTCTCAACTCTCAACACTCTCAACTCTCAACGCCCATCTACTACACTCAGCATCAGCTCAGTGCAGCATCATCAATCTCAAAACACAACAGCACACGCAAAACCACTTCTACTCTTTCTACACACCCACATCTAAAATGGCGCTCTTCCCTCGTGGCTTCTACGGCTCCTACGGTTCTGACCCCAGCTTCACCAACCTCTTCCGCCTCCTCGACGACTTTGACACCTACACTCGCGAGGTTCAAGGCAGCACCCCGGAGGCTGGCAGCCGTCGTCACACCCAGCCCGCCCGCACCTTCAGCCCCAAGTTCGATGTCCGCGAGACCGAGCAGACATACGAGCTTCACGGCGAGCTCCCCGGCATTGATCGGGAGAACGTTCAGATCGAGTTCACCGACCCTCAGACCATTGTGATCCGGGGCCGTGTTGAGCGTAACTACACGGCCGGCACCCCTCCCGCACAGGTCGCCGGTCACCTCACCGAGAAGGGCGAGCCGCAGAGCCCTGCTGCTGTCCACCACGCCACCGTTGAAGACGACGTCGACGAGGACAACCGCTCGGTGGCTACCACTGCTACCGGTGCCAACAACCAGCAAGTCGCCCAGCGCCCAAGCGCAACCCAGACCGAGGAGAAGCCCAAGGCGCCTGCCGAAAAGTACTGGGTCTCTGAGCGCTCCGTTGGCGAGTTCTCGCGCACCTTCAGCTTCCCCGCTCGTGTCGACCAAAACGCAGTCAGTGCCTCTCTTAACAACGGCATCCTCAGCGTCACGGTTCCCAAGGCCAAGAAGCACGAGACCATTCGCATCGCTATCAACTAAGCGCGACGGGCGCCCGGGCTTTCTCTACTGCAAACAAAGTTCGGAAGAATTCCCTGGAGGAGAGTCAGTCAGTCAGTGTCTTGCGTGGCATGGTGACGGAGCATTCACTTCGGTATTGCATTGGTATGGCGCCCTGGTTTGGTTGGTTTGGAGCCCAGATATGAAGAAACATTGATGAGCATCGTCGGCATTGTTTTCTGCTTTGTTAGCGTTGCAGCTAGGAACCACTGGAGATTACGATTCAAGCGAGTTGGAGGATCATGAGGCTCATCGGTAGTTACTCGGGCAGGCAGTGTAATAATAGCCTTAATAACAAAAGGTACTTCCCTAGCATGGTTTCCCCAGCGTACATTTGGTGATGTGATCGTGAAACGTGACCTTAACGTTGAGCAGTCGTCGTGATGCGTTTGAGACTGGCCGGTTCATTTTGTTGACCTAAGCAGGGAGGAGGCACAACTAAGAATCTGGACCAGCTGAAATTCGAGCACGTGTCTCCCCAGTAACATACATCAATGAAGGCTTGCTCACATCCCCCCACAGCTTCATCCTCTCACACATCCGCGGTCTCGAGTGACGAATGTCTCAATCCGCAGAGATATACATGACTACACGAGAGTTAGACGATACTCTGCCATCGGAATGGGGGAGAGGGGTAACGCACCGTTATTGCCGCGAACAAACGCATCACCGTAGCTCCGCCTCTTCACGCCGTTGATATACTCCTCTGTCTTCTCCAGGGCAATGTTCATGTAGCCATCAACAGATTGCAGCTCACCTGTACCACCCAATGCCCCCCACCCCAGGCGTCCTGTTAGTCAAGTTCCGCATTATGTCTGCCGAGAGAAGAAGGATTTGGGATGGGAGAGAAGACGGTGGTTTTCAGAGCAAGTGCCGACCGAAGGGAGGAGGATGAAAGCTCTCACTGACCCTTGTAGACGACGCCAGAGTTCAGCTTGACAGTGACGGGGTTGCCGATGATTTCGCTCAAAAAGCCCGAGGGGTCTTTGCCCTCACCCTGAGACGTGGCTCCGTTCTCCATGGTTATCGATCGATTGATGTGACGGAACGAGCTCGGCTGGAAGAGGTGTCAGTAGTTGAATCGGGAAATATCAAAGTGGCGGGCCAGGTGGGGGATGATTGACTTTACTTGAGTGAGTGACTGAGCAGTAGTGAGAAGGACTGTATTCTATTGACGCGGGGAGAATGAGAATTGTGAGTGGGATTTCAAGAAATGAATGGTTCTTGTTGTTGAGTGACTTGGGGTACAAACCTAGAGGCTGGCAGGTATTCTTTTTGGCGATGAGTGTTTGTCCCTGCACGTTATGGGGGTATGGTCGGTATTGATGTTAAGCAGCGTGAGGCCCGTGGGTGGCCCGCAGCGCCCGCAGCGGAGGAGGTATTGGGTACCTACTGCCGCCAGTGTGACAGCGACGACAATCCACAGAACCTTCACATGGTACATGCATGGCTTAGGAGAATACACTACCTAGTGATGGAAACATACAATCACCACCACTTCACGACCGTTCTTTGTGGTTATTATCACACCATCTCACTTCCTGGCAATTGTTTCGCAATCAGCTTTTGGAGATCTGATGTCAGGGGCGAACGAGTACAAGGCTTTGACAGTTCTTGTGTCTGGGAGTCGAAAATGGCTGCAAGAGCGATGAGGATGATGAAGGCGAATGGTTGTCGGCCAGGTTTCAACATGGGCAAACGGGCACCGCTCAGCCTCTATTTTGAATCTTTGCCCTACTGGCTATAGTTGCACCCGTCACCGACCAAGGCCAATCAACTCATTCCATCTATACTTTGAACACCTCTAGTCTCATCTCTTTGGATGAAGGCGAGCCTGGTAGGTCTGCGCTTCGCACGTATCTTGAACTTCGAATATCCCGCTGATCGGTTTACTATTTAATAGGCTGTCTCCAGACCATCGTTTACTTGCTCAATCAAGCAACGATTTCAAGCTATCCTCAGTATTTACCACCTAACAGCTCAAGTCGTCACGAGATGGGTGGTTCAATATTTACTTCCGGGGACGACCCCCTACACACTCCACGGATGCCGCCCTATGTCTATCACAAAGTCAAAGCCGCATGTCACGCTGCCCTACGCACCATGTTCCTGTGCGTCACCTCACCCATTGAGGGTCCCGAGAAGAAGGACTACGGAGATCTCGACATCCTCGTGGCCATGGAGACCCGCCTTGTCTTTCCAACATCTCCCCAACGTGATGTTCCCAGAGGAGTGGAGGAGCTGGCGGCTGATATCAAGGCCGCCTTGAACGCGGAGCGCTCCATTATCAACCCATATACGAATTCGATGCACCTTGCCATTCCCTGGCCCAAACACGACTTCCAGCCCGAGGAGGAGAGTGACGACACGCAGTGCTATATCCAGGTTGATATCAGCATCTGTAAGAACATGGACCAGATGTTTTGGGTATGTTTCATTTCAGGACCTCGTTCTTGATGACGAGGATCAAAGCACCTAAAACACAAAGAAACGCGCTGACAATGCCCTATTGGCGGCAGGCACTTTTCAAGAGCGCACATGGCGATGCCTGGACTCTCCTAGGGTCCATTATTCGGCCCTTTGGTCTCACAGCTGACGATGAAGGCCTCTGTCTGCGGATTCCTGAGATCGAGAAGCTGGACAAAAAGAAGGCTAGGGTGCTCCTGACCACGGACCCCGTTGAGGTACTGCACTTTCTCGGGATGCAGGTGGAAGGGTACTGGTCCGAGCCGTTTCCAACGGTTGACGTCATGTTCAGCTACATCGCTACCTGTCGGCTTTTTACCGTCCACGAATCTTCACCTGATCCTCCTCCGGACAACAACAGCACAACGAAAAGGAACATGAAGACCCGCCCTATATTCCGGAAATGGGTCGAAGACTTCCTTCCTCGCCTTGGAGCTGATGGTCGGTTCGAGCTGCAGGGCCAGAAGGATGTGTCCGACACCAGTGACCTCCGAGTGCGCGTTCGAGATGAAGCCTTCCGGGCTTTCAGCGTTGAGCCTATTTATTGGGCGCAACTCAAGGACTGGCGGGTGAAGAAGGAGCCCGAGGCAGTGAAGAACCTGATAAAGTCGGCAATTCCAAATGACCTCGACCCCCAGTTTAGAGGCAACCTGTTGAGTGCTATCAAGAAGATTGTGATGCAAGACAGCAAAGAATACGGCCTGATACCCAAGATGTCACTCCGGGACGACGAAGGCTTCTACGACAAGGATATGACGCGGGCCTTTGTGGAGGAGAACTGGGAGGAAATAGGTAAACTGGCTTTCAAGAAATACAGCGATGCGTATTACGCAGGACTGCAATCGAAGAAGCTCAAGAATGCGCGTGGGACCGCAATCCAATCGCAATGATACCCGCGCGTTGCTGTCATTGAGAGGGTTTCGAGAAAAGGACAGTGTCGGGTGCCCGCTGCTCCAGCGGTTCATCCCATCTTTTTACGAGTTATCTTCAGATCGTGCGTGGCCCCTATGTCACGATTGCAGACTTGATCCAGCACAGCGCGCAGTAGACATTTTGGTAGATTGTTATCGTTAGCAGTTTCATTGACTGCTCCCTTCCGTGCAGCATCGTACAGTGAAGAGTTGCTAGATATCCAGTGCATTGTATCCCTAGGGACTGTCTTCGACAGCTCCAGGTTGTCTGCATGATTGAGAGCTATGAAGATGAACACAGCAAGAACTTTCAACGCGTTCGAATAGCAAACCAAGCAAAAGCGCCACATTACTCATCTCATCATAACTCGTTTAATCCTGGCCAACACCTTCCGCGTGTATCAGAGGCCCCGTTAACCATTCTTTTGTGTAGGCGTAAAATAACCCGCGTGTCACAGGGCCAAAGGACAAAGTCTGGCCTCGCTTGAGGCATGGCAACTTGCACCATTTGTCTTGACCCCTCTCTAACCGCTGTCTTATCATCGCACAATCCGGACGCCCAGACGATGTGTTGCATAACTTCAGGTCTCGAAAACCTACCTCTAGTGGCGTGGCATCATAACTCGTTCAACAAAGTATAACTCGAGGGGATGTCAAAGCCTTGATCGGCCAACAAGCTTATTCCACACGACCTCGTACGGTTGACAACCTGATAGCAGCTTATTCAGGTAACTTGAAAAACACTCCTAGGTTGAATTTACCAACCTTCCTCTGATCTCTTCTGTCAATACTTCCAACTGATATCACAGCATCTTAGCTAACGCGTCTGGCCGTGCCACGCTTTCGCTCTCTGGAGGGTCTGACCAGCCCCTTCTTCATGAGCCTTCTGCGATGCTGTCGTTTTTGCTCCCAAGTGTAGTTAGAAGTATCAACCTTGGTGATGTCGACGCCATTGGCAGCATCCCACATGTCGGCAATCCAGTCCGTAACGTCCAGCGTAGCCTGGTTGGCAAAAACTTTTCCCTTTCCTCCTGTAACCCATTGGTCAAGCTTAACCGGAATCGAGTATCCCCATACCGGATCATCAGGGGACCAGTTACATGGCTTGCCAGGATAGCAGTATTGCGGTCGGCAGTACATGGAGCACATGGTCGACTCTCCAATGTACCACAACGTTACAAGGAACAGGATGAGCCCAAGCAAGGTGAGTTTGAACCTGGGCCGTCGCTGATACAACTGGGGAAGCGGCAAGTGAACATAAGTCACTTTAGTGTGCCCAACAGAGGAATCATCCTGGCAGGCAGAGCACACTGAGACGGCATCTCCATTGTGGTGACCAGGATCCTTTGCGTCAGCATTGAAAACGGATGTTTCTAGACGCTCAATCCCCTGCTTCGCGGTTCGGATTCCGAGGAGGCCTGTCTTGAGCGACTCACTCATTCTTTTGTAGAGCTCGATTTCATTTTCTCCGTCTATGGTTTCGTGCTTGGAACCAGCCTTGGAACCAGCCTTGGGAACGACATTGGCCAAATGAGCCGGACCATGGACGTTGTCCTTCGATTCGAGTAGATCAGCTAGGTCATCCAGAGTGGAATCCTCAATCTGGTTGATCCGATGGATTTCAAACAGATCGTCCCTCACAGTTGGTGGATTGGCCGAGTTGGCCAAGGGAAGAGGCAACTGTGAAAGCGATTTGGAGCGTCGATGCGGTCGAACTGATGATGCACGATCACGCGTTCTGTCACCCCTAGCAGACAGAGTGTGCTTTATCTTCCTAGGCGACATGCTTCTTTTCCGGCCCCGGGCTCGCGAAGAGGCTCTGCTATGCGTGACACCCTCAGGACCTTGGGTGCTTTCACCGCCAGAATGATGGTCCGTGGGTCTGACCGACGTGAAACGTGATGGTTCCTCCATATCTTCAGTCTTGATCGCGGTCGTTGGTCGGGTAGAGACGCGCGCGGGTGGGAGAGACTGTCTCGAAGCTTCGCCTCTGTTCGGCTTGGGCGTTTCGCCAGGTGCTTCATATTCCTCCTCGTCATCCAAGTCCGGAGATACTGCACGCTGGGAGCCCCTTTCGGATTGATTTTCCATCGGCGCGAACAAGCTCATTTCGCCGTAAATGCGTTCCGTGGGATCGGACTCCGACTGTGCTAGGTTTGACCTAGAGCCTAACGCTGAATCAACAGACGGGTCTCGGCGCAATCCAGTGAAACCGACACTCGGCCTGACGTCGCCTTTAGCGCTGTCGAGCCTCTTGTTCCTGAATGCACCTTTCAATGCTCGACCTTGATTGCCAGACTGGTGCTCGACCTTATGCAGGGCCTCTCCTGTTGGTGAATCGTCCCCAGTTGCCTGGTGCTGACGATCCAGTTCTTCCGAGTTCCGCTCGCCATGTGAATCACGACGAGCAGTAGCAGCCCTTTCCTGATTATCTTTATCACGAGCAGATTCCACCACGTAGTTATCAACATCATTTTGATCCTGAGGAGCAACAGCGGGTACCCCCATGTCACATGCCGGTATGGGGGCTTCCTCTGGCGTCACTCGCACGTCTCCATCTCGTGGCTGGCTCCTGCCGCTTGACATGCTTCTCCGTACCGGGAGCTTGCTAAAAGCATCTGACATGCGCAGTTTGTCGCCAGATGCGCTGGTCCGGGCAGATTCTTTACTCGATTTTCGATCAATCTCTGAGGAGGGGGGCCGGGACGGGTGCTCTATATCGTACTCGATAATGCCATCCAGTTTCGAAACGATTGGGGTCTTTCGAAGCAGGCTTCTACTCTCTCGTGCGCGCAACTCCTCGAGTTTAGTGTTCGTACGGCTCGACTCGCGACCCCTGCTCAGTTGGTTTGACCGTGTTCCTGATCCTGACTCCTCGTCGGGAAACATGGAAGCTGCCTCCATCTCCAAAAGTCGAATCTCGTCGAGTTTAGGATTGCTGCGCGTCAGGTTTGGGAAAGGGCTGTCAAAAGTCTGGAAATCATCGGCGGCGACATCCTCTCCCGCTTTCCTCTCAGAGCTCTTGGTCCAGTGGGCACCGTGATTAGGCGGCACCGTGGCCGGTCTTGTGACGGGCTCAGCCGGCGTGACGGTAGATGTCTGAAGAAGGGCAGAGTCACCAATCTGTTCCCAGCTGGGAGATTCGTGTGTCGAAATACCGCTGCTTGCATCGTGTCGGACGCCCGAGAGGCGGCGGGAAAGCCAGTTGCCGCGAGAGTCAAGGCTGCTCCGACTCGTCTTACGAGCCAGACCTTTACCCACCTCGGCGATACTCCTAAACTTCGACCGTGATAGGATACTGTTGGCGCGTGAGGCTGGCCTTTCTGGCTCTGCCTGTGCCAGGGCGTGCTGACGTAGCTTTTCGTCTATGTCACTATCAGAGACATCGCTCTGGACCGAAAGCGCACCTGGGCTACTGGCCGACATGAAGGGTTCGTCACGCCCTGAGCCGGACACCTGGCGACTGAAAGTTGTGGGGGGTTTCTTGTGCAATTTGTTCCTGGTGGAAGAGCTGCTGCGAGTACGCCACGTCCGAGGGGCCGGACTTGGAGTACTCTGGGCAGCCTCCTCAGCTTCGACTTGTTTGTAGGCGTCAGTGAGAGTGTATGGGGTGCGTGTTTGCGAGGGCCGTTGCTGCTGGGTTGGTCGTGGAATTCTTGTAATGGCGGACGAGGCGTGCTTCGAGTCGGACGACCCAGAGCTAGCAGGACGGGATTCGGCAGCGTCGCCTCGACTGGAGGCTCCATGGTCATCTTTGGATTTGGATCTTGAGAGGGACCATAAGCTCGACCGTCGTGAGGGGGTGTTGCCAGCACGAGAAGACGCGAAGCGGCCGTTCGCCCGGCTGGCCAGAACATCGACCCCATCCGAAGCGCTGCGTTCCATCTTGCAAGTGCGACGTCGAGTATCTCGTCAGTATGCCCCCAGCCCGCGGGGTATAAAAAGAACCGTGGTTATAAGCAACTGGCCGCGAATCCGATCGAGGGTGCGACCTGGCGCGACTGGCGCAAAGATTGGAGGGGTTCGACGTGAGATCGGTAAGGTCAAGTGAACGGCAGCGGGCAAGTAGAATATAGTCTGTGGCGGATTGATGGCCGCTCGTCCAAGTTGAATGGTCGCTTGAAGTCACTAAAAGGTTGGAGAAAGAGCCATCTCAACGGCGTGCGAGAGTTGGGGGGTTGTTTCAGTTGGGGTGATGGCTGACGGACACGAACAAATAAATGGCTGTAGGTTGTGCTGTACTCCCGTTGCGCATGCTGGGGTGAGCAGCACTCAGCTGGACGGGTTGAAGTGCTGGAGATTTCACTGATTGCTGCTTAAATCCACGATTCCAGGAAGAAAGAAAGGGCGCTGCTGAGAATCCAAGACGTTATCCGGTCCGGCCGTGTACTATTGATAGTCTGCGAATCGTGCTGCCGACGCGTTTGAATGGACGATGAGAGATGCGCGGATGCAATTGCTTCTTGAAAGCTAGCTGGCTAGGTACCTTGTTGCACGCGAGTGACGGATGCGCGCAAGTGGGGTGGGGCATCATCGCAACTGTGCGCTAAAAGGTACCTGCCGCCTGTAGTGTAGTTGTATAATGAAAGTAGGGGCCGAAAGGAAGGCACTTGAAAGTTACGTAAATACATTGAGTATGTTTCTCGGGTTGTAAACGCCAGGCGCCAGGCATTGCTCTCCATTGGGCTGGAATTAAAACATTCGCATTGGCAGCGTACCTTGCAAAAGTCAAAAGTCGTCTTTCTACCGTCGCCAATCCGCGATATGAAGCTAAATACCAAAAGAGTCGAGCGCCCTCTGCGAATGGGAGGCGGGCGCACTAGCGCCAGGTGTTTTGAGGTAGGTACAACTGTGTGTACAACCAATACGCGTAACGTAAGGTAGCTAGGAGAGATAGTGTACGGTGATGTGCCTACCTAGCACAGCACGTGCGAGAGCCAGGGTCGGGTGCCAATGTACCGTACGTACATGTAAGGCAGTGACTTAACGTGGTTAGAGGTAAATGTTTCCAACACCCCGCCGTCCCGTCAAGAGGCCCTCCAATCGGTCGCGGCCCCCGGTCTTCAACCCAACTTGGTTTGCATACACCGAATGCAATCGGCATTTCATGAGGCTGTCGGCAGCATCTCATCAGGCTCAATCATTGATAACAACAAGGGTCACTGAGACACCACTCAAGCAACGCTGCGTGAGCTGAATGGTAGACGCGGTTTATGGACTGACAGCCTGGCGGTTTCACAGCCGGGTTATCTGGGTTCACATGACTGGAGGTATCCCTACAGTGTACACTACCAAGCGAGTAATCGTCGAGTCAATTGAGCCTACCCACCTCTTTTAACCTGCCCATAACATAGCACACATCTACCACACCACGGCATTTCCCATACTAGTGGACAAAGTGTCGATCTAGACACCAGACTACCTCTTCCACACGTGGTACCTTGTTGTTAGCGCCCGCAGATGACGAACATCCCCCAGCCGATCCGGCCTCTTGGGCCATGGTATGTTGCCAACCCATCCCAGCCCATCCCCTTCGCCCTCCTCTGCCATCTACCTATCCCGCTTCCCCTCATCCCGTCGTCGTTGGGTGGTGGCCGGCGCCACTCCGCGTAAGGGTGTGGAAAGGTCGTCCATCATCGGATGGCCTCTCATCCCTCTGCTTCCGTCTGTATGCACTGCGCCGTCTCAACCACCTCCGTCCGCTCCCTGCATGGGCCAGTCCTGTTTCTGTTTCCCGAATCCCAGCCCCCCTTCTCAATCTCCAAAGCCGGCTCGCCCCCTCCGCTCCGCTCTTGACAAACTCACCCCAAGGCTAATCGTTACGGTTATATCCCGCCGCTGTTCTCAGTGAGATTTACTCGTCCTCAAGGCATGCGTTGGGCTTCTATCGGTGCCTAGCCAATACCTGTCGCTATGCCGTTCCTTGGTCTGCGCTCCAAGGCAAGAGTGTCCCCGACGTGTTGGAGGTTGCAGTTGCAAACCTGGTCCTCCGGCTGCCCCGGCTGAGAGTGGTGATCACTGGCGATGAAACATCTCGCCCTTACTTTGCGTCGGTGCCCTCTTTGGATCTTTCCTACCACCTGGAGTGTGTGGAACTGCCTGCCGAACTTGATTTTCAGGCTCGCGACTCACACCTACTCCATGTGCTAGAAGCCCAACACAACCAGTTGTGGCCAGACGTCGGAACCCGACCGCCTTGGAGGGTGCTTGTCGTCTATGACCCTCGGCCGTCCCAGAGTGAGGACAGGCTGATGCTCGACATTGTGCTTGCCATCCACCATTCTCTTGCTGATGGAAGGAGCACAGCCATTTTCCAGGCCAGCCTCTTAGACGAATTGAACAAGCCATCAGCCCGTCTCTCGTGCCTAGAGGACCACGTTCTACGGATGCCCGGCAAGCCTCATCATGGACACATTCTGCCACCCCAGGAGGAGCTCGTCAAATTCACCACGTCTTGGAGATTTATTGCTGGCACGTTGTGGAATGAATTCGCGTCGGGCTGGCTTCGCAAACCAGCGACCGACCTTCCATGGACGGGTGCACCGGTCAGATCTGACCCTTACCAAACCAGACTCCGTCTGGTTACCATCCCTGCAAAAGCTGTGTCACAGCTTCTTGCCAATTGCAGGGCGAACGGCACCACACTCACCCCTTTACTTCATGTGCTAATTCTCACATCTCTTGCTCGACGCTTACCAGCAGAGACAGCCACGTCGTTCCAAAGCTGCACTCCTATAGACCTGCGTCCCTTTGTCCAGTCCGGATCTCATGTGACTGATGCCGCCGATTTCTTTGGCGTACTGGTTACTTCGGCGTCGCACAGTTTCGACTCTTCTCGTGTTTCGGGGTTGCGGGAGCAAGCAAGCGGAGAGATTATTTGGAGCCTTGCTCGAACCTTGCGTCAAGAACTCAAAGAACGGGTCGAGACAATTCCTCAAGACGACATGGTAAGTATGCTTAGTTGGATTACCGACTGGCGCACTTTCTGGCTTAACAAGGCGAACAAGCCGCGGGAGTCGACATACGAGGTGTCCAACATCGGATCGCTGCGAGGCAGTCCGGAGGACACTGCCAATATAATGGCAGAAACTCGTTCAAGATGGCAGATATTACGGTCTGTAATGTCGCAGTGCGCCATAGTCGCGGGGCCGGCTCTCTGTGCTAGCGTTTCGGGCGTTATAGGGGGCCCCATAAGCATTGCCCTGAGCTGGCAGGACGGTATCATTGAGTCAGGACTTGTCGAAGGTGTAGCTCATGATTTGCAGTTATGGATGGACCAAGGCGGCCCAGTGCATGGCCAAAATTTGCCGTAACATGCGCTGCCGCGGGGACTTGGTGTTACTGTCACGGAAGCGAGATCTTCTTGCTGATCAGCATTTGGGATTTGGAGGCTTAAGTGGACAAGCAACCACCTTTCTGTACCATAATTCGTAAGCCTCTTGTAGAGCATCCGGCTACGAAAAAGAGTAAGTACATGAGCTTGACATGATCATGGAATGAGCTTGACATAACGATGTTACTTTGCTCTTTAGCAAGTATATCTAACCATAGAGAGGAAGAGTTTATGCACCCTAACCCTCATTCATTTTCCCTGTTCAGACGACTCGTTCAATCTAACTCCGGCTTGTTTGTTACGGTAGTCGGTACTCCGAGCGTATGTACTGGACAAGATCTATTCCAAACTGTCCCAGACCTCACAAGTTGTACGGACTGGAAAGCATCAACAATATTCCTTATAGCATATTGAAGCTCCGAAATTACGTATCCAAGTAGATATAGACCTTGATTACAGAACGAAACGAGTCAGCTAGATATAACAACTCCTGGGACATTGGACCGACGGCTTGAGCTAACAAACAAACCAGTATTGGACTGTATAGTACCCAGTAAGTGCAAGGGGCATGTACAAGTATGTAGTATACTTATTGGCGGGGTTTTGGCAGTCTTGGCGCCCTGAGTTCCGGGTCCCGCTCCAGGGGCTGCCCATCGAGGTTCCATCCGGTATGGAGCTCTGCCGCGCAACCGTGGGGCTTCCGTCCCCGAAATTTTTGGGTAACCTTGAAGACCGCACGCAGTCCCGCGCCAGCTCGCGCCTAGCCAGGCCGCAATCCGGACGGCAGACCACGACCCATCGCCGGACCAACCCAATCCGCTTGTCCGATCTTCACGCGGCTGCTCCGACGACGCCGGTCGACCACCACCACACCTCAAAATGACGGCATCCGCGCTGACCAAGTGGCCAACGTGCCTGGCATGCTTGCGCCGTCTTGCGCAACCTTTTGGTGCCACTACTGCCGCCAGTCACGGCGAGCCCCGCGCTCGTGCTGTACCGGTGGCCCGGCCCATTGTCCACATCCAGACCCGTGCCGCGTCAAACCGGTTGCGCCTCCAAGACCAGGGCGTGGTTGTCCGCCTGCTTGAAGACATTCCCAAGTTCGGTCGCAAACGTAAGGACGAAATTCCCTTGCTGGGACTGTGCAAGCTAACTGGGACCTCGTCATTGCCAACCAGATGCTATCTTCCGCACCGAGCGCGGCCGTATGCGCAACGAGTGGTTCCCAAGAACAAGGCAGAGTACATGACGCCTGCTCGCTTCCAAGAGCTCGGCCTCACACGCGATGCCATCGGCGAAGTTGACCGCACCTTTGTCATTATGAGCGCCCTCGAAGCCGCTACCAGAAAGGCGCCCGAGGAGCTAAGGATGGGAGAGGAACCGGTCCCGGAAATCCAGACCCCCCAGGTCAAGGTCCAGGACGTTACTGTAATGACCCTCCCAGCTCTTCATATCCTCCTGCTTTTCTGTGCTTCAATGACTAACGACCGGTGCTAACCCGTGTGACTGCCAAACAGCCCGAAACTGCTCACGCCCTGCTATCCGAGCTCATCCCTGACACCCTTACCTTCCACCGCGAACCCGTGCCGATTCCAGTTCCTCAGCCGAAGCTCGCCGAGGAACCCAAGATTTCGCCTCTAATTGCCAGGAGTGCGCCGACCCCCACGCCCCAGACCCCTTCCTCAACAAAGGCTGAGGGGGCCATCTTTGGCTCCGTCTCGAGCACCGATATTCTCAACCAGATCAAGGCTCTGATTTCTGGCCATGAGGATGCCAGCCGCATTGTTCTTAGACCATCAAGCGTCAAGATAGTGGGCTTGGCTGATGGCAATGATCGCATTACACATCTTGGCCGGTGGGACATTGAGATCGCGGTTGCTACGGGTCTGACTGTTCGCAAATCGGTCCAGATCGTGCCCAGCGCCCAGTGAGGACCGAACGTCTTCCACCTTTTCATGTAGCCCGCACATATCACGCAGCCAAGAGGTTGTGTGCTGCGGATGAGACAACAACGCCTTCATGCTCAAGCCAGCATCTTAGCTACCCATGTATGTGTCTTGTACACTAACAGACTTGGCCCGTCCTTCCATCCTTTGTTTACTCCCCCCAACCATAATGTGAAGATGGATGCACTGTATTATTTGTACGATATCATACTGAAGCATACCAAAACGTTAATGATGCGAACTCACATGCTGTGCGGTCGAGAACACCCGGCAGTCATTGTCCCATGGCCACGCCAAAGTGTATGCTGGGCCAGAATGATGAATATATCCCAAAAAAAAAAAACCATGTTCTTAATGTTTCCCGCGGCCCGCACTCGACACAGCACCGCTATCCATGCCACGCACTCGTGAGCAGTCATGGTAACAGAAAGCCCGCGCTCTCCTTAGCTCTGATCGGCTTTCGATCTTACTACCTGTCATCCTATCTCGCAGTTGACGTCTATACTCCATAGTAATTCCCAGATTCTACTCTTCCTAAAATGGTTGCTAACGATGGCATTCTGTTCTTGTGTCCCGCCCTGACCGCAGCGGGCATACAACCCGTCAGTATACATTTTGAGATGCATTCAAGGCCCTATCAGAGAGTCTATCTCGTTGCGAACCTCAGAATGAGACTGCGATGGCTGTAGAGTAGCCTGATCGCTTCCTGCGGCCATGGTCCCGCTACCACCCTCCACTGCAATAGCGTTTGTTTGGTGAGGGGCGTCCTGCAGAGCTACATCTAGAAGCTTGTCTGTGGGTGACATATGTTTTTGAGCTGCAGTCGCTGGTGCTGAGTTGTTGTTATTGTTGTCTGCCGGAACTGCACGGAGTGAGTTCGTCTCACTTGCGAGGGCGCTTTCACGACCTCTCGACGATGCGCCAATCGCAAACGGCAGGGTCTTCCTGGAACCCGTGCTGGACCGACGACTCTCGAGACTTTTGGACAGTGTCTTGCTGACGCCTTCGATCCCTGACGGCGTGCCTCCACGTCCAGTGAGCCCTCGGGCTCTGGAATCGGCCATTGCTTCGACATTGTTTGCCGCAACAGTGCTCTTAGCCAAACCTGGAGTGGACGGGGCCCCGGACTTGTCTTCAACAGCCTCGATCAAGTACCATCGTAGGCCATCGGAAAGGTCGAACGGGTTGTCATTCTCGTCTTCGTCAAGAGAATCCGTTTCTCCCCTGGCACCATCTTTCCTCGTCTCCCCTACCTGATCATGTTGTAGGGATTTGGATAAATCGACCACCCGCTCTTGGATGCGCATAATTCGGGCAACAAGCCATTCACGATTGCGCAAACGATGCGAGTCCTGCTCGCGTAAAAAGTAGTGTGGAAACCCGACGTTAAAGGCAGCCCAAGCGCCCGTCGACTGATTCCGCGTAGGCAGGAACAAAGCAAGGTCGCCCTCCTTGAAGTGTTTGAAGGCAATCTTGTCGTGAGCCTCTTTCTGGAAGCTGTGTGCTTTCTCGCGGTACGCTCGCGCTTCTCGTTGCAACTTTCGTGCCATATGCTCGACGTCTTTGACACGCCGGTACACCGCATCCGCAAAGACATCCATGTCAAACGACCCGAACGAGCCCATAAAGGCCCTGTACTTTCCAGTTCAGCCTCCGGAGTTGCACCACTCATCCATTGCAACAACTCCATATCCGCATTGTCAGTAACGGGCCGGGCCTTGAGCGTACTGGAACGACGGAGTGATGAGCTGGGATCTGAATCATTCGGGTTCGCAGCTGTTGCCGATGAGCGCTCGGATCGGGGTATTTTCTGAACGTGCATGGTACCATCCTCCTCACGGGAAATAGAAAACCCAAGCCGCTCAAGCAAACGAGTAAGGCGGTCGTTCTGTGACCAAAGACGTTGTGTTAGATCCTTGGCACATTCTGTGCGTGCATCAACCCGCGTGGAGAGTTCCGATAGCTGTGTCTGGGTTTGATGAAGCTTTGCGTTGAAATGCATAACCTCTTCCTCCAGACTCTGCACTTGGGATTTCCGAGCAGCTAGTTCCTCTGTCGTAGTAGCGAGCTTCTGTTCCTCGTCTTCTAACTTTTTCCGCATGAACTCGGACCCAGTTTCTCCATCGGCAATTTTGACCCGAAGTTCGCATAACTGTTCACGTCCATGGGCCAGTTCGCCCTCCATGGCAACCACCTTCGCCCTTTCTTCCGACAGTTTTTCGCGTAGGCGCAATGAGGCTGATTCCTCCGACACAAGTCTATCCTTGGTGGATTCCATCTCCGAACGAAGCGTCTTAATGTCATTTTGCAACGTGTCCACGTTGAGCTTCATGAGGGACATGTCCCCCTCCACGCCTTGCTTTGTGTTTAGAATATCGGCAGCTTTTCTGGTGATTCCTTCCAAGAGGTCAGGCAATTCCGCAGGAACGGCATCAGCAGGTGCCAAACGTTCCCATATATCCTCAAGGGTCAGTTTGTGCTTTTGCCTATCCTCAGTCACAGCTTCCAGTCGCTTGTTGAGCACTCTGATCTCCTCATTAGCAGCTCGAAGTTCGACATCCTGCGCCGCGATACGCTCCCGTTGTAGCTTTGCTTCATTTCGGAGAAACTCCACCTGGCCATCCGCTTTGAGAGACTCATCCCGTCTTTCGCTGGTAAGCCGCTCCACCTCGAGCTCAAGAAAGTGAACCTTTTCATTGTATGATGCCTTTTCGTTTCCCGTGACTCGCCAAAGTGTTCGATTTCGTCTTCTGTGTACTCAAGCCTGGCCTTTAGCTGCTTGACCTCTTCTTCGAGCGACTTTCGCTCCTCTGTGAACTCCCGTTTGAGTGCTTCCATATTCTGTAAGAGATCCTTCTTGGTGGAGTTCGCTTCGTCCATTTGGCCTTTTAGGTCGTTATGCAGTGTCGTTAATGCGTTGATCTCTCCCTGTAGGGTTGCGCACCGCTCCCTCTCGGTGCTCAGTTCGGTCTCCAGTTGCTGTGTTCGTTGAATAAGCGTGTCGAGTCCATCTGATGAGCCCCCGCGGTCGTCAATAATACGGGGTGATCTAAGGGAGCTAGATGAGTCGTTGTGGTCTAGAACTTGCTGGCTAACGTTTTGAAAAAGGCTGCCAATGTTCGGCCTGGAAGCCTGCGTCTGCCGATGAAGTAGATCTTCTAGCCGGCGTACTCGGCTTTCCGCAGTCTTTAGTTTACTTTCAAGCCTTGTTTTGTCTGCCTGTAAGGAGCGGAGCAAATCATCGTCACCTCGTACGAGCAGTCCGCTTCGTCCGAGAGCAGTCTCGTGGACGCTGCCATTCTTGAAGGCTTTCATCCGCCTTGACTGTTGCCTTGTTGGGTTGTCCATGTCTGCAATGAGCTTTTCGATTTCGACTACAAGATCGGAATCGGTCTTTTGGTTTCGCAAGGCGTTGAAGAAGTCGTCCAGATCATTTCTCGTCATCAGGGGCCATTCGCCATCGTCTCCTCGAAGGTTGATTTCGAGACTTGGAACCTTGCTGTCAGCCGTCGGAGTTTCAGGACCAAAAATGGCCCCGATTGACTTATGCCAGCGTCGCCTCCTTTTTGCCTCTTCTTCATGGAAGACAGCCATCTCATTGGCAAGTGTAGTTGAATCTTGTTTGACTTTGTCCAGCCACTCCCGCCGCTTGACGGCCTCTGCCACATACGAGGCGTACAAATACGGTATCTGTTGGATGAGCCGCAAATGATCGAAGGTAGCGAGTTCATCCTCCTGGCCAGCCCCGGAGATTTGGGATTTTACGCTGTGGCTATCGCTTGTGATCTCGGTGATACTACGCATAAACTCGATGGATTCGGCGGCGAGGCTATTTCGCGCCTTGGTGGCGTAGCACAACATATCACCCATTTCTAGTGCGCGCTTTTGAATGCTAGGCAGTAGCCGCTCGGTGTGGTGTGCCGCTGTTTTAGAAACTTGAAGAAGCGTGTCCCGGGTGGAGCTTGTGTACTCTAAGGTTACATGGTAGTCGTTGTCGATCTTGTTGGCCAATGCCTCAATATCCTGAAGAAGGTGTGACGATTCGCCGTCATGGGATAGGGCCGAGCGAGACATGGTCGCCTCAAATTTGTGCATTAAAGTGTCAGCGTCTTGGAACAAACGAGTTGCCGCCTTGTCCAGGTTGTTGATGCGATCCTTGAACCTGCGCAATGCAGAGGGGGCGAGTTTCCCCGCTTGCCGCGCGTGTTCCAGATCAACAAGGTCTTCAAGTGTGCTTTGTCGCTGTGTTGGACGCCCTTTCCAACCACCATGGTCACGGCACGTCATGAACTGGGCCATGCTGGACGAGATGGCGATGCCCCGGGCCAGCGAAAGATATCGATCCAAGCCTGTCGCCAACGCACTGTAATCGGCCTGTGCTGATGTCGACCACTCCTTCAGTTCGACGTATTTGTTCTCGAGCCCTTTTACGGCGTTCTCCAGATTTGCTACAGCGGCATCCAGGCATCGTAGCATGACGTCCATCTCTGCATAGCGCTCCCGCGTGGCGGCGTCCATCCTCGCGCAGTCCTCCACAACATCAAAAGCCCAGGCACGGCGTGTCTCGAAGAGCTTCTGCCATGCTGGGATGGACCGCGTGTCCTGGATAGAGTTAGGCGGGCTCGGCGCATTGTATCGGGGAACAGGCAGTTCGGATATGGGAGGCGGCGAGGCCCCGGGTTGGGGTGGTTGTGTCAGTCGGCTGTCATATATGTAGATTTCGGTCTGTTGGCCCAGCGTTAGATGCGACGAAGCACAGCGCTCTGACAAGATCATCTAGATGTGCGAACCTCTGGCTGTGTCGGCTGCCATCTGAGAGACTTTCCCTGGGGTGTCAGGGCGATCAAGCACTCGACAGGAATGGAGCTCTGGCTAGCCACTGATTCTTTGAGGCCATCTAATCTTAAGGGACGTCAGCAAGTGGTAAACCGAACGCTACGCATTCATGACAAGTGTCACGTGAGAAAACGATGGACTGTGGGCACTGGGGGAGAGGCGTACGATGTGATGGTGCGACTGTTAATTTCAAGGCGCTGGCCCGTATGGGCGATCAACACATGGGTAACCATTTTCACGCATGCTTCTCAAGTCGCCTCCACGGTGAAAGAGGGAAGCAGCCCGAGTCGGCGGACCGGATGGGGGTTGATGAGTGTGAGAGCAACGCCGAGTGGTCACGTAGAATCGAGACAGGTTGGCGCCGGATGGAGTGTTCTCCGGTCTGTGATGGCGGCCGTCGGTCGGCGGGTGGAGGGTTGGACGTCGACGTGGGGAAGTGGGTGGAAGTGGCAGACTGGCAATGGATAGAACCAAGCAGTCCCCGGACCCTGTGGAGGCCAGATCCGCAACGGCCCTAGCACCCCGCTGAGCCCGCCCAGCACCGACACCAGGGGCAGCTCCCGTCCAGGACGCTCGGTAGCTGCCTGACTTCCTGCTGCCAAATCTGCAACGGATGCACTTACCTTTACCTTTATTCTGTATGTGGATTCTCCGTACATCCCGTCTAAGGTATCTCACGTTGTCCACTGCCTTACGTGGTACCTACCTCTCCTATCGATTATAAGTTCCCTACTTCCTAGATGCATGTCAACGTCAAGACTCTTCTCTCTTGTAGGTGATGCCCCCTCTGCTGTCTTTCAACCTACACTAGTGTACAAGCAGTTCACATAAGCATGGAGTCGGGTGCTTTATGATGATGCCACAGGGGGCGCTCAGAGCTTGAACACCCAGCCAGCTTGGTGTTCATCATTGTTTTCTTTTTTTTCTTCCTTTTTTTCTTTTCTTTTTTTGACCAGGATGCCAGTACAACTACCAGTCGTGGTTGCTTTGATTTCATGAGTTGAGCCGCCCTTCGCTTCAGACGCGTCCCACGGCGTCCTACGCGCATATCCATATCTAGCAGTCCACTTCTTGGCTTACGCCTGTAGTGAAGTTCTGCCTCATCCACCCGGACCTGTTCTGGAACGAACTGTAGGTTGTAGCAATCTGGACCGGCCTTTCTTTCACCTTCAACTTTGCAAACTGCGCCGTACATTCTACCATCACCATTCAGCTGTATCTCCCCAGTCGCCTCCAAACAGCCGCGACGCTCCACTAATCGGCCATGTCGGCTCTTATCCACGATCCAACCCCTCGCCTTTCAGAGACGGAGGAAGAAGCGCTGGCACTCTATGACAGACTGCAGGAGCTACGTATTCAGATAGGCCTTCTGCAGGCCCAGCAAGATCACTCCAACCCACAAAGTCAGCAACTCGATGTATCCCCCCCTCGCCGCGGTCTTGTGATGTTTCTGACCATGGGCGCTTCATAGGTCCTACATCCTTTACAGGACATACACAAGTGGATGAGGCTCGCACTGAACTACTCGAAGCAAAGGCGGCTCTTGAATTGCGGGACTACGTTTTTGAAAGCGCCATTGTGGTCCGGCCTATACTGAGAGCTGTTCATGGCGGAACTCAGGCTTCCCCGGTAGAACGGTCCGTTTTCCACTGTGGTTAGGATCTGCCATCGCTTTTTCGGATATCGCTGACGTCTGTTTTTTTAAAGTGACATCTTGCCATTGATCCAGCGGCGGGATCAAGTATCTGCCAAAGCGGCTCAGCAAGCTTCAGCCTCGTATGAAGTCAGAGATCGTATGTTGACACTCGAACTTAACCGTATCCGAGTTGGTCAGCAGAACGCGACATTGGCTTCAGAACTCTTGAGATTGTCAAAAACTACCGGCGCTACTGACGTAGAAGTGGATGGAGCCACCAAGCTTCAAAGACAGCTGGATAAAACGAAGGGTGAGCTACAGGTGAGCCGCCAGAGATGGAAGACGATCAAGGGAGCTACGAGCGTGCTGGTAGCCGGCAGCGGCGTCGATTGGGTCCGAGATGAACGACTTCGAGGTTTGGTCCTCGACCCGCCGGATCTGCCCACCAAAGGCCAGTAATGAAAACAAAAAGTAACATGCCCGGTACCTCCAAAGAGCCACGACCCAGTATGGCAGTCGAGAGGTTGTGGACAATCGGTCATGTTGGCACGATTCTTAATGCCCCATTTGAACAGCCAAGGACAACCCATGATTACAAAGTAGCCATGTCCGAGTCACAAAGTCATGCATACTATTGCCGTTTGCTGTGAAACGACTCTGGCTTGGTGAAGCTGGCTGGATGGGCGTGGAAAGCATCCAGGCGCTTCGCTTCAACTGGCACAAGGTTGTTGGTATGCTCGAGTCCCGCTTTCGACGACAATCGATACCGGGCTTCCGCTCTTCTTCTGGGAAAAGCTGGGTTTGCATTCAGCGGCTGATCATTGTTTGCGGAAAACAAAGTTGTCCTGTTGAAAGAATAAGCGCCAAGCAACAGGCCTTACTAGTACAGTCGAACCCTCTGATTCTGCATGTAATCCAGACCAGAAAATTCTATGCAATAAGTGACATATATGCAGTTCCTGGACCCGGATATTGGCGTGAGCAGGGGGTTCCAGACAACCAATTCTATGCACTAACTGGCGTATATGCAATATCTGGAGTATGCAATTTCAGGGGGTTCGACTGTAGTACTTGCTGTGTGCTATCTGTCCCGATTTGGTCGGCGCCATGCTCTTCCGCCCACTCTTCAAGCATGTTGTGATGCCATAATGTTCCTGAACAAAGGGGGCAGCATCCCGAAATTTGTATCGTATCTTCTTGGTCGGAAAAATAAGCAGCGAGGAGAAGAAAAAAAAAGGGGGGAGCAACCGCACCATGCAGTAATGGGTGACGAACCTTCACCAAGCGAGACTGTGGCCGTTTCTGGGGTGAAACATGTCATGGCTTGATGGCCGTGTCTCCGCATTACAAGGCCGCCCGGATTCAGGTATTGTATGGTAGGTACTCCGTTCCATATACCGTCAGTAGTCTGGGTGGTACGGATTGTTCTGTGGTACCAATAGACAAGCGTAGCAACTCGAAGAAGGGCAGGCTCTGCTCGCCGCTCTCCATGTCTCGCAGCGACGCAGAACCGAAGGACGCGAGTGGACGAGAAACGGTGCGCCAACAACAGCTGAACTGTGGCTGACATTGATGGCGTGGGACTGTTAGCAAATGTCCGCACACCTCAACCGCCTCCTCGCTGCAAGATCAAGAGGCCCGTCTTACCTTAGGAGACGACTGCTAAAATACCTTTGGTAAACCAACACTGGCCCATGATGTTCAATCCTACCTGGGCAGCTTACATAGACTCGCTACCCTTGAACGTATCCATGACATCCTATGTGAACAGGCCAGGGAGAGATGATGAAAACGGCGCGAGATTTCAGGCCCTCCTGCTAGACTTGAGAGCCACGGGAAGCTTGGTCAAGCTGCGGGTCTCATACAGGTCATTCCAAAGCCCTTGCAGAGGAGCTTCGCGAGTCGAAACGAGGGCCACCTGGCGGGCAGTGAGGCCGTACTGGGTATGCTCATCAGTACTGGGTATTTCACATACCCAATGGCTATTTGATCGAGGCAGGGCGGTTCATGGAATGAGGGAGTGCAGCCCATCCCCGAGTGACCAGGCGTCCTCTTGGTGTGTCCATGACGCCCAATAACAAGCAGGCGTTGGCGACAGGGCAGCCTGCCATTCCCAAGAAAGAAGATACGGACGAGAGCGACGATGGCGGGTTGAGTGTGAGAGAAAAGTGACGGGTGTGTGCCAGCCTGCCCAGTGTTCACCTCGTCCAAAAAGGCCAGCACCTCATGGGACGGAAGCCGGGCGCTCGACCATGTCCAAGAAAAGCACGGCAGCCGACTGCGCCGAATGCATCCAGACCAGACCAGACGATGATGGGGTTGGGACGTATGGGATGGCAATCAAGCAAGTGACTGACGGGAGTGCCGCGACGGGAGCCTGTCAGAAGATGGGAGTGACAGTACCTGCTCTAGGTGACGCGGGTAGCCTCCATAGAACCGGAAGCTGGATTGGGCTGACCCTGGCTGGAGCTGGAGAGTTGGAATTGGAATTTGGAACTGGAACTGGAACTGGAACTGGGAGCTGGAAATTGGAATTGGCACGGGCTGCACTGGAAGCTGGCAGGCCGAAACCTCAAGCGCTCCGCAGTCCACACCCCGGAAGCACGAGCCAGGTAAAGTACACAGTACGGCCACACGGCGCAGGTGGGCAACATGGGGCATGTACTGGTACTTGCGTTGGCGCTTGACCAGCGCCAGGCCGCCAGCCATTGACTGCAGTGCAATTGAGTGGCCCGGTCCGAAGAGGGATGAATGAGTGGGTGCCCTCGCCTCCCTCCCAAATCACGCTGCAAAAATCAGCCGGCCGCTGCACCCTTTTTTGTTATGAAGAAGGAAGGTAGGTTCCCCCGCCCCTTCAATCAGCCGCCCATAGTAAAATACCAGGCAAAGCGTCGCCCCCTCCTCTCTCTCACAAAACTCCCTCCTCTTTTCCCATACAAACGAAGCGCACCGCTCACCACGCCCAACTCGATACCCATTTTCCCACGTCCATTGCACGCGTATGTGAGTACCTCCTTTCCTCAGCCAACACCAGCAATTTCACAAGTACTCGCGTCCATCTGGCATTTGACCTTTTGGCCTTTGCCTGCCTCTATCCAAGCGGAACTGCCATTGGGCCCCATGCAACCGGCCAACCTCGCTGCCCACCTCGCTGTTGCCATCCAAAACGAAGCTGGCGCACGCTTGTTGCTTTGCGCGTCGGTGCTCAGCACTCCCAAGCTTGAGAGTCTGCGCGTCGCCGTATCCACGCAAAGCTTCCATAGGACCTGCCACCACCTTCGCACCACGCCGGGAGCTCACTTTGCGCTGCCCACACACGTCTCCGGTCTCGCGTCAAGAAAAACATCACAACGTACCGCGATCGCTGACCAGGGTGGCACAATCTCTCAACAGCAGCATCACCACGCATTCAAGCACTTGCATTTTCAGCAAAAAAAACAAAAAAATCAAGTACGTTTGTCGCTTATGTGGCATTCATTGATGCTTCAACATTGCATTACGCCTGTCCTTTTCATCAGCGGTTGCATGCCAATTGTCTCGACAGCTTCGAGTGCCGTACTCGCGCGGGCAAACGAGCATATACATCCGCATCTTCTGCTCGTGTCTTTTTGTTCACTGTGCAGCTTGTCTGAAGTCGGACAAAACCGCAGTTTACTACCGAGACTCCTAGACTCCATCAATCATTTCACATGCGTTGTGACACGGTCTCAATCGATGGCTGTTTACTAACAATATTCCTAATTTGCAGATCAGACAATATGCCCAAGGCCGCCGCCAAAAGCAAGACCACCGGCAAGGTCGAGAAGCGCCGCGCGAAGAAGGGTGAGTTGTCGCAACACAATACTTCCCCTACGGAGCGCTCGATACGATGCTATCCCAATCACATATCACCAGCAGCAACCTGGTTGCTTGTCTTGTATGGTCACGCTTCATGACAAGGCCCGCATGCAACGCTTGCGGTGGCCTTCGATTGCAGCTGATAACAAGACATACAGGTGGTCGCTCTTGCTGTTTCGCAGCTCGTTGTTGCTGACTTGTGCTATTCAAGACCCCAACGCCCCCAAGCGTGGCCTCTCTGCCTACATGTTCTTCGCCAATGAGCAGCGCGAGAACGTTCGTGAAGAAAACCCCGGCGTCACTTTCGGTCAGGTTGGCAAGATTCTTGGTGAGAGGTGGAAGGCCCTCAGCGACAAGCAGCGTGCTCCCTATGAGGCCAAGGCTGCCGCTGATAAGAAGCGTTATGAGGACGAGAAGCAGGCTTACAACGTGAGTCACCCCAACGTTATCCTAACTCTACTGGCAACGGAAACTGATCATGAGGCGCATAGGCCGAGGCCGACGAGGAGGAGTCTTCGTGATTGAACCCTTCTCGCCGACTCGATTGCGCTCGCGGAATTCAGTCTTGAAAAACACGTTGATATTTGACCAGAGCAAGACACTGCGATCAGCAAACGAGGCTTTCTTTATTTGACCTTGTATTTTGGGACGGACGGTGTTGTTACGGTGCCACGGGATTTCCTTTTTTACGCCATGGTTTGCACGAGCTTTGCTATGATCAAGGGACAAAGCTATCCCTCCATTGGGGGATCGAATCAGTCAGCTCATTCGCTGGCTAGCTTGTACAACAAATCTCAGTTTTGATATTCGGGAACAGGTGCGCACGCAATGGCAGGGGATCAAGAGTTGCCATGGATGGACTTGAACGATTGCGCGGTCAACGATGATGTATCGCCCACGTCGTATAAGGGTTCAAATACTGGTTGACGCTTTTTTTTTGGGGGGGGGGCGCGGAACTGGTTAATATAGGCTACTGCTCGAATGATCAAACAGTCCCATTTGTCGCGGTTGCTGTTGATTGACGCACGACTATAGACTTCTTGCTGGCACAGCTATTGCTAGAGGCCTCGCTAAGACTGTCTGGTATGCCTCGGTTGGATGCGAACGTCATCGTTCTTCTGGAGCTCAATGGTGAGAACCACTACTGTCCGGTCCATGGATGGAGATGCAAGTGGTATCGAGGGCTAACTGAACTATTACAGTCGACAAAATGCATGCGGTTAACTGCGAGCTTTGTGGACAAGGGCCTCCCTTACTACACTGCGAATGGCTTTCACTTAAAGAACTGAACAAACCAAAATGGTTCCATGCATGCGATACTAGCTAGGCTCGACGAGGCAACAGATCCTGGGCCATGTCTACATATTGCTCTTCTCCTAAACATGCGGCCCATTTGCCGTAAAGAGCGGTGTTTTGCCCTTTGGTCGCAGTCATTGACTTCTCACCCGCTATCGTATCCGCATGCATTTCGTGCAGCACATCCCAGTCACACACGGAAAGCCTCCCCGTCCACGATATCAGCTACAAACTGGGCATTTATGGATTTGTCTCGCGCAGATCAAGTCCCACGAGTTCAAGGCTTTAGACCTACTGTCCCACTGATTTTGTGTACATTGGGCGCCAAGTAGGTCGGTTAGGCCAACTAACCGCAGCCGAGAATCCTGCATGGTCAACCGGCTGAGACTTTGTCCCTTCTGATATCTGAGTACGTACCTACCTGTCACTCAATGGTCTCTTGTCGAGGGCGCCGGTGTGCAACCCTTCGTCCCGCCTTGTGTCGCGGTCCGACCCTCGTCCGGTCATCTTACATGTCTATACGCTGTTAGCACTCGGATCTCGCGACATCAACCCAGCCATACTATTAGGCAGGGTATAACCAGTCGTGGCAGAAAGGACAGTGAGGTGGGCAAACACTTCGCTCAATATCAGCACTCGAGCCTGGTTGGCGGCGCTGCCTGATTGACCAGTCCTGGCAAGGAACAGCGCCAAATCCTAACCACCCATTATGAGCCATCCGATTTCTGCGAACTAACTCTCCAGTGCATACCTTGTTGCCGGCCACGGCTCGGTTCGTCGATCAAAGCTCGTCCAGTTGTCTACAGGCTCACTTCAGCGTCATGGATCACGCCAACATCGGCATACCTCCCCAGACACAGCTATTTCAGAGTTGTTGCCATGAGGCCGAGCGAGCTGCCATTGTGGCCGCGGCGTTAGATCAACTACGGGAGGCGCTCCCGGAGTCATTCCACGGTCACCTCATCGCCTTGGCTGGGGGAATTCGGGATTCGAGCAGGCGGCTCCGCGATCTCGCCAATCATTCCCCGTCTCACATCGAGCGCGTCCCTCTTGTCCTCAGCTACTTGGATATCATTTTGCCATGCTTGTGTCGTACCCTGAACGATATTATGGGTTATTATGAAGATAGAACCCTCACTCGCGAGATCCGGTGGCGGAAGATGTATAACCAGATGACAGAAGAAGCCGGGGGTGTTCCACTTCCCCAGCGTTTTCTTCTTTACAACAATTTTCTGGGCATGTTAGGGTACCTTCTTAACAGGTAAATGGATATCTTGACGGGCGATTATGCGAGAGTAATTGCGCTCTAACATTTGTCTAGGTCTCCGAGCTTCGATCCGAATGCACTTGAGACGCTCCGTGGCCATCTTGTTGGGCTGAGAGAGAAACGAGGGATCCGTAAGTGGCCTAACTTGACCTTCTTTGCCTGTAGGGACAACTAACATCCATACGCAGCCCCATCGCCACAGCAAGTTGACTCCGTCAGTCCTGCCGAAATAGTATCTTTGGCAATCGTTCCCGATCCAGTCTGTATCGGCCTCCAGCCTGATTCACCAGCTTGGATGCTAATTACACAGGATCAGAATGCACATTGGGCCGAACAAATATTCTCGCTCCCACTAGCCTCTCGAACTGTGCTCAAACATGTCAAACCGTGAGTACTATACTACATAAGAATAAATGAGTGATCGCATCTGATATATTAGGGCGTAATAGGTCAATGGCATGCGGCCCATTCTTTCGACGGGATCAACTTGCCATACCTCTAGAACCCAAAGTTCTTTTCCGGCGGTGAGTCTATAGTTCTGAAGTCTTCATTCGCCGTGTATCTGAACTGTCAGCTACCTACCGTTACCCGGCTTTGTGTGAAGCAAACTCTGGATCTGTTGCTTCGTGCTCGGGTCAGCAAGGTTCAAAGTTGATGTACTGACAGAGTCGATCCAGGCCTTTCGACAACGAGAAGACGTCCGTGGTGGCGTACCTCAACCCGATCGACCAAGCCCCTTACCTTCTTATCCGCAGTCTCCAGGGTGAAGTAGCCTGGTTCTCTTCCTATGGGGTTCACGAGCTTTGTATTGGGCGCGAAGGTAGCGCGCTGCAGCTTAAACGTTGGAGCCGTTCGGAACAATGTAGCAAGCTGTGGGCGGCGTTTTATTTTATCACATGGGAAGGTAAGCTTTCCGTGTTGCAACTACCTATTTTACGATAATGTGGGATCGGTCCAGCTAATCAGTCACATATCTTCAGAGATGGTGCTCTTCTATTGCACTTTTGTCGCACTCAAGGCTCGCAACAGGCTAACTGTCCAAATTGCTCCAACCGAGTTCCAATTACAAAGAGAGAAACGGCTCTTCCAAGCGTACGTCAGAGCCTAGGAAGCCTGATCCGGGCACTACTGACTTGGAAGTGCAGACAAATTGTGGACGACGGGTACAAGCACTCGCTAGTTGTGTACGAGGATCAGCAAACCCATGGCATTCGTCTTCATGCTGCAGTATGGGATGGTGAACTCAAGCAATGTCCAGTTTGGACTGCATTTGGTGAGACGAAAAGAAATAAAGAAAACCATGACTCTGTTTCATGGGTGCTAATACGAATGCCACTAGTAACGGCCCAGTCACAGTCTTCAACATGGATCAGTCGGCGTTCGAAGCATCGTGTTTGGTTGAGAAACATACAGCTTTATGTCTTTTGTAGGAACTACCGACAAGAAGTTCAGCGGCAAAATAAGTCCAAGGCATTCGAGATATATTTTGTGACAGAACAAGGTACGTCTCCAGGGGGCATATACTGTTACCCTGACTTCACAATTTCAGTTTCACGGCTAATGCCCTTTCCGTCTGGGACATAGGCGCCTCCAAATTCAAAGAGGCCTTTTCAGCTATGGAGCTATCCGGAGGCTCATCCGGAACCCCAGAGACCGGTACGGGTCCGTCGGGGGGATGAAACCAACCAGCCCCCGCATTGTTTGAATGAAGTGTACCTTCTGGAATATCGTTGTGAGCGGTGTGTGCCTGTGAGTGATGACTTTTGAGCTGGGCTTGCTTCGTAGGAGCAAATCTCCTCGTCCTGTTTCCCTTGGCAAAATGGCGGATGAGATAGCAGCGTACAGCCGAAATGAGCTCCTCATTATTCTGGGTAACTCACAAAGAAGCTTATTATCTCAACCAAGAAACGCACTTTCCATTTCCACGCTCCCTCGAGAGCTACAGGAGCAGTTGTCGGCGTGGTGGTAGCCGTTTTTCGACACGAGGCTAATAGAGACTATTCTCCCAAATTTGCTGAACAGCACTAGTCCCCTGACCAAGTTGCACTCGAAGTGTTCTTAGGTTCGCTGGCCTAAAGTAATGTAGCTCCATGTGGTATTCATATGTGCTAAATAGCTAGTGGTGGATGTCATATTCTTTGTTTTAGGTGTCTGACCCACTTGTAGTTTGACACTCATTTTCCCAAATTGGTTTCCTTCTGGGTTTGACATGTATCAGTGAGGTCTGTGGGGAGGCAGTGCAAGGGCGTAGCTCAAAGCTAGCCTCATGATCTGTGTTGCCTCTCTTAATTTACTTCGGTCTTCGTTGAGGTAGTCAGAGCGGGATAAACAAGCTGGTATGGCGGGCTTCACTGTATACAGAGGTAGCGAGGAGGAATCATGTATGGTTGCCCATTTCTACCCAGCCCTACATTGAGTTCTGGCCTTGCTACCTAAAACATATCCACAACAGGTCATGTCGAGGATGAATAGGCCACCTGCGTATTGGTTGCTTGCTATACATCGTATCAGGAGGTAGGTAGAGTCGGTCGAGTCGCTTGTGGCAGCTGAAGGGGGTGGATATGTGTGGTGAAGAGTGGAGTCATAACTAGAGGTCAGTTTGATCCCATTCCCACCGCTATTGCAAGCGTCCCATACTATCTCGTCCCACGAGGTCTGCTGGGTAATGGGCGTGCAATACAGCCAACACGTGCCCTATCTACACGTACTGGCCTACCTACAAGCGGTGTGATACTCCCGTATGACTTTAAGGTCTGGATAGTACTGTAGTGGCTCGAGAGTCGTCGTTAACTTCAGACATATCGGCATCCTAGTAAAGCCAAGCAGTTTATAGGTAGTTTACATAAATTTCCAAGGTATCAGCCCAATGGTCCCACCAGATCGGTCATGTCGAAGTGTTCTCGATGCCTTGGATTTTTCAGAGAAGCGTGGATGCGGTGCCCAAGGTAGGTACGTACGTGCATGCCTGCCCCGTTCTCAGGCACTGAGGATCGGGTTAAGACTAGCCTCTCAAAACAGCCGCTCTCTAAAGGACCGAGAGGACCTCTTTTTTTCAATCCGGGTAGTAAGCGCCAAGCGCCAAGCCTTAGTAAGTCTTTTGGATAGTTCTTTACGGCGCTAGCCGAAAAAAACGCGGATCTGAGAATGAGACTAGTTGAGACGCCTAAATCTACTGTATAATTTGGATAAATCTGCAATACCTATATAAATATGTAACTCAAACTTCTACGTTGCTATGCCTAGCTAGGTTAGCTATACAGTAATTTGGTGGGTGGTGATATTTATAAACTTTATTATTAATAACTACTAGGATAGCAGCCTTATAGTTGTGCCTCTTGACCGCCATCACAACTATATAAGACCACTTGAGTGACCGAATTGCCAGCTTCGGTTACTTGTATCCTTTTAGAACATAGCCTAGTAATGTAGTGGTCTGCCAGCGCCGTGACAACTACTATTATTATAATGTTATATTGTACAAATTTCTACAGCTTCTTTTATATGTCGATATAAATTATAATATTGAGGAGTGTTATAGGAAGAGTATATACTAACTAGCAGTTTATCTTATATAAATGACAATTGAAATTGTTGATTTAACTAATTTTCTGGTAGAAGTCAATATATTTATATTACGCAAAGAGTAGCTTTACAAATAATGATAATAAATGTTATAGCGCTGGCGGACCACTACACTACTAGGCTATGTTCCAAAAGAATACAAGTAACTGAAGTTGGCAGTTTGGCTGCTCAAGTGGTCTTATATAGTTTGTCCCAGAAGAAGCATCCGAGTGCATTCGATGACAATATCTATTTTAATTAGTTAATTAATGCTATTAACGAGACGCTCTCTTATTTTGAAGAAAACTACCAGACGAAGTATATAAATTAGATATTCAAGAAGATTATTAACTATAATTATAATATTTTTACTAAATTATAATATATTACCAGTTTTGCAGGTTTTGATTTAATAGCTCGCTAGTAACAATACGCACTAGAAACTTTCAGTAATAAAAAAGTAGTTACTAAGTATAACGGCGACTTTCGAATCAAGTATAGTTTGCTCTATTAGTACGAGACTTTGTAATTTATTCGTATTAATAAGGAGTTTGAAATTAAATATTATATTGACTGTTATTAATATTTGAAACTAAAGAAAGTAAAAGTTAATTCTTATAGTAATCTCTTGCATTAATTACCCCTACTAATTTATACATCTTGGCAGCTATTATCTAACAAGTTCCTACGTATTTATAAAGAGCTTAACCTTAAAGTAGTTCTTAATAAGTACTAGTAGTATACTCTATAAATAAAGAATAAAAATTAACGAGTCCTTAATACTACACCTCTTCTACTTCTACTACTAGCGTACACTATAATCCTTCTTATAATACCTTTGTGCAACTAGTAAAAATAATAAAGAGGATCATAGCTACTTAAGCAGTAGTATAAATATAAATAAAGTTGCAGTGTTTTAAACAGATAGCTTCGTTACTACTATAAAATATATAAATTCTTACGCAGCGATAAGTATTGTTAAAGAACGAATTAAAAGTAGACAAGAGAAGAGTACAATTAGTACTACTATCATGAGTATTATAATAATAGTTGAAGAATATTGAATAAGCGCAATTATAGTAGCTCTTATCCTCTTTACAATAATGAGCATAGAAGTAAAGATATAACTACTAACAACTCGTAATAGCTTTATGAGAATATAATTATAAATATATATTACTTTCTTCCTCCATACCCGTATAGTATAATATATACTAGAGAGTTTACAAAAGCCTATTAATACAATTGTCTGTATAGAATTGTAATTAGTAATACTCTTTCAACGTGCCCTAAAACCTTTATTATAGTAGTTAGTAATAGTGGATATTGATAGTAATTGTACTTTCTTACGTATAATTATCTAGTTATTGAAATTATTTTATTTTATTTATTCGTATAGAGTTAATTAACATTTTGATAATAATGATATATATATTTCAATTTGTAATAAATTTATATGAGACTAACATTTGTAATATGGGGATTTTGATCACATGTTCATTTGGGTACCGTAGATTTATCCAAACCATATAGTAGATTTAGCCAGAGCGGGTTGAGAAGGCTCGTACGTAGTTGGGGCTCATTCGATTTGGGTCGGTCATTGCGGTGTCCAAAGCCGTCCCCCGCTCAGGCTCCCGTCAACGAAACCCTGTGTGCCATGTCGTGGGTGGTGCAAGTGGTTCCAATGACGGGATGCGGTTGATCGCCAAGCTCCAAATCCATTGAATTGACTGCTCAATCGTCTCCTTCTTTCCTCTTCCAGCTCCTACCTTGCCCCCCCTGCCAACGCTGCCCCACCTTTGCCCACCTTGCTGGCCTGCCAATTAACCTGGAGCTACCTACCCACCAGACCGACTGATGACGGGACCCTCTCTGCCCCTCCCGGGCCTCTTGGACTGAGCTACCAACGCCGCTCAGGAGAGATTGGGTTTAAATTATCTCCTTGTTCTTCCTTCATACAAATTGTAAAAGCTCCCTCGTCGTTACTCATCCTGCTTTGACTCTTCATTCTCGTCATTCATCCAGTTATTCTTCAATACCTACCCTATCCACACAAGCGCCCAAACATGGAGGTTCAGACCGTCGAGTTCAAGCCATTCACCGACCAGAAGCCGGGCACGTACGTCACCACCCTCGTCCGCTCGTCCCCCTAATTCACCAGACACCTCCCTCCCCCCCGCCCCTTTCCGCCTTGTCACTGCTACATCTGTTTGCATCATTCGAGCTTCGGTCGCCCTTGAACGTATACCGAACAACAAGACTAACAAACCATATTGGGACCGCCATCACAGCTCCGGACTTCGTAAGAAGGTCACCGTCTTCCAACAGCCACACTACAGCGAGGCTTTCATCACCAGCATCTTGCTCTCCATTCCTGAAGGTGCCGAAGGTAGGACACCACACATGTCTATACCAAGCTTGATACAGCAAAGCTTGTATCCAAGTGGGCTTTAGAAGCTGACCAACTGACACGATCAACCACAGGTGCCTTCCTCGTCATCGGTGGAGATGGCCGATTCTACAACCCCGAGGTGATCCAGCTGATTGCCAAGATCGGTGCCGCGTACGGCATCAAGAAGCTCCTAATCGGCCAGGACGGTATCTTGTCGACCCCTGCCGCCAGTCATGTCATCCGCAAGCGCAAGGCGACAGGTGGCATCCTCCTGACCGCTAGCCACAATCCTGGAGGTGAGGAGCATTCCCCCCTGCAGTGTCTTGGCTTCACGCCGTGCTAACACTGCTTTAGGTCCCAAGAACGACTTCGGCATCAAGTACAACCTCGCCAACGGTGGCCCGGCGCCCGAGTCGGTCACCAACAAGATCTACGATGTCTCCAAGAGTTTGTCTTCGTACAAGATTGCGAGCATTCCCGACATTGACATCTCGACCATCGGTACCAAGACGTACGGTGACCTCGAGGTCGAGGTGGTCGATAGCACCGCGGACTATGTCGAGATGCTCAAGGATATCTTCGACTTTGACCTGATCAAGAAGTTCTTTGCCACTCACCCCGATTTCAAGGTGTTGTTCGACGGTCTTTCGGGCGTGACCGGACCGTACGGCAAGGCCATCTTCCAGCAGGAGCTCGGCCTTGGCTCCGAGTCGACACAGAATTGCGAGCCTTCCCCCGACTTCAACGGCGGCCACCCCGACCCCAACCTTACGTACGCCCACAGCTTGGTTGGTCGTGGAGAAGAACAACATTCCGTTTGGCGCAGCCTCTGATGGTGACGGAGATCGCAACATGATCTACGGTGCTGGCGCTTTTGTGTCGCCCGGCGACAGTCTGGCTATTATCGCTCACCATGCCCAGCTCATTCCCTATTTCAAGAAGAACGGTGTGTTTGGCCTGGCACGCAGCATGCCTACTTCGGGAGCGGTGGATTTGGTTGCCAAGAAGCAAGGCCTGAACTGCTATGAGGTCCCCACTGGCTGGAAGTTCTTCTGCGCCTTATTCGACGCCGATAAGCTTTCGATCTGCGGCGAAGAGTCGTTTGGAACGGGCAGCAACCACATCAGAGAGAAGGATGGTCTCTGGGCCATTGTGGCTTGGTTGAATATCATCGCGGGATTGGGTGTTGCCAACCCCGGAGTGGCGCCCAGCATTAAGCAAATCCAGAAGGATTTCTGGGCCGAGTACGGACGTACCTTCTTCACCCGATACGATTACGAGGACGTGGATTCGGAAGGTGCCAACAAGGTTGTTGGTATCTTGAGGGATTTGGTGGCGGATCCTAACTTTGTAGGAAGCAAGGTTGGAGGTAAGTCTTGGGACGATTGCCCGCGCCGAACCGTTTTACAGATACTAACCCGAGATCCCTTTCTGCCAGACCGCACTGTCACGGAAGCTGGAGACTTCTCGTACACCGATTTGGACGGCTCAGTCTCTTCCAACCAAGGTCTGTATGCCCGCTTTTCCTCGGGCAGCAGGATCATCGTTCGCCTGTCCGGCACCGGTTCCTCGGGCGCCACCATCCGCTTGTACATTGAGCAGCACAGCACGGATCCTGCTACATATGATATGGATGCCCAGGACTTCCTGGCGCCTGAAATCAAGATGGCAACGGAGCTCCTCAAGTTCAAAGAGTTTGTTGGCCGTGACGAGCCGGATGTGAAGACATAAGTTCGGCGTTGATGTAGGTATAGGTATAGGGAGCCAGCAACGGCTGGGTAGAGCTAGTTCTCCGTTGAGGTCACGACGGTGCAGACAAATTAATGTAATTCATGTGTGTATCTCTTTGAGTGTGTGTGGTTGTGTGCGTATACGGTTTGGGTGGTGGCCATGTCGTCCTGGTCCCGTTATACAAATTGCTGATCTAGTCCTTCTGAAAGATGGCAGACCGGTAATACCTAGCCTCTGCAATACTCTCTAGAATGTCCTCCTTTGCCGTATGAAGTCCTTTTTGGCTGGGGCTCCCGAGGCGACATGAGGGCACCAACAGCGAGCAGCCTCCTTCAAACTACTTACGTCCAAGATGCGGTAGTGCAAATGATCGACGACCCTGTTATAGGGCTCCTTGCGGAGAAAGGCGCGGTCCGCATGCACGCTGTTCCCGGCCAGGAGGGCGATGCGCTTATTCGGAACATACTTCTGAATATAGGCCAGCAACTCGTCTGCTGCCTGTTCGGGCGTAACAGTAGAGGCTAGGACGGCGGCCGTTAGACCACTATCGCCGTGAACGCGGGTACACCACTCATCCATGGCATCCATGCGCGCCTTCGTCTGGTGGATGACGGCTCCCCAGCCTGTAGGGTCTAGGAGGTTGAGTTGCTCGTCGGTAATGAGGCAGTAGATCTCGATGATGGCATCTTGGTCCGGATTGAGACCGGTCATCTACTTGAACGGTGCATGTGAGCGAGGTGAGACATTGGCGATGAGAAATGCGATCAACAAGAAGGGGCTGGCACTAAGCACCTCACAGTCGATCCAGACCAGGGCACCTTGGTTCTGCTGCTGGGCGGCCGCGTGCGCGGCTTGCGGTTTCGCCACCATGCTTGAATGATTTTTGAGGATGTTCGGCCTGAGTGACCTCGCCGGCAACCGTTGACTTCTTGTGGTGGTGGTAAGGTGTCGTTTCGTGGAGTGCCAAAACGACAGGCCTCTAGTGTCGTGTCGGGTACAACCGAACAAGGGCCCGGTGGGGAGTGATGTTCGACTCTGTCCAGTTAAAGACTCTTGTTGTACCGGCAGTGGACACACGGTCACACCGAACCGCGCACCAGCCGGACACGAGCCGGACTGCCTGCGCCATCGTCATCCCGAAGTGTCGAGCCTTGGGCCACCAACCTGTTAAACGCCTATCAGTATTGGATTAACGGGCGGTAGAGTACAGTGGTATCGGGGTTACCTTTTTTTTTTTTGGTCTTATAAGCTCACTATAAGCTCACTTCCAGCCTTAAGACCTTCGCATGGGTAAAGGTCACAGTATATTTTAAGCAGACGAGCGACAGGGTAACCCTCCGGTCGAGTGTCTCCTAGGTACCCTGGAAGCCCCCGCTCGGCTCCTCCGGTCCGGGAGTCCAGCCCTGCCAGCATTGTGTTGGGCGCCGGCACGCCCGGTACGAAGCACCCGCTCAAACAGGCAAATTTCAGGATGACAGTACAGTACTCGACCCTAAGACCCAATACTTCACCTTCTACAAGGTAGTCAAAAGCAACATGAGGGAATGGGTCAGCTCTACAGGCTACGAGCGGCTTTGGATTCGTTAAGTACTTGTCGCCCTCTGCAGACCTCTAGGGCTGACATCGTTCATTGGCGTACGTAAATCCGGTAAAGCGTGCCCTATCACCTCCGCCTGCACATCCATCGGTACTATCGTCTGGCGCTAGCATAGTATCAGAATGTACTGTGTATGCACACGTGTAAGTACCTGCTGAGTGAGGAGATCGTTGTTGTGCTACCTACGGTAGAGGTAGTCACGCTCCTTCCTCTCTTCACCCTGATCCTCCCCTGTTCCCGCAACCAACCTATTTCACTTTTTACTCCGTTCTACTTTGTGAACAGCCAGCAGCTCCTGAAACTCGCAAGCTGTTCCGCGGCCGATGAACATGATGGCGACCAACCCGCCTCGTATACTCATTATCGGCGCCGGGTCTCGCGGTCGAGCTTATGCTCGCGCCATTCAATTCTCAACCGACGGCATCGTTACCGCAGTAGCGGAGCCTAACGAGTATAAGAGAAGGCAATTTGGCCAAACCTTTATTTGGGCATCACAGGCTGGGCCGTCCGATGGTGCCCAGTTCGACGATTGGCGTGCCTTTGTTGCATACGAGAAGGACCGGCGAGCCCGGATTTTGGCCGGCGAGAAGGATGTCCCTCCTGGCGTCGATGCCACCTTTGTGTGTGTTCTGGACGAGATGCACAGGGAAGTCGTTCTTGCCCTTACCAAGCTCGGGGGTCTGCACATCATGTGCGAGAAGCCACTGGCCACGACTCTGCGTGAATGCGTCGACATGTACGAGGCACTACGCACCAACACGAACGCGAATAGGGAGCAGATGGTCTTTTCCATAGGCCATGTTCTTCGATACAGCCCCCATAACATGCTGCTCCACAAGCTACTCCTCCAAGATCGGGTCATTGGTGATGTGCTGTCCGTTGTGCATACTGAGCCCGTCGGTTGGTGGCATTTCACCCACAGCTACGTCCGTGGTAACTGGCGTCGAGAGAGCACCTCAGCGCCGAGCCTGCTGACGAAAAGCTGTCACGACATCGACGTTTTGCTGTGGCTTCTCTGCTCGCCCCCCTCTTATAGTGCTCAGCATGGCCAAACTCCCCATTTACCATCCACCATCAGCAGTACGGGCTCGCTGCAGTACTTCAAAAGGAGCCGCAAACCGACCGCCGCAGGAACGGCCACCAACTGTCTATCCTGCCCTATCGAGTCGTCGTGCAAATACTCGGCGAAGCGCATATACCTTACCCAGGACGAGTTTGGCTTGGACTCGCACAATACCGAGTGGCCTGTCAACGTCGTTGTCCCCGATATCGAAAGCTACCCTGACAAGGACATGGCAAGGGAGACGCTGCTTCGCGAACTGGGCAAGGATTACGACGCTACTACCCCCGCCGTGGAAATTGAACAGAGGAACTGGTTTGGGCGATGTGTTTATGAGAGTGACAACGATGTGTGCGATGAACAGGTTGTCACCATTACGTGGGATGACGATCCCATTCCCAGTCTTCCGAGCTTCTCGCGGGAGTCAACTCGGAAAGACGTATTGCTTTCGGACCCCGCACGTGGTCGTGGCTCAAAGACGGCATCTTTCCATATGGTTGCTCAGACGAATAAGATCTGTCAGAGATACACGAACCTGTACGGTGTTGACGGCGAGATCTTTGCGGACTCGTCCACCATCACGATCCACGACTTTCGCACCGGGGAAACAACCACCCATCACCCTCGAAATGAGGACCGCGGTCACGGAGGTGGGGACCTGGGACTGGCGCGCCAGTTCGTTCTGGCTGTTGACAAAGTCAAGAACCATGGATGGACTACCGACAGGGCACAGATGGAACTGGTCGGTTGTACTCTAGAAGAAGTGATGCGCAGTCATGCCATGGTCTTCTGTGCGGAAGAGGCAAGGAAGAACAAAAAGGTAGTCGATTGGGGCGAGTGGTGGGCAGAGCATGTGGAAGGTAAGTTGAAGCATGATACAAGCTAGGTCTCGTTCATACAGCGCGATGGGGGTGTACTGCTAGCTAAGGGTGCTCTTGCTCCCAACCGCTACTGCTTAAGTGTTTGCTTGTGGGTTTGGTAACAAAGGGATAGTGTTCTTTGCAACGATCAAGTGCGTGTAAACGGCGTCCGTCCTGTGGGAGTACCGCAGACCAGATGAGACTCATTATCTTCAATCAGGAAAAGACGAGTTGCAGGTGGAAAGCTGGCTTCAATCATACCATATAAGCGCCCCAGTCATTGCTTGGTATTTCATGTCCCGGCGGGTTACTTTCCCTTACTTGATGGCGGCGTAATCTGGATGAGCCGAGTCCTTTGCCCGCTGCCATGGAGTGGCCTTTTCGACCAGACCAGACCAGATCAGGCCACACTCCTTTTCTTAGCCAATGAATGAATGAATGAATTTTTCGACTACGTTCTACCAATACTAGATTTCTTAGCCAATGGTTCACCGCCGTGGACGACGTATATCATGGCGTACGAACGTATTAGCCTCAGTCGACTCTGTAGTTGCCGAGTTCCCAACTGACATGCCTAGAATCTTGGGACCGTCATCGTCCTGTTAACTGGCCACTTGGTCGCCTCCAACTGTCTCGGGCAGCAACTGCTCCAGTTCGGCATCCTTCACCTTGCCCAGTCTCGAAGAGCATGCATGCTTTGGAAGATCTACACCAAGCCTGGCTGGCTCTAGTGCACTCGTCGAGAACCTTATGAGGCTTTAAGCTCCATGGCGTCCACCATCCGAGCAGGGTATAATTGAAGAGAGGAACGGGCAGTTGATAAAAATGTCTCGTTAGCCACATCCCGATACGCACGAAATTCCATAAAATGCATATCAATCTCTTGGCGTGTGCTCTACTCGGCACTTGAATATTCCTATCAACCACTCTCTGTGCGATGACGTCTGCCACGTTGTTACTTGCACGCGGCTACGTAATTACGTGAATGGATCAAATGTGACATCCAGGCTGCCGTAGCATGCCACCATACCAACCTAGTTTAGGTTCGGTTCACACAGGCTAACGCAAGCTGGTGATATCCCTAACTCCCTACGTCTTAGGTGTCTGGCGGTACCTACCTACTGGTAGCTCCTGCCCCTGGCCCTGTGGTCCCGTCCCCGTTCGTCCACACACGGCATCCCATGATGCGTGTCGTCCGGAGACGGTGTTGTATGAATGGAGGGAAGTTGCCTGTGACAAGGACCCAGTCCTCCTCCACCAAGACTCGCATGTCTTCCACCTTTGTTCCCAAATCCATCGTTCCTCCACCCTGAATTCCGGGACAGCCTTCTTTTACCCCCCCCCTCTCCTTCCGCCTGCCATCCGCCTGCCGTCGAATTTCTGGCGCTTCAGCTCGCAACTACAAGTGCACGCGCAAGCCGCATCGCATCGCTGGCTTGAAACCCGAAAGCCCACACAGCCACTCGCGGCACCCACCTGCGCACCCACTATATACCCAACTCCCTGACTCTCCGGCGCCCGTCCGCCCGCCCTTCGACCCATAAAGTTTCTTGGCTTCGACTTCCATCGCCAATCCTCCCCCTTTTCCTCCATACCATACATACACTGCTGCAGCGAACCGCACATCCCCATTCTCTCCTTCACATCCCATACCGATCGACCAGACGCCATGGATTCCGCGCAGCAAAACAGTAACGTAGCAGCAGGAGGAGGAGGCGGCAGCTGGGGTGCCTTCCTCAAGGTCTGCCTTCCCCGTCGCATATACACTGCGCATTAGATGATGGGTCGCTGACTCTTCTGGTCCTGACAGTCCATCGCTTCCTTCAACGGCGATCTCGCAAGCCTGACGGCGCCGCCCTTCATCCTTTCAGGCACCAGTTTGACCGAGTTTAGCTCGTACTGGTGTGAGCACCCTCCCGTCTTCGCTGCTCCTGCCAAAGAATCAGACCCCGCCAAGAGAGCGCTCCTGGTTCTCAAGTGGTTCTTGACCACGTTGAAGCAACAATATGCCAGTCGAAGCGAGCAATATGGCAACGAAAAGAAGCCTCTTAACCCCTTTTTGGGTGAGCTTTTCCTCGGCACGTGGGAGGATGAGGCAGGCGTCACCGAGCTCATCAGCGAGCAAGTAAGGTGCGTACATCATCAGCCTCATCAGCCTTGTGTGTCCACCAGTGCTAATCACTCTACACATGTAGCCATCATCCGCCTGCAACAGCCTACAACATTACCAACCTTGCGACCGGTGTCCGACTTGAGGGTTACAACGCCCAAAAGGCCTCGTTCTCCAAGACAATCAACATCAAGCAGATTGGCCATGCTGTCTTGACGGTCCCGTCACCGACGTCGGACCAGCCCGACACTTTTCTCATCACCCTCCCGTCTCTCCATATCGAGGGCTTGATCTTCGGCTCTCCTTTTATCGAGCTGGATGGTGCTTCTTACATCACCTCTTCTACCGGATACACCGCCAAGATCGATTACAGCGGCAAAGGTTGGCTGTCCGGCAAGAAGAACTCGTTTGTCGCCTCACTGTATCCGACGGGTAAGGAGAAGGAGGTGATTTACAATGTTTCGGGCCAGTGGACAAAGTCTTTCGAAATCCACTCCGGTGCGGCCAAGCACAACAGCAAGAGCACCCTCGTCGACTCCTGGGATCCCGAGAAGCAGCATCCTACTCCTCTCACCGTTGCCCCGATCGAAAAGCAACACCCTCTGGAATCCAGACGAGCCTGGTCAAGGGTCGCCAACGCTATTCTCAAAGGTGACCTTGAAGCTGTGGGCCAAGAGAAGAGCAGAATCGAAGTTGCGCAACGTGAAGCGCGCGCCAGGGAGAAGGCCGAGGGGCGTATGTGGCAACGACGATACTTCAGCGTCCACACAGATGCGCCTGATCGCGTATTGACTCAGCTTGGTCCTACCATTGGACTAGCTGAGCATGGCGATGCGGATAAAACTGGTGGACTGTGGCGGTTTGACACGACCAAGGCAGAGAAGGAACGTGGCCAGCCGCAGGTTAGCGACGAGGAAGCCTCCAAGATCGCGAAGGAGCTCTTAGGGCAGTGAGGTTCGTGACAACTGCGCTCCTGGTGATACTGGGGACCGCCAGTTTCCGACACGCTGGTATGGCACAAAATCAAGTGGTTTGACAACATAATATAGTATCATTGGCATTTATAATTTGGGCACGTTTGCAACAAGCGTCGGTGGCTTCCCCGCTTTGCTGTTTTTTTTTTTCGTTTTTTTTCCGATCACTAGTAGCCGCGAAATGACCATCCCAGGCTCAACTGTTACAGCCAAGATATGAACGAGTGAGCATGGAGTCATGCAGGAGAGTCAATGCTTGTATTAGGCGATATATGTGCAGTTTACGCCGAGTAGGTTAATGAGTGGGTAGGTACGTTTTGACTAGTGCAAGCTCGCAGCTAAAGCTCGAGGTCCGCGCTTTATCTATACACCTTATATGCTTCCCGACACGATATCAGATGTTTGCTTACCGCTCACCAATGCTGTGTTCCGGGCTCAAGTGACGCGCGTGCGTCGTATTGCTCTGTACATTTGGTCCGTCTTGTGAAATCTGATGCCATCCGATATGTCCTAGCCAAGAGCCACACCGAGTCCCAGCGTTAGTTCCTCCCGATGCGGTTGAAGTTCATGAATTCTCGCGTTCAAGTTCATAAAACAGCAAATAGACCTCTCGCTGCATGCCCAGTACGTCGCGGGTACTTGCTTCTTTGACCTTGTCGTCACTGATACGCCACCATCGGTTGCTTGACTTCTGTCGTTTAGATTTCGCACTTGTGCTGGGTATCTTGTTGTTGGGTTTCGATCCGGCTGTGTCTGGGCTGCCAGCGCGAGAGGACGGCTTTGAGGCAATTCTGCTCAAGGTTGAGCGCGCTGATGCGGCCGCAGATCGTAGGCTATTGGTGTCGATATCCCTTTCCCGAGACGCCAATGCTGATCCGGACTCGTTGATAGGCATGACACCGCCGTCTACTCCTGGTGTAGGAGCCTGTCCGGATGCGGGCTGAGTGGCTTGTGCCTGGTTGGTATTTGAAGGGGAACCGGTGTTCATGTATGCTCCGGAAGGCTGAAAGGTACCGGGATTTGAGAAGGGTGGATATACATTCTGTCGTCTAAACGACTCATAATGGCCGCTATGGTGATTGCCCTTGTGCGTCACAACGCCGAGAAGCTTGTATTTTCTCTGCTGAAGAAGGCCACCAAGAGGTAGTTGCTCCGGAAACGCAACCTTCGCAAGATTTTTTTGAGAGAAGTTGCTCATGTCGTAGATCGACCGCGAGAGATGGATGGCCAGGATCCTGGGAAATCCTGTCATACGGATGTGCCGAGCTATTTTCCGCTTAGGAGCATAGCGAGGATCCGGCAACTCGACGCCCTCTGGTGCCTTCTCAGGATCAGTCCCAATAGCTAGCTCGAGGCTTGCTAGAGCAGCGCGGGCTTTCTCCCTTGAAGACTCTGACGTTGACCGCTGGATATCTGCTTCGAGAACGGCCTTTGCATGCAGTAACCGGCACTTTTCACACTTGAAATCCTCGATGTACTCCGTTTTGAACATGCCGTCGAAGCATGCGTTCAAGGTTGTCGTAGCAACATGGGGGACGTTTAGTGTCAAGGTGCAGAATGTTGATCTAGTGGACCTCGGTCTGAAACCACAAGTCAGGCATTCAATTTGGGACTCAAAGCTCCCTTCGAAGGGAAAACCTTCTTCTCCTCCGTTTTCGTTGCCGCCGTCGGGGACCGCGCTCGCGGTCGGCGTCGCCGGTTGATCTGCGTAATTGGCCTTCTCACTGGCCAGTGGAGGTAAAGGCCCATCCAGAGCTGCACTGTCTGATGTCTTGCTGACGAAGGATACGTTCGCAGACGGTTGCTTGGCTGCACGCATAGCATAGCTTCGCGCTCTTTGCCCCGCGTGGTACTCGTCGCAAAGCCTCTCGGCCACGACCTGAAGAAACTCTTGGGCGTCCTGTTGCTGTCTGCTGATCCGCTGACCAAACGCAATCTCCAACGTCTTGACGAAGGGCGCGGCCGAAATCGTCTTTTTGTAAATCGGTCTCTCGTTCAAGGCGTCAAGAATGTCCTTCAAGCCCTTGGTGACTATACCCATTTGGAGTCCTTCGGCTTTCCACTCGGGTACATCCCCACGGACTCGCCATTTGCTTGTCTCATCGCCATCGCCACCACTACACCAGACATCGCTGGGGATGATCTGCGTATACAGCCCTCCGCCGTCCAGGCTTCGACGATGCGTCTCCCGGATAAGGTATAAACGGAGGTCCCCAAGGCCAGCGAGAGCCTGGAGAACTGAGTTGATGAAGCAATCGTTTGCCGGGTTGACTAGGCCCACTGCACCATTCTTCTTGGTCGAGAACACGCTGGTTGAGTTAGCCGACGGGTCGTTATCGAGGAAATAGGTGGGACCGAAAACGTAAATCAGCGTGATCGCGGCGAGAGAAGCACCAGCTGCGTAGGCGGCTACTGTGAGTGTCTTATCAGGCATCCTTTTGTGCGAGAACGTGGTCCTGCCTTGCGGCAAGCGGTGGTAGGCTTTAAGGCGCTTTGGGATTGTAACAGATTCGGTTGTTGTCCAGCGTCACACGGTCAAAGAAAGCTCTCGGGAAACAAGTAACAAGTCCGGAACCAATGGTAACATCAGGAGCTAGGTCCGGTTGCAGTAACGCCGACCAATGGAGACACTTCCTGTGCTGTGGCACGGCTCAGTGGTGGGGCCTTCCTCAGCCCCCTACTACACTTGAGCCCTGGTGCGCTGGAAAGTTCGTTTACTCAGTGGTAAAGGGAAAAGTGGGACTTTTTACCAACCTTCTCTTATAAAAGAGAGAAAGGCTTTTTTAATAAAACAATAAATATTATGGGACAGATCGTTAAGAGTTTTACTAATAAAGTAACCTATTTGCATTTATTAAAACACCTATGCCTAAGCAAGAGAAGATGCGGGCCCACTTGTCACAACGCTGGCGGACCACTACATCACTAAGCTATGTTCCAAAAGGATACAAGTAGCCGAAGCTGGCAATTCGGTTGCTCAAGTGGTCTTACATAGTTGCGAAGGCAGTCGAGAGGCACAACTGCAAGGTTGCCATTACACCACTAGAGGTGATACTATAACGGAATCCATATTAGAGATAGCGCGGTCCGTAGACTCGTATCGACGCGCTTTAGCGCAACTGTTCGATTATATTGATTCAATTGTACGTAAATACGAATTGCTAAAAATAAATTTGCAAAATAAAATTTTAATAATTGATTAATTAAAAAAAACTGTTTATTTTTAAATTAATATTATAATTCAACTATTAAATAAGTTGAAAAGAATAGTTCGTAAGATTATTTGTTACATTTATATCATTTTTATAATGATTCTTTTGTTTTAATAGAGCATTTGATTGTTAAAGATTTTTTAAAATAAAAATAAATTTAATAAATACGATTATAGTTTCGCCGCCAAGAAATTACCTATTGTAAGAGTTCTACGAGGTATACACACAGGTAGGCCTTAGTGAAAGTGATAATATTCAACAAAGAGGAAAAGGGAAGTCTATGCCAGTATGGTATGGAGCTTACAGCTAAATACACAAGAGAGGTGCGTATATCGAAGGTGCTAGAAACGCCAAGGTCGAAAATGTGGTTCGTGCGGCGCACCCCAGGAGTGCACCCAGTCGGAGGGCAGGCCTGGCTTTCATAGAGTTCAAGCCAGGCAAACATCCTAGGCGCCAGCCCCATGACACCTATTAGGAAGTTGCCGGGCCAGCTATTTGAAACATTTAATTCGAAGTAAATTTTTCAAAACCTATTGTTACGAACTTAAGAGAACACACGGGCCATCCAGGGCGCTGGTAGCACAACTAACCCAGAAGGGCTAGACTGTGCAACCCCAAGGACGGAAAGGCTCCCGAAGTGAGCCAGCGAACCCATCACCACATACTAAGGGTTCACGTCTACGTGAACATCTAGAGACAGATATCTCGCAGTAGGGCGAGGAGTATAAAGGGACGACTGGAGAACTCAGATTGTCACATAGTTCGACAGTAGTCAATTGATCATTATCACCAAGACCAGTATAACGCTACCATACTTGTTGTGAACCTTTTCGTTTCACGGAACGTCTACTGATAGTTGTCTACCTTCAGCTATCCCACTTAGGCAGATCAGACTGCCGTTCGTCACACGTTGACTACTCCCTTTTAGCCTATCTCGGATAGTACTGAAGGTATCACCATGTCTTCTCGCATCGACAACAGCAACACCTCGGAGCCCGGCCTCATGAGCACCGAGGCCACCAACCAGCTCCTCCAGGAACTGCAGAATCGCATTCTGCACCTGGAAGCGCAGCTCCAGGCAGCCACTATGGCCGGCAACGACGAACCCGAGGGCGATGAACCGACGGGCCCCCCTGTCGAAGGTCCGACGCTCCCTAACAAGAACGTGAAGATCGAAGCTCCCCGACAAGTTTGGAGGTCAGCAGGATAAACTGCAGGGCTTCCTCCTGCAGATGCGCACCTACCTTGACTATTACCCCGAGAGCTTCCCGACTGAAACCGACAAAGTCATCTTCACCGGAACCCGTCTCAAGGACAGAGCACTCACTTGGTATGAACCCGTCCTCCAGGACTGGTACAGTCATGGAGACCGAGCCCAGGAGAACACCAGGCAACTTATGACGAGCCTTCAAAAGTTCGTCGACGCGCTCATTGGTGTGTTCGGAGAGCATGACGAGGAATTGAGAGCTCAGGAGAAGCTCCTGCACCTCAGGCAGATCACGTCCACCTCGGCTTACGCTACGGTCTTCAAGCAGTACGCTGTCAAAAGCAGATTCAATAACGAAAGCCTCATGCAGATGTTCTATCGAGGACTGAAGAATTCTGTCAAAGACGAGCTGTACAAGGAAGATCGCCCTAGCAGCTTCGACGAGTACGTGAATCGTGCCATTCGCATTGACGACCGCTTGTGGCAGCGCAGCCAGGAACACCGCAACCCTCCGCTTCGGCACCAGCAACCTGCTCGTCAGAACCAGTCCGAGCCTAAGAAGCATTGGGGACGGAGCAAGAGGCAGGAGGATGGCGGAGACCCTATTGACATCGGAGCAGTACAGGCTGGCAAGGAGCGCCGTGACATGTCCCAGATCAAATGCTTCAACTGCGGAAAGAAAGGACACATGAAGAAGGATTGCCGTGCCCTCAAGCAGCTAAAGTGGGAAAAGGCAGAAGCCGCAGCAGTAGAGGGAGCACGGTAGTCGAGATCGCAAGCGCTGGAGTACAACCAGGATGACTTGGAAGATGCTATGGATCGAGCTATGGATGCGGATCCAGACGACCAATGGCAGGAACCCCAAGGACCCGATCACAAGGATCCCCGACAAGCCGTCTGGCAAAACCCGCCGCGAGGACGAACTACCACCCAGACCTACCGACCACCAACCTGGGAAGAGGTCAGCAGCATTACGTCTATCGACCGCGGACTTCTCACGCTCGCGCACCTAGCTAGCACGTTCCACGCACCACCTCAAAGAAGAGATGCCTACGACTACGTTCAGCCTTGTCGTTTTGGACACAGGACACTGGACCACCCCCTTGGAAGATTACCACCAGAAGAGCCAGGGAGGGGAGACCTGGGATGACTTTTGGAGGAAACGACCGATTACTATCGAGGGAGAACCAATGGTCACATGGGACCAGCTCCCGGACTCGATGGAAGCTTATCGGCCGGTGGAAGGAGACACCGCTCAACTCCACCCCCTCCACGCCGCGCATTATCGCGTCCCATGGTTCCAGTGCATCACTCACGGATGCCATGAGCACTACGGAAAGAAGAGTGACAGCCGCTTCTGGCCTACTAGAAGGACGGACACTCGAGGACGCCCCAAGCCAGTCATTCGCACCTACAGCAGAGGCAAGCCCGAGGAGACCCTCGTCATCGACGAATGGTTCGCGTTTGAACTGAGACCATTCGGACAGCAGGAGAACCCCCTGCTCCTGCGGATGTTAACCGCCCGACCACGCAATGTATACATGTGCACCGCATGGGGAAACAACGACCCCCATTAGAGATGGTGCCCGGTAGCAGACTGCCCTATGCACATGAAGCAGAAAGCCAGGTATTACGAATCGCAACTCGCGCACCACTTGCGACAGGTCGATTCGGACGACAATACAGAAAACGAGAAAGCCATCCATTTGGCTTGGTTGCAGGAACGTAGCCTGCTGGACAGCTACGAGCTTGAAATGGAGGACGCTCCCCACAACTACAGCCAGGAATTGGGAAACGGCTTCGGGCCTTCAGGGAGGCCCGACGAAAACTAAGTCCCTGGATTCGAAGAATCCTCCGGCGAAGCAGCCGTCGGAAAGCGAAGATCCAGGACCCCGTACTACAAGGGGAGGTCGCCGCTGCAGAAGAAGGAAACCAGGACCAGCGACTTAAAGTCGCGGCACACTGGGGAAACTACCAAGCCCTCGCGCTGGTAGGCTCAGGGGCTCAGTTGGACCTTATCTCACCAAAGTTCGTCAACCAACTGAGGATCCCTTGGAAAAAGAAGAAGGCTCCTTTCGTGATAAAAGGACCCTTCAAGATCCAGATCGCGAAGAGGGAAACACTACCACTCCCTATCACGGTGGAAGGAAAGACGGTCGAAGTTAGCTTCGATATCATCGACATGAGGCCATCTAAGGACATGATTCTAGGACACCCATGGCACACAGTATACGACCCAGACATCAGTTGGAAGGATGGTGGCCACCTGCGTCCTAGGACGCACCCAACCGCTGATGGGAAACCCGGAGCACGGAAGGAAGCAAGCCGCGATGGCAATGTTCCTACGGCCCCGCCGCCAGCAGTACAGAAAGTTATGATTTGTACTATTGATAAGAGCGGCAAGGTTACGGAAGAAGGG